TTGAGGGGTATTTGCCATCACAACTATTAGGTCCATTGATCTTATAAAAATATGGGATCTGATCCTGCCTTACCACAATTCCTTACAGTCTACTAGCTGTTAAGAATTGTGGAAGTCCAAAACACCTGGAGCACCAAAGTACCTGATCCAGACCATTTTTTCCGATTCTCAGGTCGAAGGGGAGGAATCTCAGGGTAAGAATGAAAACCCGACAGCTGTCCAGCTAAACATCCGGTAGTCCCTGTTTGTGGAAGTAGAGAAGCAGTTATGGGAATCATGTCTATTCAGGGCAATCCATGTAGCAATTTTCTTTTCAATCTTAACATCAAACTAAGTATGGGGCTGCAATAGTGGCACAAAGACATTATAATGCACTTCATTTTATATTTATATACATATATTTACTTTTGTTTTAGGGAAAGCATTTTACTCCATGCACTGGGAAGATATTGGACTCTGATCCAGGTACACAGTGAAAATTCTATGGTTCTATGCCTACTACAGTTTAAATAACAGTGCGAGTGCTGATGCTGATATTAATACTGGCTTTATGGGATTCCAAAGTCTTTGTGTTGAGTGTTGTGTTGGGTTGTTTTTTCTACCTGGAGATCTTTGTGCCCCAATTCCTGACTTTCAGGAACCCTTTGGAGTAAAATTTGATGCAAAATAGCAATGTTGGCAAAATCATGCCTTCTAGAGGCCCCTTACACCAAAGCTGTCCCTCCAGAGAGCATGCAAATTTGGAAGTATTTAGTATAATTCATACAAAAATAAAAGATATCTTAGTATTGGGGAAAATTCTAAAAAGTTGAGTTGTGTACTTGCTGCTCAGTTTGCAGTGCAGATGCTCACTGCTGACTTGCACTTTCTAGACCTCTCTCTTAATATGATTCTTTATCTTGAAACTGGACTTGGGCTGCAAAAGACCACCAATGAGTGCATTTTATAAAGTACCCACGGCCATCTAGTTTAATCTGGTACAGAGATTAAGAAAGATAGATGGCAGGAATAAATCTAATGTTTTCTTTTGCAAAGAGGAGCGTTGTAATTTATTTCACAAATTTCTTTGGATCCTTCTCTTAATATAATTGCAATTCTTGTAGTAGTTGCAATGGCTTTTCTCAGAAGTGTGTTCTAGAATGTAGAGAATTCAAAGATGACTCCTCAAAATGTGTGGAGTTTATTGCAACTCATAAGCGATATGTTTAACAATACATTGACATTTTTGCACAAAATGTTAAAAGGTTTAAATGCCACATTCTATGACCAGCATGGGAAAACTTTCTAATTTGGGGGCCACATGGTGGGCTGGAGTAGGGTGGGTGGGCTGGGAGGAAGAGGGTTCACCCCAAGTCCCCTCCCTCCCTTTCCTCCCCTTCCTCTTCCCTTTTGGAGGCAGAAAGTGAAGGAAAGATGGGAAATGTTTGGATCCCAAAAAGGTTAGCCTTGGTCAGGATGAGATGGTGGATGGGAGAGACCCCATTTGACCTCATATTGCCTACTCCTGAAATATAATTCTAGAATCCTAGAGCTGGAAAAGACCTCCCCCCCAAAATAGGGCCATCCAGTCCACCCCCCTTCCAACACATTCAGGTGAAGACAGGTGTTGTGTAACTTTGAAATAACTGATTCTCATGTGTTTATGTTGTGTATATTTATAAAGCTTGGCAGACCATTATGTGCTAATGTTTATGCAGTAGTTATACATTTTTAAAAACTAGTGAATTAATGGTCTTTCAAGTTGCTGATATCTTTGGTTCCAAAAGGGGACTTAGAGCTTGCAATAAGCATCTATGAAGATGAAGGCTGCAGGCTGGACTCTTTCAAAACCTGGCCGGCAAAAGCACGCGTGGATGCTACTTCTTTAGCTAAAGCAGGATTTTTCTACACAGGTCAGTCACCTCACTCTCTTTTTTTGGAATTGTGCTTTTACATCCGCAGAGATAGTGTTGTAATCTGCCACTCTCCTCAATTTTTGACATTTGTCTCTGAGTTTACCTATGATTCTTATTAGGGTATGGGGTGAAAATGGGATGGATTTTCCAAGCACCAATATATTGATGTGAGATTTCCTTGGTGTGAAGGTTTTGAATTGATATCTTAGGACCATTAGCTTCACAAAAGCCCTACTTCTGGTGATAAAAGAACAACTAGAACTAGGATTTGGCAGTGTTAGGAAAAGAGGGTAGAATTTTCTTTAAGCCAATGTAAGATTTTCTTATATTGATGTTTGTATCTTTGTTGACTGAGCATAATGCCATTAGTGAATGGGAACAAAAACTATGTCAACAGATAAAGCTGCCCTCATTACATACCATTTTGTGGGATTAGGATTTGTGTGGTCTGTCAAGAGATGTATTTCTTCCATTCCATCCTAAGATTATACATTTTCATATAATATATGTATTACAGTGATACTATGGGACTCCTATACTGTGTCATATAGAAAAAATGAATTCCTGTGATGCAATGGCATTGTTAGAGACCCTAAATTTGGGTCTTTTTAGGTCCAGTCGCAGGAGCACGAAAGGAAGGAGACAGTCCCATTGAAAGATCAAAAAACAAGGTTTTTATTTTAGTTTCTTCCAGAAGAAAGATGGACAGCCAAGCAACTTGCACAGAAGTTACCTTCAAAATGATTGCCGTGCCGTCTTGGCTTTTGACCACCAAATATATACCCTGAAGTAAACAAGAACATTTTTGTCATGGAAAAGTACTCTCTTTCCAGCCCCCACTCTTTGACCTTTTGATGGAAAGTACCTTTTTGTGCACATGGCCTCTGCACTTCAAAAACAATATTTGAAGCTCACCACAAACATCCTGTGTGAGAAGTACCTTCTAAATGTCACATCTCATTTCTAGAAAAACACTTTCTTCCATATTGCTCTTTTTAAGTCAGAGAAAGGGTATCTCTCTTTTGCTGATTTTGTTAGCTTTTTCACCCAAAAGCCCCTTACTCAGAGACCCTTGAGGCCTCCTTCAGCATCAGTAGAGTTGGTGTCACCTCCATGGACCTCCTCTCATCCCTATCACCTTCTTGCAGGGAAGATGGACATTGTGCAGTGCTTCTCCTGTGCTGGATGTCTGGCTGAGTGGAAGGACGATGATGACCCGTGGGAAGAACATGCTAAATTTTATCCTCAGTAAGTGACTGCTGAAAGATGGCTCACCACAAATGTAATTTGGCTATATGCTTCGGGTCCACCCTATCTTCGAAACTGCATCTCTTTCTATGAACCGGTGCAGGCTTTGAGATCTGCAGAGGAGGCCCTTCTCTCGGTCCCACCACCGTCTCAAGCACGGTTGGTGGAGACGAGAGAGAGGGCCTTCTCGGTGGTGGCTCCCCGGCTCTGGAATACTCTCCCAAAATAGATTAGGTTAGCCCCCACCGTCCAATCCTTCCCATCCAGCCTAAAAACATGGATTTATAAATAGGCCTTTGACCTCAAGTAGGTTGTTATGGGCCTATATGGGATTGACACTCTGGCTCTTTAGGTTGAATCGCTGGCAGCTAGTTTTATCTACAGGTGTTCTGCGTTTTAAAGTGGAGCAATTTTATTTTATGCTATGTGTTTTGGTAGTGGTTTTTGTTATAATTTTATTTTATTGTTTTATACTTATGTATCATTTTATGTTATATGTTTCCCCTTGGAGTGCTACTCTGAGTCTCTTTGGGGAGATGGTGGTGGGATATATCTGTGTGTGTGTGTGTGTGTGTGTGTGTGTGTCAGAAGCGACTTGATAAATTGCAAGTCACTTCTGATGTGAGAGAATTGGCCATCCGCAAGGATGTTGGCCAGGGGACGCTTGGATGTTTGATGTTTTACCGTTCTTGTGGGAGGCTTCTCTCATGTCCCTGCATGGGGAGCTGGAGCTGACAGAGGGAGCTCAACCCACTCTCCCTGGATTCAAACCCCTGACCTGTCGGTCACCAGTCCTCCAGCACAAGGGTTTAACCAATTGCACTACCAGGGTCTCGGAGTTATAAATAAAGATTATTATTATTATTATTATTATTATTATTTGGAAAAAATGTGTGAAAATGGAATCTATAAATACACTAAGGGAGCTACTACAAAATTGCAGTAGGGAGACATTAGTTTTCCTCAGCACTGTGTGTGGCTTTCACATGAATTTGTGTACAAGCACCATTATCCCCACTCACAAGGATGATGGGCAACATAACCCAAAACATCTGTAAGTTTACACAGTATCATAAAAAACTGTGATCATCAAATTTTAAGCTGCCCAAATGGCTCCTTGGTTTGTAAGCAGGTTGTTCAGACCTGAGTCTAACCTGGAAAAAAACCAAGAAGATAATTGAGGGCAAAGCCACTGTTGCCAAGCCAACACAATGACTATGTTTTCTTGTTCAATGTGTCATGTCAGATGAACGCTCTGCAAAGAGCAAATGGCAACTCAAGCATTCTTTTTGCCGATACCACTTGATACATCTACCCTTATAAATGTATTTCAGTTGTAATTACTCAGATCCAGAGAGAAAGACATCATTGGAGAAGCCACACAAGGAAGGCGAGGCTAAATCATGGCATAAAAAGGTAAAAGTTAAAGAACAAGAGTGTTAGAATGTCAAAGGTGTAATTGTGTCAGTGATACTTTAAAGTCTAATCATTTTTATAAGGAAACTTTGTTTACACAGAGTCGTAATGGCTATTGGGTATCTAAGCTCCTATCTATATAGAATCCCAAGAGCTATTCAGCCCAGTTTCGTAACAGCACAGAAATCCAGTGGTGCAGTGGGTTAAACCACTGACCTGCTGAACTTGTTGACCGAAAGGGTGCAGGGTGAGCAAGGTGAGTGCCTGCTGTTAGGCCCAACTTCTGCCAACCTAGCAGTTCGAAAACATGCAAATGTGAGTAGATTAATAGGTATCGCTTGGGCGGGAAGGTAATGGTGTTCCATGCAATCATGCTGGCCTCATGAGCTTGGAGGTGTCTGTGGAAAACGCTGGCCTTTTGGCTTAGAAATAGAGATGAGCACAATTCCCTAGAGTTGGACACAACTAGACTGAATATCAGGGGGAAACTTTACCTTTATGCCTATTTCAACTTGTGTAACACTGCTCTGTGACTAAGGAGACCTTCCAAATTAATTTGTTACAGAGACTTTGGATGCATCCATAAAACATTTTTTAAAAGAAGTCAACTCCCTTGAACTCAAGGTCATTCAATACTAAGTAAACTTAAATAGGATTGTGATGTCAGAAAATTACATCAAAAGAAATGAAAAAATAGTGTCCTAAATTAAGTTGATTATCCCAGGCAAGAATGAACCCTTTGAAACAATAGATATTTGATAAGTCATAGTTATGTAATTTTCATTAATTCAGTGGATCCACAATGTTTGAGATTAATAGTTGGATTTAGGCCACTGTATTTCCAGTTTAATGCATTCTTACTGACATTCATATTCCCGGACAGTGTGATGAGTCTTTGATTATTGTGCTGCAGTTCTCTGTGGATTTTGATGTCATTGGCTAGTGTTTTTATGACCTGCTTGCTTGGAACAGGACTCAAAGGTACTCTTTTGCAGTCCTTCCCATCCTTCTTGAAATTTACTATCAGAGAGTCATGCTGGGAAATTTTCACTGATGTTGTAGCTGCTGGTTATATGTATTCTCACTGTTCCATATTATTCCTCATGCTGTGGGACATGTGTATAATATCTCCTCTGAAGGGGATCATGTGAAGTTCTGGTGTTGCATCCTGATGGCATCTTATCCCCCCTCTCTTTTCCACATGCAAGGAAAATATTCCACTTCCACATCGTTGTTTCATCTTAGCAATGGCCCAGATGAGAGAGCAAGCAAGTTAATTCTTAATCCAAATGAGGCAAATGTGTTCCTGACCACCTTTAACAATTTTAAGAGATGTATTTGATTTTGTGTTTTAATTATAATTTTGTGTTTTATTTGACTAAATAAATAATTTATTCTTCCAGCAAATGGACTGTAAAGATGATCTGCAAGATACAGAAGTGCTCAGTTCTGCCATGACTAGTAAGTACTTCCACTTAAACTTGGCTCAAAGTTCCTTTAAAAATCTAAGCTGGAGTCCTGCATCACACAGCATAGCATAGCATAGCAGTTCCACATGTGGAGCTAGGCTACAAATGGCCATTCAACTTTCCCTGGATTTACTATTGAACTGCAGCCTTCTCCTCATAGCCATTCTGAGCCTGGTGGAAAGAAGCAGGAGGAGGTTGGAGAAGTGTTTGGTTGCATATTCATAGTTAGATGCAAAATGGTTCAATAATCAGATGAGGTCTGCCAGGATCCTTGGGAGTTCTCAGTAGATACTGCAATAATTTTGTGTCCGACTACAGGAATATAACCAGATGTTTCTCCAATTCTCCACTCTCTATCAACCATGGAATGGTTATGAGCAAGTTGTAGAAGCTCAGCACCAAGTCCATGGGGGCAGGGTTGGTTGTTGTGGAGGAAGGAAAGAAATGACATATGCAGGCAGGAGTTACACCTGTGTATATAACTAACATGACACTGACTAATGTATGTATAACTTGGGTTTTAAGGTGGATCTAATCATGCTCATGCTGTCCCAAACCAAGTGGCTTCTGGGTCTGTGGTTAGTAATATTCTTTAGGTTTTTGTCTGAAATTTAGTACTGCTGTCCAATTTATTGCATTTGTGTAGCCCAAAATACTGTATCCTACCCTTCAAACAATTTCAGAATCGCAGATAGCTCCACACGACTCCCAGACACTTCACTAGAATTGGAAGGGGTCCCCAAAGGGTATCTGTGCAGGGATGCACAGAAATTTAGAATTTCAGTCTAAATTCTGGAGTACATTCATTGCTCCATTGACATGAGAGCCACCAATCACCTACCTAATTGTGCATTCCTATGTAGCTACTTCGTAGTAAATTCCACTGATTTAAATTAACATCTGAGAAAGAGGGCTATAGTTCCTGAAAGCTTATAGTAGAGGTAGGCAATGTCTAAAGGAGCAAAGCCTTCCTTCAACCTTGTAGTGAAGCTGATGCTGTAACTCAAGGAACAGATAACACAAGAGAAATGTGCATTCCTAAACAACAGAATCCCAAAGTAATACAGATAGATGTTGATTTAGTGTGGATGGTTAAGATGAGTGTACCGGCTTCTGTGTTAGCAGTGGTGTTTGCACAGAATTCTTGGTAGGATTCATCTGCCAAGAATAAACTCTAGTTTATGGTCCTGACTTCTCAAAAACTGAGCAAACCAGGATTCCATGTTAAGACAGCACACTAAGCATGCCTTTTCTCACTTGTTTAGTTGTTCATTCTAATTTGGAGAGTCAACTAGAAGAATGTGACTTCATGCAGAATCTTTGATTATTTATACATGTCAAGATTGTGGGGATTTGTAAAAGGACACCATTATGTGGTGGGTTGACTGGAAAGACATGTATCGGCAGCTGAACATGCCAGGGGCCAGAATTCTACTGTCTACTACTGTCTCTGGCTTTCACCTCAGAGAGTGAAGAGAGTACTGACTGGAAAATGCCAGGAAGGAAATGGCTGCCAACTCTCTGAAGCCTGATCATTTCTAAGGCATGAAGCATATTTTAAAGGTTGTTTAAAATGACTGTTTATTCCCTCTGTTCTCTGTAAGAATTCAAAGAGATTGCTGTATATATTGTTGCTCTGTTTGACCTTTTGAACTGAAGTAAAGATTCGTTACACAAATCTGAGTGACACTTATTATACTACAGGGTATATTTTGGTTCAGAAACTGTGGTAAAGCTATTTATTTACATTTACAACCTCCAACAAAGATAACCAGTATGCCATTTCAAGACATGTAATTATGTCATCAAATTTCACAGATGTTTCTACTTTCTCTTTTAACAGATGTGGTTTTTGAGGAACATAAATTGCTTCAAGAACAGTTGAGAAGGGCATATGATGATATCCATTTTAGGAAAATGTTTCCTTTTGGGGATTCTGCCCATTTTGCTGTTGATCTGAAGACTCTCTTTGGGGACCTAGCCATTGTTTCTAAGAATATCAGTAACCTGCCACTGCAACAGCTCACATTACCTGAGGTTCTTGAAAACTTTCAGTCCATTACAGTTCTAGAAGGGGAGGCAGGCAGTGGAAAGACTGCATTGCTTCGGAAAACAGCAATTCTTTGGGCCTCTGGATGCTGTCCCATACTCAGTAGATACAAGCTTGTGTTTTATCTGTCCTTGAATTCTCAAAATCGTGATCAGAGTCTAGTGGACCTTATTTGCAATCAGGTGGTGGGTCTTCAAGGAGTATTAACCCAAGAGTCCCTGGAGAACTTGTGTCAGCATTTCAAAAATGAAATCCTGTTCCTGTTAGATGATTACGATGAAATGAATGCAGTTCCTTATGACATTGAAGACTTGATTCAAAAGAATTACTTGAACAAACACTGTTTAGTTATTGCGGTTCGTACAAACAGGGTTGGGAAAATCCGCCAATATGCCAAAACCATTCTGAGCATCACAGACTTCCCCGTGACAAGCACCTTCTATCTGCTTAGGAAGCTATTTTCACATAACAGTTCACTTGTAGAAGACTTCTTCATTCAGCTGCGAGTAGAAGAAGCAATGCATTCCATGTTCAAAACTCCCCTTTTTGTTGTGGCTCTTGGGACATTTTGGACTCAAAATCCTAATGGCAGTAAATTCCTGGATTTGGTCATTTTAAAAGCCTACATGTTATACACCTCACTGAAATATGCTCAGGCCCGTGATCATATGAAAGCCACGGTATCTGCCTGTGGTGAACTTGCCTTGCGAGGTCTCTTCAAATCCCTCTTTGAATTCAGTGAAGAAGACCTGTCTGAGGTTGGGCTGAGTGGAGATGATGCTCTCTGGTTTGGTCTACTGAGCAAATTCACAGCCCAACGTCTTTGGCCAATCTATAAATTTTTCCATCTTTCATTCCAAGAGTATTTTGCAGGTCTAAGGATGAATGAGCTCCTGAGTTCAGATGTGCAGGAAGATGTGAACAGAGGGCTACAGTATTTGCAGCAAATAAACACCTTTGTGAAAATCAGTGGCCGCTACCAGTATATTTTGAGGTACGCCTGTATTGAAGCTTCCAAAGCAATACCCAAAATAGTTACCCACTTACTCAGCTTGCCCAATTGCGAGAAATCATTTGAAAGCCAAGTAAAAAATGATCTTTATCTACAAAAGACTCCAGAATTGAAGTTACGACAACAGGAGCTTCTCAGTGTCACCTTAACATTGTTCCCGGAGGTTTATCTTTCAACATTCAGGGGTTTTGTACTGGAACTTGTTACCGAGTTAGCTTATCAAAGCAACATGGCACCTGCTTGTTCTCCTATGATCTCACAGTTCCTTGCTGGAAGAGAGTTTTTTTTAGACTACTTTTCTTCTAACGGTTTCATCCGTCGCTTCTTTCTGGACTATCCAGATAATTTGTTCTTACCCAGCAGATTTGTGACGAAGACCATTGGCAAAGAAGAAAATGTTGATTTGTCATCTGTAGAAGAAACATGTTATTCCAATCTTGGGATTCCAGTTGTTGACCAGGAATATGCTCCTGGTTTTAGACTCTTCAGTGATGTTTCCAAGCAAATAAAAGAAGATGAAGACAGTATCAATAAGTTTAGGACTTATTTCCCCAGACATTTTCCAGATTCAAGGATAGTTCCATTTCTATGTAAAAGAGATCAAGAAAAGATCCCACATTTACAATTTTCTGCCAAGTGCATTAATGCTTTTCGGAATGATGATCTGGAGAATTTAGCTGTGCTTTTCTCAGTTTTCAGTCATATTGACTTGAGGCTGCAGAATTGCAAAGGTCTGCTGGAAAATATCAAACCAGCCATTGAAAAGAATCTGGAGTACTTTAAAGTGTGCAGCATACATAATACAGACTTGAATTTAGTAGAAGTGAACCTCCTCCTTTCAATGCCTTCACTTGAATCTCTAGAAATTACGGGAAAGGCATCAATGCCAGGTACAGTATCATGATCTTGAATGCTATTTTTTCTGCCATCTTCTTTCCCTTTAGAGCAATCTACTTAATTATATAAGGTTATATCAATTGAGGGCTAGAGATATGCAGGATACTGTATACTTCAGTTGAGGAAAATTGATATACTCCTTAAGTATTATTTATTTAACCAAACAGTTGGTACCAGAGACAGAAACAACATCTGTGGAATATAAACAGATATATAAACCCAGCTTCCCTAGTTTCCAACAAAGCTCACAACCTCTGAGGATGCTTGCCACAGATGCAGGCGAAATGTCAGGAGAGAATGCTTCTGGAACATGGCCATACAGCCCGAAAAAAACCTACAACAACCCAGTTGTTATTGTTTGTGCTCATTAAGTGATTCTGTTTACTTTGTCTCTTGTAAAAAAAAAAAAGCCTGCCCAACTATAGTAGACTTGGAATTCCACTCTTTTCTAGCAAATGCATCATTACATTGTTTATGGCAGATACTCTGTTGGAAGCCAACACCCAAAATCTATTTTTTTCCATTTCTTTCCCAACTTCTTCCCAATGTAGACATTGCTTTAAAAATTTGCTAGATAGAGGTGACTGGATGCAAATTTCTAAATATGCAAGTACAATCAAAACAAAGAGAACTGGAAACTAAATTTTAGGCGGTCTAGTGGAGACCTAAGTCTGAAGTACGTTATGAAGTACTATTATACTTCTGAAACTGTTATAGCTAAAACAGATATATTATAGGCAATGTAAAAGGAAGAATCTTTAGATGGAAAAGACAAGGAGCCCGAGAGTCTACAGCAGGGGTCCTCAGATGTTTTAAACAGAGGGCCAGGTCACAGTCCCTCAAACTGTTGGAGGGCGGGATTATAATTTGAAAAAAATATGAATGAATTCCTATGCACACTGGACATAACTTATTTGTAGTTCAAAAAACACTTTAAACAATACAATAATGAAAATGAATAACAATTTTAACAAATATAAACTTATTAGTATTTCAATGGGAAGTGTGGGCCTGCTTTTGGCTGATGAGATTGGATTGTTGTTGTTGTTGTTGTTGTTGTTGTTGTGCTGTTTCAAGTCATTTCAGGCTTAGGTTGACCCTGAGCGAGGGCCAGGTACATGACTTTGGAGGGCCGTATCCGGCCCCCGGACCTTAGCTTGAGGACCCCTGGTCTACAGAATGGGTTATATGGACCAATATTATTTTTAATTAGTTGTAATATTTATGAGTTTAAAGAACAAATACAATTTTTTTACAATTGTATCTGTGATATTGGACATCTCTAATGTAGACCACTGCTATTGAATTATTGTTTGTTGCCTTATATGTTTCAGAATCTCTGTTCTTAAATTTGGACCGATATACATTCTTGAAAGAATTGTCAGTGGATCTACCTGATTGCCAAAATTTGTTTGACATCATCCCAGAGGGATTCAAAAATCTTCATGACATGGAGAAATTTATCATCTGCAACATTCAGTTTCGAAGCAGTTCACCCAGACTTGGTAAATGGAAACATGCATATACAGAGAATAATTCAGGGAAATTTGAACATGATGCAATTCTAGGCAGTTTATTGGAGTTATTCCAAATAAGTGTGCGTTGGCTCAAAGCCACGCTAAATGTGCAACTGTAATCCTATGCCTGTGTTACTGTGAGTTCTGCTAGCTACAACGGGACTTACTCCTGATTTAACATGCGTAAGACTTCACTGCTTGCCCAATTGTTTCCAATAAGATACAGAGTTCAGTTCAGCTTAGGCATCACTAAAGCTTACTAATATTTGAACTGAAACTATAATGCAGTCCTAAATTGGGCTCAGAGTGCCCGGTGACGCAGCGGGTTAAACCGCTGGGCTGCTGAACTTGCTGAGTAAATATTCAACAATAATTTAAAGACATGAAGTTATGAGTAAAACAAACAAGTTATTTTAAAAGAAGTCTACTTGAATCTTTGTCTGTTGAATGCATTGAATAGAAGCAAGATATTTACAAGCTCAGCAATCATCCATTACTCAATAAACTAAAGGAATACGTCTGAAACGCTGCTACCCAATAGGTTATGAAACTAACAGGTCAAAATCCATAATCACCAATAGGTTGTTATCCTAACAGGTCATTATCCTTATCCCAACAGGTTATGATCCATTATCCCAATATATGCTGACAGAAAAAGGAATATTTTCTCCTTTTAAAAAAGTAAATGTATACAAGGGTTAAGGGAAGTCCTTCATAGTTGTATTTTTTATCATACCATAAAATGTTTTCTTTTACAGCTGAATTCATACGGAATTTCAAAAAATTATCTGTTTTTCATCTGAAGAATTCTTATTTTTCTGATCTGGAGAATCTTATGGATGCCATGTCTTTTTGCAAGATGTTGACAGAACTAGAGCTTTCTGGCTTGTTTTTCACAGATGAAGACCTGTTCTTTCTTAGTAAGAGAAAATTGAGAAACTTTTGCAATATTGATAATATGTTCAATTTCTGTTCAGTCAAAAGGTTGTACTTTATAACTTGTGGGATCATTGAGTTACACAGAGTAAGAGAAAGCTGCTTTCTTATCAATTAGACAATGCTAGCTGATCACCAGGCACATTTCTGTCCTTTCCAATCTCCACAAACCATTGAAACAAACAGTATAAAAATATTCAGGTCCCACACTTCTCATGTTCTTCATCATAATTAAGACAATGTCATATGTATTAGCAGTCAGCTTGAGCATTGAATTATGACTCTGGAGACCAAGATACGAATCTCTGCTCAGCCATAGAAACCCACAGGGTGAACTTGGGCAAGCTACATTTTCTCAACCTCAGTGTAAGGCAAAGGCCAACTCCCTCTGAACAAATTTCGCCAACCCCCCCCCCCCTCAAAACAAATCATGATCGATTTACCTTAGGAGTGTCATAATTTGTAAACAACTTCAAGGCACACAGCACACAAACATATCTATTAAACTTTGACCCAGACCATTCATGATGATCTTGGAAGACTGGCAGTCAGAATGTAAAAACTGATCATTGTATGTAGGTGCTAATCAGAATAATTAACATCTACCTCACTTCAATGGATATTGAGGGTACTAAAGATGGGGTAGTATTCTTTTACCAGGATGACATTTACACTGCAGAGGCCTCTTTGCTTAAACCTCTGCAGGTATAGCACTACCTCATTAGTTGTTCTCATGGTAGGGACCAACATGGTGTATTTCAGGAGATGGCCACATTTATGCCAGATTTGAAAGCCTTCTTGATGATTTAACAAAAGCACATGTTCAGACCCCAAACTACAATGGACTGAGGCTAGAGTAACAACTTTCTCTTCCACACTGTCAAGAATTCCAAAGGTTTACTAGTGTTCTGCCTTCATTGCAGCAAACTAGCAGGCTTTCTGCCATACGCCTCCTCTTCTCCCATAGGATTGCCCTATAGGATATTATAGGATTTTCCTCCCAGTACCCTTTCAAATTGTTCAATAAGTAAACAGCTAGTCATTTAGAAGACATACAACTACCATTACAATCAAGGCAATTTTCAGTGTTTATATTTCTAATAGAGAATTAGACATTAGGCAGTCAGAGTATTATGAAGTGTGCATTTTAGAGAACTTATGCCATCAGTCTTAGAAGAACTGCACCAGCTTCCAATTTCCAAATCCAACTCAAGTTGCTGGTCTTGACCTATAAAGCTTGGGGCCAGAATATCCAAAGTCTGTACCCTCTCATATAAGCATGCCTTATCTAAGATCATTGGCAAAGCCCTCGTTACATATTTTACCATGATGGAATATCATAGTGAGTGTGAACATATGGCAGGAGTTGCTCTACAGCAGCAACTTGACTATTGACTTCCTCTTGAGGGACGTCAGGTTGGCTCCATCCCATCTGCCAGGCAGCAAAGACAGTGCTACTTCACTTCTTCTTTGGTTCTCAAAAGTAGGGGTATCTGCCCTGGTTTTGGAACTGTTTTTTAAAGAGGAATTTTGGAGTGCATGTAATTAGTTGTTAGTTACATACTTACGTTTTCTAAAAATGTTTTTATTGACTGCATTTCCAGAGGAAGGGGGGAAGGGGCTCTAGTGAGTCAAGAAGAGATTATTCTGTGTGCTTTTGTCTACATTTAGAAATGTTACTTAAAAAATCAATCCAAAAAACCTGGGTCACTCTATCCATCCATCTATGCAAGTACTATATCTTAACTCTCATCAAAACAAGGAACCATGCCTTTTCTGAATAGACTGGCAAAAGGTGAGAGTTTGGTCCATCCCAGAAGAACCTAAAAGGAGTACCATGATGCCACTTCTGGCCTTTATGGACGCTGGGGTGAGGGAATGGCAGCAGTGGCTAGGGAAAAGCTGGCCCCTGGACCAGCGTTGCTGCTTTCCTCTCTCTACAAAATGATCCTCAACTTATCCATGGATCATATCAAAATACATGTTGGCCCCCAAACATACCCCCAGTGTATATATGAGGTCCACTTATACACGAGTGTGATGTTGTTGATATGTTCAGTCGCTTCCGACTCTTCGTGACCTCATGGACCAGCCCATGCCAGAACTCCCTGGCAGCCATCGCCACACCCAGCTCCTTCAAGGCCAAGCCAGTCACTTCGAGGACAACATTAATCCACCTTGCCCTTGGTCGGCCCCTCTTCCTTTCTCCTTCCATTTCCCCCAGCATTATTATCTTCTCCAAGCTTTCTTGTCTTCTCATTATGTGGCCAAAATACTTAATCTTTGCCTCTAATATCCTTCCCTCCAGTGAGCAGTCAGGCATTATTTCCTGGAGTCTGGACTGGTTGGATCTTCTGCAGGCCAAGGCACTCTCAGAATTTTCCTCCAACACCACATGATACATGAGTGTATATATAGTAATAAATGTTACAGCTTTCTCTTGAAATATCTTATGCACTTCAATAGCTCAAATAATGAGAAACAGACTAGTAATATGGCTGCAAAAGTCTCTTCTTCCCTTGCCTTGAGGAACTGAATACAACTGAACTGAACTGAACTGAGCCAACTGAATACATTAACTATGCCATCATCTGTATAATGCTTTTCATCTAAGACTATATTTATATTTACCTCTTTTACAGCTGCTGCTTTGCCAAATTTTGCTGGACTAAAGATATTGAGGCTCAATGGCCTGAATGTCGACAGCAAGGAAATTGGTACAGCACTGGGTATGGTTTACCTATTTATTCTTCAAAATTATCTTCTAATATCAATATACACAATTTGTAGTCCTTCAGATAATGCTGACCCTCAAGTCCCATTTGTTCTCATTTTTGGAAATCTGAGCTTTTAAACTCAAAAATAACCCTCACTGGGAGTGATTCCACAAAATATAGCAGATGCCAGAAGCACAGTTCATAACTAGCAGGTTACATGTAGTGAGCAAGGATTAACCTTCATTCATCAGGATGGAATAGGATCGCAGGGAGCCACAACTTCATAGGTTCCAAAATATATGTATATTTAAGTGAAAGGAAATCCATTCTGGATAGAAAAAGTTCTTGGAGCTAACTAGCTTACTAAGCTATCTTCTAACAAAAGAGGATAAAAATAACAAAACAGTATCCATGATCTAGAGCTGGAATTTAGGGGTCTTTGCCAGGAGGCAGAGACAAATTAGACTCATCAAAGAGTTCTTTTTCCCTGGCGAGACAGAGAAGCACCCAATATTTTTCCCTGATTTCCCAATGAAAGGTCTCACCAAGTTGAAGAAAGGCCATCGAGGTTTAATGTGATTCAGCTGAAAAGGATGCAGAGTTGCAATCATTCGCCAAAGCTAAGCATGAGGAGAATACACCAATACAGTCATATTTATAGTAAATTCAAAGTTGCAGAGTTCAAACTTCCCACCCCAGCCTCCCTGCTGCCCTCCACCATGATTGGACGATGGGCAAACAGCTGGGAGGCAGCCCTCCCGCCCCCGGCGCCTCTGGACCAATCAGGAAGCTCCAGTGGCCCTTGGGATCCAATGGGGAGACCTCTGCCACCTGGCAGCGACAACAAATCAGGAGAGAGGGAGGCGGGACGATAGAACACAAAGGAATCTATGAATGAGTCTTTTTTAAAAAAGGAAATGCCATGTGGCCTGCGAGACAAAAAGCTAAAGCAGGGCTGACCTATTGTGTTTTGAGTGTTGTAAATCAACATGTGTAAAAATATCCTTCCTGGCTGTGAGACAGGAGAACAATGATGGCAGCCTGGGGTTAATGCTATCAATGTGAAGTAAACAAAAAGCAGAGGGAAAGATTTCCCTTTATCTTACTTGAAGAGTGACAGAAACTTTGCCAAACAATTCTTTACTCTAGTGGGCCATCTCCGATGCTAGAGATAAGAATCTTTTCCTATCGTCCATGCAAGAGTGTCTTTGGCTGGGGGATTTCTGTAATCACTAATGGCTTTTGCTCCGGAAGGCCAGGTGGTTCCCTTACATATTTCTTTGGAGGAAGAAGAGGGCAAAGGGTCAGGCTATGGTCAGGAATACAAGGAAACATAAAAATCATATAGAAATTATACGCAGAGAAATCATATGCAGGTAGGTGGTCTGTGGTCTGCTCTTCTCTGCACCTGCATGTTGTGGACTCCACTCTGTAGCCCCATTTCTTAAGCTTGGCTCTGCATCTTGTGGTGCCAGAGCGCAGTCTGTTCAGCGCCTTCCAAGTCGCCCAGTTTTCTGTGTGCCCAGGAGGGAGTCTCTCATTTGGTATCAGCCATTGATTGAAGTTCTGGGTTTTAGCCATTGATTGAAGTTCTGGGTTTTAGCCACTTTTGGACTCTTGCTTGCTGAGATGTTCCAGCAAGTGTCTCTGTATATCTTAGAAAACTATCTCTCGATTTAAGTTGTTGGCATGCTAGCTGATATCCAAACAGGGGATGCACTGGAGATATCACTGCCTTGGTCCTTTCACTATTGGTTGCTACTTCCCGACGGATGTCAGGTGGTGCAATACCGGCTAAACAGTGTAATTTCTCCAGTGGTGTAGGGCGCAGACACCCCGTGATAATGTGGCATGTCTCATTAAGAGCCACATCCACTGTTTTAGCGTGGTGAGATGTGTTCCACACTGGGCATGCATACTCAGCAGCAGAGTAGTAAAACGCAAGGGCAGATGTCTTCACTGTATCTGGTTGTGATCCCCAGGTTGTGTCAGTCAGCTTTTGTATAATATTGTTTCTAGTGTCCACTTTTTGCTTGATATCCAGGCACCGTTTCTTGTAAGTCAGAGAACAGTCCAGGGTAACTCCCATTGCAAAGTATTCACATTACTAAGTATTCAAAGGGGGAGGAGATAGTAGCAAGCAAAGAAGAGTAAAGACAGAGCCCCTTTAAAGCCCCTTCTGAAATAGACATGCATAGGAATTTGGGGGAAGGAATTCCTCACTCTAATTCTATCTAGTCTAACTACTCATTGAGGGCTTGAGACTTGTGCATTCAGTAATGAATCCCAACATTCCTCATTGGCTATACTGGCCAGGATCACAGAAAATCAACAATGCCACGTGGAAAGACATAACTTCTTCACCTATTCTAAAATCTTATTATTGGGGAGAGGGAGGGCGAGGGGCAGGTGCCTGATACTTTAAAAAAAATACATAGCTCTGAAATTTCAGAAATAGAGTTGGGTAAATAATTAAGACTTCAATATTTTCCCCAGTTTCCTGGGGGTAATATAACTAACGGACTTGTATTTGCATAGATTTGGAGTATGTAAAAAACGAATTCCAAATGTTTTGCAGGAGAAGCTCTGGCTCCTCTTGAGAATTTGGAGGAACTTTCTCTGCCTGTTGGAAAAGGAATGATTGACGCAGCTAAACTAATTCTCCAGCAATGCTGCCATTTTCCAAATCTCCAAAAGCTGGAGTTTAATCAGCATTTGAGTGGTGACGGCCTCTTGGAAATAGGTAAGTTTAAAAAAAAATCTCAGCAAACCTTTCCTCTGCCCATAATAATAATTATTTTTGTACCCCACCTCCATCTCATCGGGGCGGCTTAGATAGAGTGATCAACATTATCTTCAGATCTGGCCTAGCCATCTCATCTTCTAATAATATTTAGGGACATCGGCTGTGAAATGATCAAAGGACCCTACCTCACAAAAATATTAGAAGATTCTTGATCTGGTTCTTCCCATTTGACTTGTTGCACCAGAACAAATTTAAGGCTCAGCCTTGAATAAGTACAACCTGCTGCTGACTTGCTTTCAGAGAAATTCAGTTTTAGCATTCCCACTCATAAATGAATTATATGGTTCATTTTTTTTATTTTTCCTATGATCATTATCTTGCAAACATTTTGCACTATTCTCCTCATCATGAGTGCATATGCATTTCTCAGCAATACATCTCAGCTATTATTATCATGGTTTGAGATGGTTTAAAACAATTTGGTTTAAAAGTGGATACAACTGATTTTCATAATGTTTGTGTATATTTATAGTTTGTTTTTCTTCCAGCATTGAATGTTTGCTGTATTTATGTTGTGCTCTGCCCTGAGTCCCCTTCCAGGTGAGAAGGGCGGAATATAAATGTTTTAAATAAATACATATCAGAGTCCACAGTTCTTTGAACCACTTGGTGTCAAATGGATGCACGTCTGGTTCCTGGAAATAGAACAATTGCATAGAATTTGAGAGCAGGTATAGGCAATTACTTTTGAGGCATAAAATTTCTTGCTCACTTGCAAGTCATACTGATTGGGGGATTATTGGTTAAAAATATTATTGATCAGTCTTTTGTATTCACCGTATTTTTGCATGAATTAAATCTAATCCCATTTAATTACAAGCCATGCAACATAAAAAGTCATATAGAGTCAGCCCTCAGTACTCATATTTTCTATGCATTGGAAATATTTTTTAAAAATCCAAAAGATAAACCTTGATTTTACACTGTTGTATATTATGGGACTTCTACACCCACATATTTTGTTATCTATGGTGGTCCTGGAATGGAATCCCAATGGATACCAAGGGCCCATCGATCCATATCCCAGAGAATAAGAAACAGAGTTCAGATTCAGTTCCCATCTATCCCCAAAGAGGTGAGAAATATTGAGATTGCTATCAGCTTGGTTCAGTATGCATTTTTACAACTTTGGAACCTATATTTTATTCTGTTTTTTAAGCAAAAGTTGCAGCTGGTGGAGGTTTCCAAAAGCTTGAAGTCTTGAAGCTCTCGGTGAACCACAGCATTTCAGAAGAGTTTTGGAGAAGGTTCTTTGAAACATTGCCCCAGGTGCCAAAATTACAGAATGTGGACTTTAGTCGCATTTTCACACATCCAATCAAATGCCAGGCAGCAACGGTGAAGTCTTTTGTCCAGTGTGTCTCCAGGCAGCACAGCCTCAAGGTTATTAACATGATTGGTTGGTTGTTTGATGAGAAGGACCTCCAAATGTTTGACGTCATGAAGGAGCAACATCCGCAGTCTAAACTTTTAAGCTTGAATTGGAAATGGATGTTGCCTGTTTCACCAGTTATAAATAAATAGAGAAATAGAAGTGGGCCACATTGTGTCAAACAGTTTAATATATTTGTTAAGAAGGACAGATAAGGATGGGTTCATATTAAATGACTTGTGGGGATTTGCCAGAATTCATTGATTTCACTGAGCATATATAAAATCAATGCCCTTGGATGTTTCCTCCTACACATCATAAACTTTTTACGTATCTCAAATTTTAAGGAAGAAATTTAAGAAAACAGTAGCATAATGTTTTTCCAAGAAATGTGGTTCTAGATATGTGGAAACGACATCCAGGTGTGACATCCAGGTGAAGCTATAATTCCTCTACATACTAAAACCTTTCCAGTGGCTGCCATTTTATCACTGTTTTTATTATACAAATCAGCATTTCAAATTGATATTTTGGCTGCCTGTATGTTGAAATTAAAACATTGGTCTCATTAAATGAAAGAACATTTAAAATGAAGTATAAAGCAAATGATTGGAGGAAAAAACACAATCTGGCTGGGTGCACTGTCATTTCCCACCCGCCCCCCAATAAAAGATTTCTGATCAATGTTTTTTGGTGATTATGAGCTATAGTTGGATACGGACAGTTAAGATGATGTATACATAATTACCTCGTAAAAGAAGATTTTTGTGAAATGTATGTTTAGGTAAAACGGATTTTTCCCTTCTCCATCAACAGTAATGATATTGCACATAGTAGTGTAGGCATAACACATTGAGACATATCTATGAAGAAATAAACTCAACAATATGGAAGTAAAGGTTTCCCCTTGCCATTAAGTCTAGTTGTGTCTGACTCGGGGGGGGGGGGGGGGGGGGGGGGGGGGGTGATGTTCATCTCAATTTCTAAGCTGAAGAGACAGCATTGTTTGTGGATGCCACCAAGGTCATGTGGATGGCATGACTGCATGGAGTGCTGTTACCTTCCCACCGAAAAGGTACCTATTGATCTACTCACATTTGCAGGTTCTCAAACTGCTAGGGTGGCAGAAGCTGGGCTAACAGCTGGAGCTCACCCTGTTCCCCAGATTCGAACCACTGAGCTTTTGGTCAGCAAATTCAGCAGCTCAGCAGTTTAACCCGCTGCACCACTGGGGGCTCCTACAGTATGGAAAATCAATTGAAATTCTAGTTCTACTTTAAACAAAAAACCTAGGTTCCAACTCTCTGAAAGTATTCAGATTTGTAATTAAGTTAGATTTACAACTGTATTGGAAAATTTTATTAAATATACCCATTGACTCCAATGTTAAATACAATTTATTCAGTCAAGTATGACACCAAATCCAGGTTTGATTGCACCAGTGTTCAAATTCATGTCCCAAAGCTTCTGTCCATGCCAAAAGACATGTATCTGAACACAAGACTTGCTGTAGATCATGCATTAGCATACTGATAAACGTTTCATCATTAAGAGGAAGAAGGAACACAGCTTCCTTTATCCTCAAGGTATGAAAAGGCAGCAGGCTGAACTGGAGCCCCAAGCTATGAGGAAGGAAGCAGCAAGGAGAAGCATAGTACTATGTAAAAAAAATTGGAAAAAAAACTGTTCCTGTTTAGAAAGTGTTATTTCCTGTTTAATTGTGCAATACTTACTTGTTATACTCCAGAAACTTCATTTTTGTGGCTGCCACAAACCATGTTGAATTGGTTGACTCTGAGATATTCATCGAAAAACTATAGCAAAATGTGCTACAGGATGTCCCGCAAAAATAAAGTTCTTGCAGTTTAATAAACCTTTTCTATTTTTTCCATGATATTTAATTATTTATCGTGTCATCCGCAACCAGAACATTGTATTACATTTCTAACAGAACAAAACAAACAAACAGATACAAAAAAACACAAATTTTGCAAACTTGGTAGCTGATTAAATGTCCTTTGACCAGTATCTGGCCACTTGGAGTGCCTCTGGTGTTGCCGCAAGAAGGTCCTCCATTGTGCATGTGGCAGGGCTCAGGTTGCATTGCAGCAGGTGGTCTGTGGTTTGCTCTTCTCCACTCGCATGTCGTGGATTCCACTTTGTAGCCCCATTTCTTAAGGTTGGCTCTGCATCTCGTGGTGCCAGAGCGCAGTCTGTTCAGCGCCTGCCAAGTCGCCCAGTCTTCTGTGTGCCCAGGGGGGAGTCTCTCATTTGGTATCAGCCATTGGTTGAGGTTCTGGGTTTGAGCCTGCCACTTTTGACTCTCGCTTGCTGAGGTGTTCCAGCAAGTGTCTCTGTAGATCTTAGAAAACTATTTCTAGGTTTAAGTCGTTGACATGCTGGTTGATACCCAAACAGGGGATGAGCTGGAGATGTCTCTGCCTTGGTCCTTTCACTATTGGCTGCTACTTCCCGGCGGATGTCAGGTGGTGCAATACCGGCTCCTATGGAATCGGTTTCATGATAGAACCGATTAGGAAATGACATTTATAACCGAGGAACAAAAATCCTGTAACATAGTGTAGTGTGATCACTGTTGCAAAAATGACAAACAGCTGTACATAAAAGCATATAGCCATGCTATGATCACTAACATTAATTTTTTATTCTTTCAAGGCAGGAATAAGAATGCAGCCTTCTAGATATTCTTGGACCGTAACTCCCAACATTCCTTAGCACTGGCTAGGGCTGCTGCAAACTGCAATTCAATTATGTGCTATTCCCATCCTTGCTTTGAAAAACTCCCCCATTTCACGTTATACACTGCAATAACATCAGACAGGATTTTTAGCTTACTGGAAAATACAAGTCAGGAGCTTTAGGTTATCAGGAAGTGTGCCTTATAAGCTTCAGCACCTTGCTCTTTCCAGAATTACTTCTATTTTCTGCTTAATTGCATCTGTTCACCTTTCTCTGCTTTCCTTGGTCTGTGATGTGAGAAAAATAATTCTTACTAACATTCGAATTGTTGAGCGAGTGGGCTTATTAACAAAAAACTATCCTCAAAAATGTACAGCAGAGTAACTTATCAGCAGCAGAGTAACCCAGCACCAGTAGGCCAAAAATGATAAAAAAAAATAATACACAAGCCAGTGTTCTCTTCCATAGGAGGCTTTTCTATATAGCAAAATAATATGGTTGCATTACTTACAAGAGTAAAATTTTGGAGCCTATCCAGTTCAACCCTCTGCCAAACAGGAAAATCGCATTCAAAGCATCAGTGACTGATGGCCATCCAGCCTCTGTTTAAAAGCCTCCAAAGGAGGAGCCTCCACCACACTCCGGAGCAGAGAGTTCCACTGCTGAACAGCTCTCATGGTCAGGAAGTTCTTCCCAATGTTTTGGTAGACTCTCCATTCCTGTAGTTTGAAGCCATTGTTCTACATCCTAGTCCCCAGGGCAGCAGTAAACAAGCTTGCTCTCTCCTCCCTAACTTCCCCCTCACATATTCATACATGGCTCTTCTCATGTCTCCTCTTCTGCAAGCTAAACATGCCCAGCTCTTTAAGCCGCTCCTCATAGGGCTTGTTCTCGAGACCCTTGATCATTTTAGTCATTCACATTCCAGTTTGTCAACATTTCCCTTCAATTGCGGTGCCCAGAATTGGACACAGTATTCCAGGTGTGGTCAGACCAAGGCAGAACAGAGGGGTAGCATGACTTCCCTGTATCTAGTCACTAGACACCTATCGATGCAGGCTAAAATCCCATTGGCTTTTTTGCCGCCGCATGATATTGTTGGCTTATGTTTAACTTCTTGTCCACGAGGACTCCAAGATCTTTTTCACATGTACTGCTGTTGAGCCAGCAATTTGCTGTCGAGTCTGCAAACTTGATGATCATGCCTTCTAACCATTCATCTAAGTCGTTAATTAAAAAGTTGAACAGAACTAGGCCCAGGACGGAACCCTGCGGCACTCCAGTCATCCCTTCTTTCCAGGATGAAGAGGAAGCATTGGTGACCACGCTTTGGGTTTGTTCACTTAACAAATTACAGATCACCTAACCATAGTTTTGCCTAGACCAAATTTGACTAATTTCTTTGCCAGATGGTCATGGGGATCTTGTCGAAGGCCTTACTGAAATCCAGATACGCTACATCCATGGCATTCCCTACATCTACCCAGCTTATAACTATCAAAAAAAGAGATCAGATTAATCAGCCATGACTTATTTTCGGTAAATCTGTGTTGATTGTTAGCGATGACCGCATTTGTTTCTAAGTGTTTGCAGACCACTTCCTTAACAATCTTTTCCAGAATCTTGCCTGGTATCGACATGAGGTTGACCAGACAGTCATTGTTTGGGTTGTCTTTTTTCCCCTTCTTGAAGTAGGGACCACATTTGCCCTCATCAACGGTCAAACTGTAAAAAGGGACAATGTTTATAACTTCCAGATAAATACTTCGTAGACTCTTAAAAATTGTAAACAGAGACATTGAAAAAAAAAATATTTTATTGACCAATATTTCAAACGAGTTGGGTGTATTGACCACTGGATAATTATCCTGATGGCTCTGTACAGTTCTTACTCAGATCACTATTTCCACCCTTGGATATGAGTGTCAGCCTATTGTCATTGCAGAACTAGAAAAAGAAAGAGATTGAACAACTTGGAAAACCACTGTAAGCATCAGTGGTAGCCTCACACATCAAAATTTATACGAAGGTTCTTTGCTCAAGAGTCCAGAACAGGCACCTAATTGCTAATGTATGGTGACCAGATAAAAGGAGGGCCATCCAGTCTGTAATCTTGTTAGCAATGAAAACACCACTGCCAATCACTGTATCAGCAGTACTTCCTGCTTTGGATTACCCATTTGGTCATCTCTGCACCAGTGAAAACTTCACTGCTGATCAATGCACAGGTGGAATGTCTTGCTCTGTAAGGAAGAGATTTTAAAGAACCTTATAGCAAAATGACTCCATTTTTGAAAAACCTCTTAAGCCAGTTTTGTTAAGTTTATGCCAGATCCAAGATGACTTAATGTATCAAGAATAAAAGTGAAACTCTCTTAGTCAACCACCCATGCTTAAGTACTGACTGTGCATACTAGAAAAGGTAACATGCAGCAAGACAATATTGTTTCCCCACCCCATTTTAATCAAGTCTTCATTCGTTTAGTGATTAGTTTTTTCATAGGCTCCAAAAAATACCACAAGCTATGCCACAAAACAAACTGGACCTCAATGCTGAGGGCCCCTTTTGTGCTTTCAAAATAAATCCAACACACCCTCCCCTGCCCTACAAGATAAGAGAAAATGAAATACTTACAATGTCATTTGGAGTGGGCATTTCTCCCCAATGCAGCCTCCATTCGACTCTGTTTTAAACCCTGTGCAATATCGGATACAGAATAGTTTATAACTGAATCCCAGTTTGTTTTGAGGTTCTATAAATCATTGAGACTGAAATAAACATATGCTGAAACGCAATTGTCTAATTTTCCTTCAGTTAATAGAAGAGATGAAATCACCAGGCCGCAGAATAAAAGGGACATTGGTTGGAGTATCCTATTTCTCAGATTCTGGTAGGAAATTGGCAGTCTGTTCTTTCAGACTCTTTGGCAGGTTTGGAATTTGTGCAGATCTTGTTGGACCACATTTCCCAGCAGCCCTTCCCACCAAAAAGTTGCAGTTGCAACACCCCTGGAAGGCTGCACAGTTTCCACCTATAATTTCCCACGTACAATGTCCAATGTGTCAAGCTTGACTGGAAGTCCTTCCCTGGCTTGGCAACCTGATTATCACAGTCCGACTGATGTTAATAACTGGAACAGATGTCAGTGTCAAACCTCTTGGCAAGATATGTTCAGAAGGGTTTGCCATTGCCTTCCTATGAGGCCAAGGGAGTGTGACTTGCCCAAGGTCATCCAATGGGATTCCATGACACAAACCCTAGTCTCCAGAGTCATAGTCCAATGCTCAAACTACTACACCATGCTGTCTCTATCAGGGTTTTAGCCTATTTACATTATTTCCTATCTTTTAAATATTATTGGTGCATCATCCTATAATCATAAGACATAGGACAGGCTGTAACAGGCACGGGCAAACTCGCCCTCCAGGTGTTTTGAACTTCCAACTCCCATAATTCCATTGGCTGCTAGGAATTGTGGGAGTTGAAGTCCAAAACACCTGGAGGGCCAAAGTTTGCACATGCCTGGGCTATAAGTATGTGTATGTGTGTGTGTATGTGTATGTGTGTGTATATATCTCATTAAGGGTAAAGAGAATTTTATTTCACATTATTAACAAGTCACGGTTGTATCGTTTCTTCTTCTGTCTCTACAAATCAAATAAAATGTAATCATTTAAAAAGGGCTCATTCCTTTCAGAGGATCTCACTGCTTCATCTTGCTTCATCTTTGGTATCTTAGAGATGCCAAAGTTGGTTAGATTTTTCTCCAAGCCATACAGACCATTTATTTTAATGTATACAACTAATCAAATGAATATATTCTATGTTGTTTCCCCAATTTCTCTCCTCATCCTTCCTTTTTTGTATTCATCATGATTTTTTAAAAAGAAATAATGTGAAAACTGATGTTGAGGTTGATTGGCAAAGACCTTCTGCAACAGCAACAGAAGCTTTGGAGTCACTCTGGTCAAGCAATAAAGAAAGCAATGAGTAAAGAATAGATGGGCAAGGTATGAAAAATAATAATGGTGGATCTTGAAAGGAACCAATTCAAGAAGAATATTCTGAAGTTCTAGGTTTTTATTTTAAATCCCTCTTTAATTTTTCTTCAGTTGCTGTATCTACAGTGGTTTGCACATGCAACATTTACTTTTCCGAATAAATTTCTAAAAATGAAACCCATGTACTATTAGCCACACACTTAAAGCTGAATAAGCTGCCCTTCCCTAAGATGCATTTCTTACCAAATAATAGCCTGTGTGATAGCCGCTCATATACCAGGCAATCAACATACTTCCCAAGGCTTCATCGTCATCAGGAGAATCTTGACTCAGAATTGGAGGAGGAGGAGGCATCAACTAAGAAAACAAAAGAAGATGACTTCTAAACTAAACTGATGAAACTTTTTTATACGAAAATTTGAAACGCAACTTCCAAGTAAGTCACAAAGAAGAACAGAAATATTTTCATGGAACAGATACATTTCACCTGGCTACTGTTGGAATTCAACCCCAAACTGCCCAAGTCTCAAGTCCTCAATGAGGAACAGTTAGCTAGCTTAGTATAGACTAAGTGTTTTCCTTTGCCCATGTCTCCTGTATGACAGTTGGGAATGAATCTATTTGCTCTCTCCTCTCTGTTCCTGCTCTCATTCCGACTGGTTGTTTAAAATTGATACTTTTCGAATGCAAGCTTTTTGAATCTGACTTTTGCTTTCTTAGAATTTAGTATGGAAATTACGTGCTGTGTGCTTTGAGATCTCTCTCTGCTTGTGTGTCAGGAGAGATGTATGATTGGTGTTTTCTCTCTCTCTTAAAATCTTAGAAAAGATGGGTATTAGAGTAGCTCAGACCAGTTCTTTACGATTCAGAAATACAGTTATTGTTGATTATTGTAAGTAAACCTTTTGTGATTTTGAAGACTGGACTCTGCATCTTTGCCTGCCTAAGCTCTTAAATTCTTTACAGCCACATCACACGGCACTTCATGCTCTGCTCACTAATGAGCTGATGCTCAACTTTTGTATCCTGTTTGTTTTTGGATGCTCTGTTGTATATTTTAGGGTAGTTTTCCCTAACAGCTACAACTAGCACCTATTGTCCAGTTACAATTATACAGTTTATTCTAGCATTTCATTGTAAAACTGAGGATTTTTAAAACAATTTTACTTTGCAAGTATATTAATATATGGAAAATCACTGATTTGGAGGAATAAAAACTGTGGCAACAGGGGATGATCCATGATACAAACAGATGGCTGCCATATAAAACAGTACATTTCAGAGACTGGGTTATCAACTTTACATCAATCACTCACCGGTGGTCCTGATGGAAATGGTGGAGGCCAGCCTGAGAGGAAAGGTGGAGGGCCACTGAATTTCATCCCAGTCTACATTTATGTCATTTCCACAGCAAGAAAAGAAGATCTTCATTATACCAACAGCCTCAAAATGTAACATATCATAGTTATCTATAGAACTCCACTAAAAAAGTGTAGTTCTTATATTTCTCACAATCATAACACACAAATAAGTTGGTAACAGTTCAAAAGTGGTAAAAAAATTGACAAATTTTCTCCAAGGCTGTCAAGTACAATTCCATATTCAGATGACACTAAACACTAATTACACATTACTTCAGCTTTGTTAATAAGCAGTAACCTTGTAGCCTCACACTCCATTTTACTTTGGGAACATCAATACACTGGACACATTTCAATAGAACAGACCTCCATTCTTTTGCTGGTAAAACAAGACTGGAGGACTTTTATAATCATGACAATAGTGGCACAACTGGGGATATAAAAGAACCTTGAATACAAATCAGTTTTGGATGCGTAACTCCAGGTTAAGGATTTGAAATTGGGAAAGAGAATTCCAACCACAAACATTTGCAGGCTCATTTACAATCCTGAACCACTGGACAGGGATTGAATATAGGCCCTTTTATACAGAAGACATATGTTCCATATCACTAAGATACAGCCCCATGAAACTATAGTGCCTTGATTGTGAACATTATGGCTCCTTCCATTCAATTTCTAAAGAAAATGGTAATGCAATCACATAAAATATGTTAACATTATTCCACAGTAATATGAAGATTTTCTATTTTCTTTTTATGCTTACCCTTCGTGTGCCTGGAAATTGTGGTGGTGTGAAATGGCAATTCCAATGTGCTGATTTTGTATTATTATTTTTGTTACCAGGTGACTGGAAAGAGAGGTCACTTTCGTCTGTAGAATATTGAGTCTCATTTTCATTCTATAAAACATTATAATTTTGAATTTGACAGATACATTTTAAACCATATTTATGGGAAACAAGGAAGAAAGTCCCAAATGTACATCACATTGTTCCTGTTCCACTGTCACATTGCTCTCCAATAACTCCCTTTTCAGAGCAATTCACCATACTCCTTATTTCCATCAAATTTCAAAAAGTTACATCCCATGTCACATATAGCTGCCTTTCTATTCATTTTTGCTTATCATAGATACATATGTATAAATTGACTTTCTGTATAAGGGCAGGTTTTGTGGCCAAAATTATATTTTTTATAAAACCTAGAAAAACCAAGGGTCTGGGTTGCTGTGAGTTTTCCAGGCTGTATTGGCTATGTTCCAGAAGCATTCTCTCTTGATGTTTCATCCACATTCTCTCCTGATGTTTCAGAGGATGCCTGCCATTGATGTGGGTAAAACACCAGGAGAGAATGCTTCTGGAACATGGCCATATAGCCTGGAAAACTCACAGCACCCCGGTGATTCCAGCCATGAAAGCCTTTGACAAAACATTAAACCGAGGATCATCTCATGTAGAGAGGAAACACCAGTGTTACCTCAGGAGACCAGTCACCCCAGATGCCGCCAATTTAACTGCCCTGGTATACAAAAGGGCCTTTTGTCACTCTATTTAGAGAAGCAAATGAATCTTTTAATAATAAAAAACTATCCCCTTTTCTGCGTATAGTGCGTATAGCTCAGTTTGTGCCAGGAGAACCTAAAATAAGTCTCAAACCACTCTATTCTCTTGTGGCTCCTTTGAAGGGAAGTGTTAAAGTGTTTTCCTACCAAGGCATTCAAAAAGGCCAGAGGTAGTGGTGTTGTGGCAGAAAGAGTAGAAAGTTTCAGTGCTTCATTTAGGCCAGTGGTTCCCAATCTTTTTTGACCAGGGACCATTTTGACCAGGGACCACTCTCCATCATTAGTACCAAAAGGGTTATGTATTAGTTTTTGGTCAACTTTAGATTTGGTTTGGTTAGTTGGGGTGCCGATTCAGAAAACTGCATTGGATAGATCACATCAGCTCTAGTTTCTGATACAGAACATAGGCCATCCAGTAGTCGCCATCTGCTTGCCCACAGAAAACCATATTTAATAATCCAGAGCTGATGTGGTAGTAGCAATCTTTAATGGGTAGTTAGCCTCTCCCGTTGCCCTCAGCACTATAAGAGGGTTTTGCTAGGCCTGTCGCTCTCATTGCTGTGTGGTTTCGAGGAAATTGTGTAGTAATAGCGAGGTTGCGGACCATATTTTTGTTCTTTAGGACTATCGGTGGTCCATGGTTGGGAACCACTGATTTAGGCTTTCCTGAGGATGATCCATGAGGTCCATGAGGCTGGTCCATGAGGTCATGAAGTCGGAGACGACTGAACAAATGAACAACAACGAGGCTGATTAAGCTCTTGCCTTTCTCAGAGAAAAGAATGGCTCTCTTTTTGAAGAGTTAAGGTACAATACATTGAGCCATGGATATGTCAACTTAGTTTTCTGGGGTGGGTTTATATTGTTTGGATCTATTTTTCTCTTCTAATCTTGATTTCTTAAAATGCAGAGTATAATTTTGAAACCCTGAACACTGAGGCTATGTCTAAGCTAAACTTTGAGTATGTAGTACTCTTGTTCCAGGAACAAAATAAAAGTTAAAAGTTCAGCAAAATGTTACGATATCCTCAAAAGGAGGCAAAAGAAAATGCTGTATTATGCTAATCACAATATGAGCAACTTGTCATGTAATGTGGAGATACTCAAGGAGGGCAGCAGCTGTCTCAGTAAGTAAGAATAAAGACCACACTGGACCAAGTTACTACAGTAATAAACACAATAGGACTCAAAAACACCTTTTTTGTAGCAATTCTTAGTTCAACCGAAGCACGCGCACAAAGTTTGGTTCAAACAGAAGAAAGCAGAACTCTATCTTTGATGCATGTTACTTATACTTCCCACACAGATAACTTCTTGTACCTCTGCAATATCTATAACAATGACTATTCTTCTCCATCTCAACTGGGCATACATTTGGTATTGGTCCTTACTTCAGCAGCACTCCTCTCTTCATTTGTTCCTTCAGCATCGCCTGCTGGCAGAAGATCTGACAGACTTTGTTCTTCCCGATTTCCATATCCCGTATAGACAACAACACAAGTCCCTTTTTTCCAGTTAATTGAGTTAATAGTTGCTTGGTACACATTGCCATCTTCAGACCAAACTGCACTGCAAGCATCACCAGTTCTCCACTGCGTTAGAGGAAAAAATAAAGTTAAGTTCATGAAAGTTAATGAAATTACTTTCTCCCTCACCCCAATACACAAACATCATTTTCCTCCAGCAAAAATGAATATACTCACTGTGTTTGTGCATGCGTGTTATAATTTTTATTATTTTAGACTAGAGTTTCTCAAACTCGAATCCTTCCGGTGTTTTGGACTTCAGCTCCCAGAATTCCTTATCAATGGTCAAAGTAGATGATGCTTCTGGAAACTGAGATCCTGGAGAACTACTTTGGGAATCACTATTTTAGACATTTTGAACCGTCACCAAATAACTGAGCCCTTGACAAAACAGAGGCCTGTGTTGATATCACGCTTTGTGGTTCCCCTATAATTTTCACAAACTGTGGCAATTAAGTAACTCACAGTTTGGGTTCTTATTCTTTCAGTCTACAACTTATAGAAACTCTGGCAATGAAAAGGAATAAGATTTCAATTTCACAATAAAAAGAGTGATTCTAAATAATTATTTTATCACCATTTTTAATCACCTGCTTTTGTGGTGCACCATTGTTTTTCTTCCTACTTTTGTTCTTTTTGTTATTTTTTCTTTTTGTCCCAGAATTTTGCTCAGTTTTATCCAAAGATTCTGAACAGTCTCCATTTTTCAATGCATTCTGTTGGAGGAAAAAAATGAGTTTAAAAATAACAGCTCCCTCCACTTCTTGATCCCCACATTACACCTATTCTACATTTTTATTCAACATATACATTTTGATATGAATGGTTCAGTGTATGTAACCTGATACACCAACATCATAATCATCATGATTTTAATTACACCCCGCTTTATCTCTCCTGCAGGAGACTCAGCATTCATTTCTACAAGCAAATTTTAACTAATGATCCAGGTATTTTGGAAATGATTTCTTTACTAAAAGCTCTAGAGTTATACATGAGTATATTTCTCTGATACTGAAGATGTTAAATGCTAATTGTAGAAACTAGAAATCTGCTTTCAAATAAATTTCTAGAAACTGAGTTTTGAATTTCATTTCTGAGTATGTATTCCTACATTTGTTCTGATTTGGGAGCAGTTAAATGTATGTGTCATGTTTTTGACAAATTACCTGCCCTTTCTCTCTACAGCATCCTTTCTTCACAAAGGGCCTAGCAAAGCATTTCACCTGGAAGAATTCCAGCAACATATTACTTACTGAAAAAAATGGCACTGACTACATAATATACCCAGTATTGTTTTTGATATCTTAATCTTTTAGGTGAGAGATTCCACAGGCAAAGCGTTTGTTTTATCAGTTACCCTAGACTGTGGAATGACCTGCCTAAAGAGCTCAGACGGCTAAATGAGCTGTCAGAATTTAAAACACAACTGACAACCCATCTCTTCCGGCAGGCCTACCCAGTCAACAGTGAACCACGAGTTTTGGGTCTGCATTCTATTACTGCTGTTTTTTATCCTTGGTATAGGTATTTTATAGTGGTCTGTTTTGATATATGTATTTTATCATATGCACATATTTTATGTTGATATGTGTTTACTGTGTTTTACTCCACTTCGAGTTGTGAAGAGAGACAGGCAGCAAGTTGTTGTTGTTGTTACTACGACTACTATTTTCAGTATTTCTACAATTGAAAAATTGGAGTACAATTGGATTTTGTACTCCAATTCTTGCTACTAACATTTTGCTTGGTATTCAGGGCAATTTATTACTCCTCTTTTCTACTTCTATTTTCTACATTCAGGCCCCTTCCACACAGCTAAATAAAATCCCACATTTTCCGCTTTGAACTGGAATATATGGCAGTGTTGACTCAGAGAACCAGATATTATGGGTTATATGGATGTGGAAGGGCCCTCCGGCTAACCTACTCAGAGTTAGTTTTTGCATTTTTCTCCATAGAAACCCTTACGATGTACTTACCTTGAAGGATGCAACTGCTTTGTCATATGCTTTTATGAGTGCTGTATCATCCCATATATCAGAATCATCACTCTGTGGAGAAGAAAAAAAAGCTGTTTTTAAACTACCAAAATACATAAAATTCAAAGAGTCCAGGCTGCCTTCTTCAATACACCAAGACTATTTTCTGCTAGTGTTTCCATAGTCAAGATGGACCCAAAGTACTAATGGAGACCTGCCATGAAGTCTGGATATGTCAAGTGGGATTATATTTTTTCTTTAAAAAACAGATTAGTAAACTTCCTTGCCATGGCATTAAGATACATTTCTGGCAGTTTCAAAAATGGCTTGCACCAACTGAGGCTCTATCTTGACTATTTATTGCAGTTTGAAGCTAACTTCAACAAATTCTCACAAAAGTGTATGGAAGAAAGCCCTTAATGAGCATCAATCCTCTGCAGTTTGTATGATTACCATCCAGACTTCATAACTAGTTCCAGGATTTCCTATGTAATAATCTGCACAGCAAAACCACTTTCTTAAATACCAGCTTGAAACTGCATTAACTGTTTGGTACAGATGGGGTCTGCGGTGATAGGCAGTTCAATATTCTCTTAAACAACCAATACTGGCCCCGTAGCCACGATGGTACAACTGTAATAGCCATTTTTCAGCTATTTTAATTGTTTGTATCATGATAGATGTTTTAACATTGACTATGTTAATAGTGTATTTTGTTTTATGTAATTATTTGTATCTTGTTTTTCATTTTGATGTTAATTCTTTATGTGATAAGTTCGTTATTATTTTGTATTATGTTGTATTACTTTAATGCATTTGCATCTGTTTGGGCATTGAATGTTTGCCTTTTTGTGTGTAAACCACCCTGAGCCCCCACTGGGGAGAGGGGGGTGGTCTATAAATAAAGTTGTATTATTATTCAGTTCCTTCCACGCAGCTGAATAAAATCCTACATTTCAACATTGAACTGGAATATATGGCAGTATGGACTTAGATAACCAAGTTCAAAGCAGATATTGTGGGGTTTTCTGCCTTGATATTCTGGGTTATATGGTGTAAGGAAGCGTAATCCAACCTAAATGGCGGGATACACCCACAAATTAAACGACATCTGTATGGTTAATCCACCCCAATTTCAAACCTAAATTATACCGGAAGTCCCAAAATTGCTTGATTACACTGCCACCATTATATATATATATAGAGATGTTGGAATTGAAGTCTCTATTTATCCCTATCTGCGTTGTGAGGCAACTTTGGTAGAGTGGATTGCACCAAATGTAAAATCAATGGAGGAGGCAGATTTATAACACAGAGAGAACAAGTTTATTGTTAGCAGAGCGTAATTGTTGCAATACTGAGATGTTGAACTTGGCACAAGCTTGATGGTTACAATATGGCTTGGTAGAGATACATTCAGGTTTCTGATGTTACAATCCTTTAAACTCCTTCTTCAGTGAAGTACTTTATTATTTCAGTGTTCCCTGTTGTGAATATTCACTCTGTTTGTCCTATACCGGATCAAACCACCGATCTTCAGTCTTTCACTACTGGGATCCCTAAAACCCCCTTTGTTAGATTCTTTTTAACACAAGCAATCTAACAAGGTTTCACCTTCAGCTCCCTTGCTGAAGAAATATTCACAAATGCTAAGAACTAACTGAATCGATACTGCTTCACCACACAGAGCCCTAACTGACTCCGCTCCTCTTCTCAGGGTCTCATCCTCCTGACTACCCATTAACTGTTACTTTCAAACCTTTTTCTCCTTAAGCTCCGCCCACCTTCTCCTCTGCCTTGTCACCATGGCAACCTATCTCTCACAGCTAGGCCATGGCCACGCATGTAAAACATAAATACAGTTTAAACACAGTACAATAAACCCTTTATAATAAACACTTCTCTACATATGGCTATTTGGAAGGGCCCTAAATTGCCACAACTCAGGCCCCTTCCACACAGCTGAATAAAATCTCACATTATCTATTTTGCACTGGGATATATGGCAGTGTGGACTCAGCTAACCCAGTTCAAAGCAGATATTCTGGGTTATATGGCTGTGTGGAAGGGCCCTCAGGTGAACTCAATTCTGCTTTCTTTCATTCTCCTAGGGCACATCCATACAGCTGTATTAAATCCCCACGTTATCTGCTTTGAACCAGACTATATTGCAGTGTGGACTCAAGCCCCTTCCACACCGCCATACAACTCAGAATACCACAACATCTGCTTTGAAATGGGTTATCTGAGGCACCTACCATACAGCTGTATGAAATCCCACATTATTTGCTTTGAACAGGGTTACATTGCATTTTATGACTGTGTTTTTTTTAAATGTAATTTTGATGATGTTATTTGTTTATGTTTTGATTTTATTGCTGTAATATGTTGTCCGGGCTTGGCCCCATGTAAGCCGCTCCGAGTCCCCTCAGGGGAGATGGTGGTGGGGTATAAATAATAATAATAATAATAATAATAATAATAATAATAATAATGATGATGGTAGTGTGGATTCAGATAACCCAATTCAAAGCAGATATTGTGGGATTTTCTGCCTTGATATTCTGAGATACAGGTTTGTGTTGGAAGGGCCCTGTGTCCACACTGCCCTATAATCCAGTTCAAACCAGATAATGTGGGATTTCATACAGCTGTGTGCAAGGGACTCCAGATAACCCAATTCAAAGCAGATATTGTGGGATTTTCTGCCTTGATATTCTGAGATACAGGTTAGTGTTGGAAGGGCCCTGTGTCCACACTGCCCTATAATCCAGTTCAAAGCAGATAATGTGGAATTTCATACAGCTGTGTGTAAGGGGCTTCAGATAACGCATTTCAAAGCAGATATTGTGGATTATGTGTCTTGATGTTCTGGATTATATGGCTGTTTGGAAGGGCCCTTCTACTTACAAATCTTACCCAGAAAAGGTGGACCTACACCAAGCATGGTCAAACTTCAGCCTTCCAGGTGTTTTGGACTTCAACTCCCACAATTCCTAACAGCCTCAGGCCCTTTCCTTTTCCCCCATACCTGGCCTACACTGTACCATAAGTGCCGTTTGGACACCCGTTTAACTGCCATGAGACCCACATTATGGAGCCATGGGAGTAATATTTTGGTGAGAGCCCAGGAGGGCCCTACCTGTCCGGCTCCGCGTCGGAAGAGAACCTCTGGGTCGTCGCCTTCACCGCGTCGGAACGCCATGAGGGCCTCCTCGGCCTGGAGGGGAAGCGAAGCCTGAGCAGGAAGGCCCTCTTCCTCCACTTGCCCCTTCCGTCTGGGCCCAGCGGGGAGGCGCTTCCGGCTGGAAGGCCGACTTGCCCACGACCCCTGGTGGCTGGGAGGCCTCGGTGCAGCCTGCCCATTCCCTTCCTAGGGCTGCATCTACACATCAGGCATGAGCAAACTTGGGCCCTCCAGGTGTTTTGGACTTCAACTCCCACAATTCCTAACAGCTGGTAGGGTGTTCGGAATTGTGGGAGTTGAAGTCCAAAACATCTGGAGGGCCGATGTTTGCCCATGCCTAGCTTAATGGTTTTTTAAATGAGGAAAAATAAAGGGCTACAGACTTTTCATTTTCAGGCTGAGTTCACTCTATCATATGCAAGCAAGGTGCGCCCGTCCAGTGGTCCCTTGACTCTCCCTCCCACACCTCAGCATTGTGCCAGGGACCTCCATTGCTAGCCCCATTTCTGTAAGATTGGCTCTGCATCTCGTGGTGCCAGAGCGCAGTCTGTTCAGCGCCTTCCAAGTCGCCCAGTCTTCTGTGTGCCCAGGGGGGAGTCTCTCATCTGGTATCACCCACGGATTGAGGTTGGGTTTGAGCCTGCCACTTTTGGACTCTCGCTTGCTGAGGTGTTCCAGCGAGTGTCTCTGTAGATCTTAGAAAACTATTTCTTGATTTAAGTTGTTGACATGCTGGCTGATACCCAAACAGGGAATGAGCTGGAGATGTCTCTGCCTTGGTCCTTTTACTATTGGCTGCTACTTCCCGGCGGATGTCAGGTGGTGAAATACTGGCTAAACAGTGTAATTTCTCCAGTGGTGTAGGGCGCAGACACCCCGTGATAATGCAGCATGTTTCATTAAGAGCCACATCTGTTTTAATGACAACTGATTTAATGACATACAGCTGGAAACTTCACAGGAAGGATTTATAAAAAAAAAATCCACACTGAACTGGATAATTCAGTTCAAAGCAGATATTGTGGATTATCTGGCTTAGTATTCTGGGTTATATGGTTGTGTGGAAGTGCCCTTACTGTATGCATATATGGAGTTATCTGCATATGCTGCAGGAGTTATATCACTAGGGGATTAGGATCGGTGTCTTCATTTAAAGGCTTATGTGTAGACAGTGATATGGCAAGGGAAAACAAACTGAGATGGCAAGGAGGTCATGAAAGGGAAAGAAGATACTAATCCATTCTGTCTCAGCCACCAAGTACCCAATCCTCAGGTTTTGGGTTGTTGTTCTGTCACAAAAAATTAATATGCAGATTTGATCAATGTGGATTTAATATGATGTGTGGGAATGAATGGAAGAATGGAAGATGAATGTATGGATGGAGCTAATAATTTTGGAGACACCAGTATAATATTAAGGCCTGCAATGACTACCTGCTTGCTGGACTGTAATTAAAAGATGCTAATAAGAACTAAAAATTAAACTCTGATAAGAACTGTGACAATCGTTCTTTCAAGTTAAGGAAATGTTTGCAACATTCCTTATGTTAAGAAGGAAGTCAACACAAGCCTTGCGTTTGTCAACACCAATCAAGAAGAGTCAACATCTGGCCAGGAAACTGAGATGGAGCCAGCATGGAAGACGTCTATCATTCATTTTCAACTTTGGGACTACATCAGCAGAAGATGTCCATCATCAATTTACAACTTCATCAGCAGAATATTCCTATAAAAGACTCAATCTAATAATGCTCAAAGTGTGGCAGACCTGAGGAGTCTGTTCCACCCGCTATGCTCTACTCCATGGGAAGGAGAGAGATAGTGTGCCTATGGGGCGTGGCAGATGAGCACAGGAGCAGTCTGGTCACTTTGGGGCTTCTTTCTCAAGGGAAGAAGTGCCCTTTTGGAGTCTTGGAATTTGGCAGGGAGTCAGGTTCTGCTGTATGGAAAATGGATCTGGTCCTTGGCATTGTTCTTAGAGAAAGAAATTTTGGCATTTCGAAGTTTTGGCGTTATGGAACAATGCATTGGCAGGCTGCAGGAAAGAAGGGTCTGGCCTAAAAGGTGCTTCTCCAAGGAGGGAGAAAATGATGTGGCAATATTTGAATGCCTGAGGATGAATGTATGTACATGTGGTGTGAATGTTGAGTGAAAATGTAATTCCCCTTTGTTAGCCATGTAAATGTAAATCCAATGTAGTTGCATAGTCTGTATGTCCAATGCCATTCTATGTCTAAATGTTTTCCTGTAATCTGATCTACCCTCTCACGCTGGAAATTGCAATAAAAAGAACCTATGCTTTGAAGTTATTGAAAAGTAATTCATGGCACTTCTATTGTACTATCTGGAACATATTATTACCTAATGCCAGGTAGACTCACATTAAGCCCATACTCATTCTTTAATCATGGATCAGGCAGCCGAGTTGGCACATGTGACTGAAACGTAAGTACACAAGCTAAACAAACCGTTTTGCCCAGATGAGTGCTCAGCTTTGCATCAGGTACTGCTGCTGTAGTCCATAGGTCAGGCTCCTCCACTTGGAAAACCTGGTTTATAGCTTCCCTAAGTGACCTAATTTGCATAGCCTTCAAATTGATGCTGGAGGAACTGAGGACTTCTGCATTCATGCTGAGGTGCTCTTCAGTGGATTGGCTCTGGACAATAACCTGGGAGAGAACTGACCATGCCTTCCTCTGTTAGATGGTCTGAGTTTGTGTCCAAGCATTCCTACTACCCTTTAAAGGTGTTGGGAACTGCAGTTGGTAGAATGCTTGAGCTTGGTTTCCACTTTAATACTTACATTTATGAAACTCTCAACAACTTGGCAGATTTGAGATGCTGTATACTTAAAACAAACAAATGTAACTGATTATAGTTTATACGCTGTATGTGCTGTAACCCACTGTCTTTGAACTTCATGGGAGATCTGGCCGCCTTGACTCTCTCCTCCCTAATCTGCAAATAACATTTAACGAATCCATTGTTTGAGAATGAAAAACCCAATGGGGCACAGAAGAATGGCTTGGCAGTATCCCAGGTCAACTGACTCCCCCCCCCCCCCCCCCCCCACACCATTTAGTTGAAGAATAACCATGAAAGCTAAATAAGTAGTTCTAGTAGGATCTTCACTACCAATGCAGAAAGGCGTCAATATGAACATAGCCAATAATTTGTTTCCTCCCCGATTTTTACAATCAATCAAGCTTTAATCAAAAGATAATGCTTATATTTGCATTCAGATTACAGACTTTAATTGCAGTTTTACATAGTAAATATTAGAGAATGTTTTGCTATTGTAAAGTACTCAGGCTGCAATTAGAACACATGACAGAAGTTATTTGACTGTGCTAACCAAGGGACTAAACTCTAAATTTTGTCAATCTGTCAGCAACATCTGAAAATGTGTTAAGAGCTGTCGTGAGTGTCCAATTCCAAACTACACAGTACTTCATGCAACATTTTATTGTAAAAATAATTTATGATTAACTTTACAGCTGACCTTTACAAAGTGGAAAGCAAGGAGAGAACCTTGGGCTTTAAAAAGGCATACCTCTGAATGTTAAAGAGTTGCCATATAGATTTCCAAGTCTACTTTCATACTTAATAACTGGTACAGTCACACAAGTAATTTTACTGAGCCAACATTTTAACAATGAAAACTGCAGTTAAGCTACTGCTACCATTACTAATAGACATGCAAAGGGAATAAAGAACTTAGAATGCAATTTTATTTGAACAGATTCTAGTAATTTGAATAAAGCCAAGTCAGCTGCAACTGCACTACATTAACCAGATGTTCTAAAATAAATGCATACTGGACAAGTGAATAAGTAGAAGATAAACATTAACCATTTAATGGCTGGCTACTATTAGAAATATGTCTTTTTTTAGGCCCTATATTTTCTGAGATGCACTGCAGCATTATTAGGTCCTTTGTGTAGCCGCATATTATTTTGCTCCTCCCTGAACAGTCTTCTTCTCATCAGCTGCCTTTTGTTTTTGCTGCATAATTTCAGAGTCTCTGAAAAAGAAAAAAGAAAAAACAGGAGTATACTAGATATAGTCATTTCTCTGGTTTTTAGTATAATTGTGAAGAAATCTCTTTTTAAAAGCTAGACGTTCTTTGTCCAAACAATTCTTGAATGTTAACCATATACTCAGAATTCTGAGACAGAGTCATATATAGCTCACCCTTCCACATGAAATCTGGACTGATTTCAATGCAAACATACCTTTGCTTCCTCTGAGTAGCTGAGAGAGCATCCTCTTTTCTTTTGCCTTTATTCAATTCTTGGGCTTTCTTCATGTTTTTCTGGCGGGCAAGTTCACGCTGGTTCCCACCTAGAATTGAGAAAATGTCAGACCTAGGTTTCAAAGCACATCTTAACAAGTCATTTTTCCAATTTAGAAAAGCCCAGTGTTTCCCCATTTATTAGTTGCACGATATCAAATATGGCCACCAACCCTTCACATTTCCTAATAGGAAGATACTTCCTATTTCCTTACGTAATAGAGGCCTGGTATACCATTTCTTCCCTTGGATTCCAAGATACAACCTTGAGTAACCACAGTTCCCATCTGCTTTGGAACTATGTGCTCAAATGCTATATCCCAGTCTTATATGAAGCCTAATATTAAATAGCTTAATGCCTACCGGATGCAAATGAGCAATAGTTGTTGTGCTCCTTCCTCTGAAGTTATCAGTTTTTGCCCATTGCTTCTTTATCTATATGTGCCTCCTTGTAACCTGCAGACAAATGTGTAATAGGAATGGGAATAATGTGGCCCTTCATGCATTTGTTACTTCTGGTGGGTCTATCCTGTACAGCCAATGGGAAATGCAGTCCAACAGCACCTGAAGGGCTGCACCTGCCCCCCCCCCCCCAAAAAAAACCCACATTGACCTCTTCCTCACAATCCTTAATTCTATCTACTGAACTAATCTGATTGATAGCATCGGTCTGGTGAACAATGAGCCATTTCTCACCTTATTTTGAAACATATTCAATATACTATCTTTGTATACTCAGTGATGTAAAGGAACAATTGAGACTAACCTATACATTTTACATTCATACTTTTCAAGAATAGAGGACGGGCAGCAACTTCTTGTCAAGTACCATGAAAGTCATGGTCCCTAGACTAGGGCATCTGGCCTTGGTTAAACCAGACTCAATTTTTGTTGTCCAAAAAAATTAAAATAAAGTGTAGGACCAAGTACAGCTAGCTATTCTACAACGTTTTCAAAAACTATGTATTAGTTCATGCACAAACTGTTATTGGTTCACTAGTTAAACTAGGATATCATGTTCTCTCACATGAACCGAATTATGTTTTAAAATGTCCCATTTTTTGCCTGCCACAATAAGAAACATGCATGTGACAGAAATTCTAACAAGTTTTCTTGGTACCCACTCTCACCTTCTAATATGCTTCCACTTGCAAACAAACACATTCTTCAGCTCACAGCCATATAGATTCTAAGTGGACTCGTTTGCTGAAGTAGGTTTAACAAGCAGGTGCTGCTTCTTTATTTTAGAGATAATTTGTTTATTACTTATTACATTTATACTGCCAACAGCTCAAGGAAACAATCCTTTCTTTCTTAGATATAGTACATTAAAAATGTAATACCATACATTTTCAGCAAACACACCCATGCTTTGTAAAGCATTTATCCATGAAAAATATGTTGTCTTCAAATGTCCCTGAAAAAAACTGGAAAGAGTGCCCTGGGAAGACTATCTTTTTCAGTACTTCCATCTCCAGGCAAACAAAAAGGGGCTACTAACACAAAGATATTTTTCCACTGTAAATTCTAGCCATCTGTTTCCATGAGTCACTGTAATGTTTAACAACTGAACAATTTGTTAAACAAGTGAACAGTTACTCTGAAATATTATCTTCTTTATCCATCTAAAAATCTCATTTCACAAACTGCCGGTCTGTTATGAAGCTCAACATTTAGAACTTCGCTCCAAATATTCATGTTTTCCTCCTCCCTTTATTATTTGAGTGTACCTTTCAAAGTTGAACAGAGTATCATTGTTTCATTCAGGAAGCACTATGTGCTCTGATCTTATACCAAAATATCCCACAGAGCCTTCAACAAGAAGCATGTCAGACAAAGTTTTTTGGTACAGGGTTGAGCATCCCTTATCTGGAATTCTCAAATGCTCAAAAACTGTCCATGTAGGTGGTTGAGACCTTTGCTATCTGAAGGTTCCATATATGCAAATGTTGTTCCATGTACATATTCAAAATATTGTGTATAAAGTTACCTTCAAGCGATGTACATAGGGCGATTATGAAACTCAATAATTTTGTTTTTTGACCAGACATGGGCAAACTTTTTTGGGTGGGGACTGCATTGCAGGCGGGGGAGAAGGGGGAGGCAGAGGGCAGTAGGCATGGGGGCAGTTGGTGTGGGGCTAACAGTTGGCACCTGCAAGCTGAGAGAAAGAGACAGGCTGCTACTGAGAGCTCTCAGCAGCCACGTGTCTCTGCCCCGGTCCTCCTGTCCACCTGGTGACACAGGGGACTACCTCATCTGCATGCTGAGAGGAGGAGTAAGGCAGATAAGGGCTGGAAGGAAGAGCCCAAGGGGCCACATCTGGCACACGGGCCTGGGTTTGCTAGCCCTGGTTTAAAATTTGGCTTCATCTCCAAGATATCTCATTATATCATATAATCCAAGAGTTGGAAGAGACCCCATAGGTCATTCAGTCCAACACCATTCTGCCATGCAGGAACAATCAATCAAATCTCTCCTGACAAATGGCCATCCTGCTTCTGCTTAAAAACCTCCAGACAAGGAGACTCCGCCACACTGAGGCAGCATATTTCACTTCCAAACAGTTCTTAACAACAACAAGTAATGGATATTCTACATTCCAACCCAATCCCCCCCCCCCCCCCCAATCAAGACACTTCTGGTCCAAGCATTTCTGATAAGAGCTACTCAATCTGTACCTAAACGGCACATATCAAACAGCTGATCCCACAGAAGTATCATATATAGGGACTCTGCCTGTGCTGGATGGGGTTACACATCCCTTGAAATCTCAGGCTTGCAGCCTAGGTATTTTCCTGGACTCAACTCTTCATCTGGATTCCCAGGTGTCAGCAGTGGCCCATTCAGCACATGAACAGCTAAAACTAGTGTGCCAGCTGCACCCACTCCTGGTTCTAGAGCATTCGATCTCTGTTGATTTTTAATTTTTGTAAGTATGTATTTTATCTTTTGTAATTTAGCTGTAAATCGCCTGGAGCATTCTCGGATGGAGGACGATTAATAAGTTATTAAATGATGATGATGATGGTGGTTGAAGTGACACATGCCTTCATTACATCCCCTTTTGACTACTGTAAAGCACTCTATGCAGGGCTGCCTTTGAAAAGAATTTGGAAACTTCAGTGAGTGCAAAATGCTGCAGCCAGAATGGTGATGGGGCGTTATAATGAGCATATCACTCCCTCAATGAAACAATTTCACTAGCTACACAATACTAAATGCTGGTCATGACCTATAAAGGCTTATACGATTTATGACCAGGCTATCTGAAAGGCTGTCTACAACAAATACACCAGAGCCATGGCAGTTAACCAGAAAATCCCCAGGGGAAGTGCATTATCTCTGTTCCACTATCATCACAGGGTCACTTGAGGAGGACAGGAGAGAGTGCCTTCTCAGAACACATCGACACTGACCATTTCATGCAGTTTCTGATATTGAAGAAAACATTTTCATTGTGCAGATAATTACACAGGAAATCCCGGAACGAATCTGAACCCTGGATGGCGACTACACAAACCACAGAGCACTGATGCGCATTAGGGGCATTCTTTCACATGTTTTTGTTGTCTGGCCACCACAGAATCATAGAGTTGGAAGAGACCTCATGGGCCACCCAGTCCAACCCCCTGCCAAGAAGCAGGAAAATTGCATTCAAAGCACTCTTGACAGATGGCCATCCAGCCTCTGTTTTAAAAGCTTCCAAAGAAGGAGCCTCCACCACACTCCGGGGCAGAGAGTTCCACTGCTGAACGGCTCTCACAGTGGAGTATCTTGCATTTGTAACTGTTGAACTTCATTTTGTTAGTTTTGGCCCATCTCTCTAATCTGTTAAGATCATTTTGAATTCTGCTCCTATCTTCTGGAGTATTGGCTATCCCTCCCACAATGTGAAGCTAGCTTCAAACTGCATTAAACCATCAGTGACAATGGGGTCTCCCCATCCCTTGTTTTCCTTTCCCAACAGGCAAAGACATTTTTAATTAAACGTTTAATGCATAAATGAAGACCTTTTAAGGGACATATTGGATTGATCTTTAAGTGTCTTGTTTTTAAGATTCCTATTCTATGCACGGCACCTTGGAGTGCTTTTGTGAGCCTCCCCAAGTCCCTACAGGGAGATAGTGGTGCAGTATAAATAAAGTTTTTTTTATTATTCGTTAAGCTCGAGCCAAGGGGTGTTGTGTAGTGTTTAATATATTTCAATAGAGGTTTAATGTATTAAACTATTTATCTTTAAAATAGTCCTAGATCTGATTCTATTTTAGTGTTTATATGCTCTAGGGCCAAACCGTACATACTTTAGTACCTTCTGAGTCTATTTTAAGAGAAAAAAAGGCAGCATATACATAATAAAAGTCAGGATCAAAAGGAAGTAATATTTCACTAATTGTAAAAATATTTTTTTATTGATTTTGAATGTATATGTCATAAAGTCATTCTATATGCAACTCGTGTCTGTTTTTATTTTTGGTGTCAGGAGTGACTTGAGAAACTGCAAGTCGCTTCTGGTGTGAGAGAATTGGCCATCTGCAAGGATGTTGCCCAGGGGACGCCCAGATGTTTTACCATCCTTGTGGGAAGTTTTTCTCATGTCCCCGCATGAGGAGATGGAGCTGACAGAGGGAGCACATCCGAACTTTTCTCAGATTCAAACCTCCAACCTGTCGGTCTTCAGTCCTGCTGGCGCAAGAGTTTAACCCATTGCGCCACCAGGGGCTCCTTTTTAAAAAAGGAATATGTTTAATGTTTACACGTCTCAGTGTATTGTCTAGTTGGTTTATCCCCCATCTCAATTTTTTTTCATTATAGGATTATTGTTATTTTTGTGTATTTTGTATTATTCCTGATGTCGTTTTGTTACTTTGTATGGAATGTTTGCCTGCTTTTGTGCTATAAACCATCCCGAGTCTCTTTCGGAAGAGAGGTGCCAACTAGAGGTATTATTATTATGGAAAATACTTTTTGTACTTATTGTTATTTTAAAACACTCTCGAGTCCCATTGAGGAAGAAAGGTGGGACTTATAAAAAAAACAACAATAAAGCAACTTCATGCATGAAACAGGCTGTTATAGATTACTAAATGGGGCAACATACAGGGAACATACTATCCCCCTGTTATGTCAGCTCCACTGGCTGCCGGTCCATCTTCAAGCCCAATTCAAAGTGCTGGTTTTGACCTATAAAGCTCTATACTGTTCTGGCCCAACTTACTTGTCTGAATGCATCCATCCCTATGTCCCACCTCGTAATCAAAGATCATCTGGGGAGGCCCTGCTATTGCTCCCGTCAACATCACAAATGCGTCTGGCGGGGACGAGAGACGGGGCCTTCTCGGCTGTGGCCCCCTGCCTATGGAACACACTCCCAAATGAAATAAGATCAGCTTCTTCCCTCCTGGCTTTTAGGAAGAAATTAAAATTGTGCTTTTGGGACCAGGCTTTTGGTCAGCAGAAGTAAGTAGCACTTTAGACGGACATTGGCTGGAACGGCGACACAGCTAATGAGACTATTTTTACTGTTTGAATTTTTGCTTATGTACTGATTTAATTATGACTTATGTTCAATTGTGATTGTATTATGATGATTGTCATGTATCGGCATTGTATCGGTGAAAATTGTAAGCTGTCCTGAGTCCCCCCTCGGGGGTTGAGAAGAGACGGGGTAGAAATACCGGAAATAATAATAATAGGGCATCAACACCATATAACTAATGAAGTTTGGCACCGCTTTGACTGGAATTAACAAAATCAATTCAGGAAGCCTTTTAAAGAATGATGTTTTAAAAATCAAGTGACGTGTGCTTTATGGATTTTAAATAGATTTTTAAAGGCTTTTAAACCAGTGAAGACGATCCCAGTGGTGATTGGTACACTGGGTGCAGTGTCTAAAGACCTTGGCCTGCACTTAAACACAATCAGCGCTGACAAAATTACCAGCTGCCAGCTGCAGAAGGCCACCTTACTGGGATCTGCACACATTATTCGCGGATACATCACACAGTCCTAGACACCTGGGAAGTGTCCGACGTGGGATCCAATTCGACAGCCAGCAGAGTGCCTGCTGTGGACTCATCTGGTGTTTCAAATAATAATAGGGAATCCACACTGTATAACTAACGACGTTTGGCACCGCTTTGACTGAAATTAACAAAATCAATTCAGGAAGCCTTTTAGAGAATGATGTTTTAAAAATCAAGTGACGTGTGCTTTATGGATTTTAAATAGATTTTTAAAGCCTTTTAAACCAGTAAAGACGATCCCAGTGGTGATTGGTACACTGGGTGCAGTGTCTAAAGACCTTGGCCTGCACTTAAACACAATCAGCGCTGACAAAATTACCAGCTGCCAGCTGCAGAAGGCCACCTTACTGGGATCTGCACACATTATTCGCGGATACATCACACAGTCCTAGACACCTGGGAAGTGTCCGACGTGGGATCCAATTCGACAGCAAGCAGCCTGCCTGCTGTGGACTCATCTTGTGTTTCAAATAATAATAGGGAATCCACACTGTATAACTAATAACGTTTGGCACCACTTTGACTGAAATTAACAAAATCAATTCAGCAAGCCTTTTAAATAATGTTTAGGTGTGTTTTATGGATTTTAAATAGATTTTTAAAGCCTTTAACTATTGATTTTTAAGAGTCCTGGGTTTAATTCTATTTTAGTGTTTACAACAGGCCTGAAGGGGAAAAGGATGGGACCTGAGGCTGTTAGGAATTGTGGGAGCTGAAGTCCAAAACACCTGGAGGGCCCAGTTTGCCCACATAAGCGGCTGAAGGGGAAAAGCAAGGGACTGAGACTGTTAGGAATTGTGGGAGTTGAAGTCCAACACACCTGGAGGGCCCAGTTTGCCCACATAAGCGGCTGAAGGGGAAAAGCAGGGGACTGAGACTGTTAGGAATTGTGGGAGTTGAAGTCCAACACACCTGGAGGGCCCAGGTTGCCCACATAAGCGGCTGAAGGGGAAAAGCAAGGGACCTGAGGCTGTTAGGAATGGTGGGAGTTGAAGTCCAACACACCTGGAGGGCCCAGTTTGCCCAGGCCTGGTGCAGATACACCCACAGAAATTGCTGCCATTGTATCCGCGGCCTCTCCCTCCAACTCCCACTTTCCGAGGCGAGAGTCCGGCCCAGCGGCGCCTCCCTCTGGCCAAGAGCCACCGCCAGGCACTAGGCCTCGACTACTACCACCACCATTGCTAAAGGCGGAGTCCAGAGCCGAAAGGATACCGACAAAACCCTCGCGAGCGCTGACGTAGCGGGAGAGGGAGAAAGAGGGGAAAGGCCTCTACTTACGGGCCATGGCAAAACAATAACCCCAGCGACGACAACCGTCACGCGAGAGCTCCGACTTCCCACTAACCGCTCCAACTGCCAGAATCTTCTGCGTGCCCCGCCCGCCGCGCGACGCCTTATATAAGGGTCCGCCTTTGTGACGTCACCCCGCACACGACGTCACCTTTTTTGCCCAGAGCCACGCTTTTCTTGACAGGCTGTATTTGGTCGGGGTTCTGTTCTGCGCGTGCGCACTTGCTCTGTTTTCCTTTCGCCCTTCCCTCCTCCCCTTTCAGTGTGTGTGTGTCTGACTGTCTATGTGGCAACACAGAGCAGAGGAAACAAAGCCTCTAGTCTACGCTGTAAAATTGATACATATTGACAGCACTTTTTAACTGCCAAGGCATCTCAGGTGCTGGAGGGTCTTAAGCCTTCTCTGCCAAATAGTGTTGGTGGCTCAACAAACCCATGTTACAAATATCCAAGGAAGGGACATGAGGCTGTTAGGAATTGTGGGAGTTGAAGTCCAAAGCACCTGGAGGGCCCAGTTTGCCCAGGCCTGGTGTAGATACACCCACAGAAAGGGCAGCCATTGTATCCGCGGCCTCTCCCTCAAACTCCCACTTTCCCAGGCATTAATTCTACAGTGTAGATAGGGTTTTTTTGTCGTGTCGGGAGCGACCTGAGAACCTGCAAGTCGCTTCTGGTGTAAGAGAATTGGCCGTCTGCAAGGATGTTGCCCAGGGGACGCCCAGATGATTTTGATGTTTTATCATCCTTGTGGGAGGCTTCTCTCATGTCCCCGCATAAGGAGCTGGAGCTGATAGAGGGAGCTCATCTGCCTCTCCCCGGATTCGAACCTGTGACCTGTCGGTCTTCAGTCCTGCTGGCACAGGGGTTTAACCCACTGCGCCACTGGGGGCTCTTAGTGTAGATAGGTAAAGGTAAAGGTTTTCCCCTGACATTAAGTCCAGTCGTGTCTGACTCTGGGGTGTGGTGCTCATCCTCATTTCTAAGCCGAAGAGCCGGTATTGTCCATAGACACCTCCAAAGTCATGTGGCTAGGATAACTGCATGGAGCACCGTTACCTTCCCATCGCAGCGGTACCTATTGATCAACTCACATTTGCATGTTTTCGAACTGCTAGGTTGGCAGAAGCTGGGGCTAACAGTGGGAGCTCATGCTGCTCCCCAGATTCAAACCTGTCACCTTTCGGTCAACAAGTTCAGCAGCTCAGTGCTTTAATCCACTATACCACGGGGGCCCTCGGATTAAGCTCCTTATGGACTTTCCGCAAACATGGTGGAATTATTTTGGAAATCTTAGCATTTAAACAAACATGGTTCTTGCGATAAATAAATAAAGGCTTGGCCAAAAATAAATATGTAAAGCAAATATGTAATAATCTGAGCCTTGAAAGCTTGAAAACGCATTATGCAGTTGAACTAAACAAATATGAAGGGCCTGCTGATAAGTCTTTGGCTTTGTGTTCTTGATTTTTTTTTTATGGTAACAAATGTTACATCACATGAAAACCTTATGTGTCTAATATGTTGTTGTTGTTCATTTGTTCAGTTGCTTCCGATACTTCGTGATCTTATGGACCAGCCCACACCAGAACTCTCTGTCGGCCGTCACCACCCCTAGCTCCTTCAAGGTCAAGCCAGTCACTTCAAGGATCCCATCCATCCATCTTGCACTTGGTCGGCCCCTCTTCCTTTTTCCTTCCATTTTCCCCAGCATCATTGTCTTCTCTAAGCGTTCCTTTCTTTTCATGATGTGGCCAAAGTACTTCATCTTGGCCTCTACTATCCTTCCCTCCAATGAGCAGTCAGGCTTTATTTCCTGAAGCATGGACTGGTTGGATCTTCTCGCGGTCCAAGGCACTCTCAGAACTTTCCTCCAGCACCACAGTTTAAACGCATCTATCTTCCTTCGTTCAGCCTTCCCTATGGTCCAGCTCTCACATCCGTAGGTGACTATGGGGAATACCATTGCTTTAACTATGTGGATCTTTGTTGCCAGTGTGATGTCTCTACTCTTCAATGTATCGTTGTGGGTGGGCATTGAGTCATAGCACTTAAACGTCATGTCAAACTGCATTAGTTCCATAATTTAGATGCACCCAAGTTGCACTTAACAAATAATATTCTTAATTATTTCAGTTACATAAATATATTGAAGAAGTGCACCCTAAAATTATCCATGGGCTATCTCAAATCATACAAATTTATATCCAGGAGAGAATCTTCTATGAGGTGCCATCAACCCACATCTGGATGAAAGCTTGATGTACTTGGAGAAAACTGCCAGATTTATCAAGCCAACAACAGCAATTAAGTAGGAAAAAATAATAAGGAACCAGTGTAATCTGTGAGCTACTCCAAACGAATCCAGCCTTAAAGCCAAGCAGGGATTATCTAGGAACTAGAAGCAACCTCATTTTATTTCATCCAAAGCTTTATTTACATGTAGGATGAGGGTTGACCATTAATTTGTTAATGGAAAAGTTAATTCAGTAGTACAAACACTAACGTTTTAATTGTTTTCATTTGGTAAATTATTGTTAGCTAATTTGTCAGTTAAAGAATTAATGTTGGGCCTGGTCCAATTAACAGGCTGGAACCCCAGGTTTCGGCGGTGACCAGGGGAGCATTTGCACAGCTAAAGCTTGTGCGCCAGCTGCGCCTGTACCTTGGGAAGTCTGACTTGGCCACGGTAGTCCCCGCTCTGGTTACATCCCGTTTAGACTACTGCAACGCTCTCTACGTGGGGTTGCCTTTGAAGACAGCTCGGAAGCTCCAACTAGTCCAACGCTCGGCAGCCATGATTTTAACAGGAGCGGAGCGCAGGGAGCATACAACCCCCCTGTTGCGCCAACTCCACTGGCTACCGATCTGCTACCGGGCTCAATTCAAAGTGCTGGCGTTGGCCTTTAAAGCCCTAAACGGTTCCGGCCCAAGCTACCTATCCGACCGCATCTCTGCCTATGAACCCACCAGGACTTTGAGATCTTCCGGGGAGACACTGCTCTCGATCCCGCCTGCTTCTCAAGCTCGGCTGGCGGGGACGAGAGATAGGGCCTTCTCGGTGGTGGCTCCTCGGCTGTGGAACGCCCTTCCTACGGACATTAGACTAGCACCATCTCTAATGGTATTCCGCAAAAAGGTGAAGACCTGGATGTTTGTGCAGGCGTTTGAGTAATTTAGTGCAATCTGGTAATGGAACATAGGAATGGAACAATGGAAGACGAACCTGGACTACGCTTGGATGATGAGAAGATTGGGTACGGTTGTTTTTTGTAATAATTGTGCATTGTAATTGCTTATTGGTAATTTATGGATAATGTGTTAAGTCAATTGTTATATGTTGTATGGAACCACTGCTGTTTCTACTGTTTTTACTGTTTGTGAACCGCTGTGAGTCGCCTTTGGGCTTGAGATACAGCGGTATATAAGCAAAGTAAATAATAATAATAATAATAATAATAATAATAATAATAATTTGGGGATTTCATTAATTCTCGTTCCTTATGATGCTTCTTCAAAGACCTTTTTTGTCCTTTTAAAGTTGTCCTTAACTCTGGAAATTTTCTCCACGTGGACTACAAGGAAATGGGAATGGTGGGAATTCAGGGCCCCAACCTGAATGTGGGAGTTGAAATCCAAAACACCTGGAGGGCCAAAGTTTGCCCATGCCTGGTGTATAGTTATATAATGCATTCAAGTTGTCCAAAGCCATGGGATCTCATCTTACAACCTCTTTAATTCCAATTATCACTTAATGACACCTCTTTTTTGCTTTCTACCCTCATTAAGTGAACACCTCATTTCTTAATGTGACTTGATTGTCAGAGGTTAATGCAGTGTGATTTATTTCAGTTACAGGGCACCGATTCACTGTATGTACAGCAATAAGCGTATAGCTACAAAATTGTCTAATGAATCAACATTGGAGATTTTTGTAGATGACTTTTCAGAAAGTCATATTCAGAAATTGTCTCTGAAAATATTTTCCAGCACAGATGAATAATTTTCCACTACCATTGTCCCAGTCAAGATGTGTGGGCTGAGAAGGTCAGTGGAAGAATGCAGGCTTTGCAGATAGGAGCCAAGAATCCCAGCGGTAATCTGTCGCATTTGTAGTTTTAATGATCAGATGTCTAACAAGTCCTCTCTTCTTTGCAACCATTTTGTACAATTTTAATTGTATAATTAAATTGGCTAGGTGAAAAAGGAGGAAGATGGATGAGTAAGTAGGTAAGAAGAATAGGAATGTAGGAGGAGGGAGAAACTAAGGGTGCATCTACACTGTAGAATTAATGGTTTGACACGACTTTAACTGCAGTAGCTGAGTGTTACAGTAGCTCAGTGTTGGCATAAAAGGCTAAAGACCTTGTTAAACTATAACTTATGGGAAGTTATAGTTTAACAAGGTCTTTAGCCTTTTATGCCAAAGACTGCTGGTGCCTCACCAAACTACAACTCCCACAAGACCATCAAGCTGGGCAGTTAAAGTGGTGTCAAACTGCATTAATTCAATGCAAAGTATTAATCTCTTATTATTTTTTAACCCAATGCAGGTATTATTTCACTAGGCTGGCATACATAGCGGTTTTACACATATATTAAAAGCTTTGCTTCTGAATAGGGTTATAATTTAGGGGGGCACATAACTTACTTTGGGAGTGTATATCCTCAGTTCTTCATTCATTTTTATCTAACCTGGTATTACTGCTTTGGATTGGGATATATATGCGCCCTGCATATACAGAAAGGTTTGATTTGCATGACAGAAGATGTTATCTTTGGATGTAAGGTGTATCATTTGGGAACACGTGGCTCACAGTTTGTTTGGGGATAATAGGCCTAGTTCCTTATTTGTGATTGCCAAATCAGGCCAACACACATTAATGCCCATTTCCAGAGAAGAATATATTGAATACAAACAATTGTTTTCCCCTTGGAACTTTATCCTCTCTCCCTTAATCATGGCAATATATAATGGGGTTGCTGAAAGCATAATTTGTGGCGTGGGGGTTCATCTCATGTTCTAACGGTTGAATGACTGAGCTGCGTTTCAATGTTTTTCACAAATAAGGAACTAGGAATAAGGCACCAATTCTAGCTTTGTACAATACACAAAGGTGAGTGTGGAACTGTCAATAGGGAGTTCTAAGGAAAATTAAATGAAGACATGTAACTGATAGGGAGAATATTCAGAGCTCAGAAAATTTCAGTTGCTTGGTACTTTAACTCCCAGAGTCCTCCACTAGCACAGATAGGTACAAGACATGTGTATGGGTGAATTCTGGAGGTTGGAGTTTAATAAGTACACTGGTTATGGTATTCTGAGAGCTGCTTGATAAGATAAGCATCCTACCACCAGATAAACCAGTTAAACATGTAATGTTATATCTGTCACAATATTACAACAGTAATCTTGTTTTGGTGATTGATAATAGGGCTCCTTATTTAGGATAGGAAGGGGTTCATAATTTTAGATATTGTTATTATGCAAGCTTTTTGCAAAAGTCACCAAGGTGGAATATGTCCTTTGAAAAACAATTAAAAATATTAAGATGTAACTACTAAAACTTAAAATAAAAACATTTTTTTAAAAGTCACAATTCTAATTTCAAAGGCAACACATTCGGGCATGTTACGGGCATCGAATTGTGCCTTGGATGTGTAAGCCGCCCTGAGTCCCCTTTGGGGTGAGAAGGGCGGGGTAAAAGTAAACCAAATAAATAATAATAAAATTCCACAATTCCTATTGAAACAAAGCAGAGGAGAAACATTCAAATCAATGCTGGAGAGGATGTCAAGTATTAGGTTCATACATCCATATGTGGTGGTCATGTCAATTTATATAAAAAAATTAGAAAATAGTATTTAAGGAAATAAGAGCTATAATAAAAATAGAGAAAAGGGTACACCAGAAATAGCATTATTATCATTGGATGATATTATATTCTTACAAGAAATGAAGGAATTAATTTTCAACCTATTAATGGTAGCGAGACTAATGATTACAACAAAATAGAAAGATAAAAATGAAATTCAATTGGAAGAATGATATAGAGAAGTTTGGAACATAGCAATTAATGACAGACTGACTTATGGCACTAAAGTTAAAAAGGGAATATGGAAACAAACAGACTTTTGGAAAATCTGGGAGAAATTTATAGAATTTGTATTTATAGAAGGACAGGGAGACAAACCTGCAACAGAAACAATGAAATTCTGGAGATAAAGAATACGGTAAATTGGTCCTGGTGAAGATGGCACAAAGAAAAGGGAAAGGAATGTGGGGAGGGCGAGATAAACATATTCAAGTAATTAGAAAAATTGTATTAGAACTATAAGTGTAGTATACTTTAGATGGGGAAAGTTTTAAACTAAATTAGGTGTTTTTTTAATTAAAATATCTATCATTTTATGCTATTAAGTATATATAATAATTGTATCGGAAATTCCAGATGGTCCAACGGGCAGCAGCCAGATTGTTAACCGGGGCTCCTTACAGGGAGCGGTCAACCCTCCTGTTCAAGGAGCTCCACTGGACCCAATTCAAGGTGCAGGTTCTTACCTACAAAGCCCTGAACGGTTTGGGACCCACCTACCTAAGTGACCGCATCTCTGTATACGAACCCACACGGTCTCTTCGATCATCTGGAGAGGCCCTGCTCTTGATCCCACCTGCATGACAGGCATGATTGGTGGGGATGAGAGAGAGGGCCTTTTCGGTGGTGGCCCCTTGACTCTAGAACTCATTCCCTAAGGACATCAGGCAGGCCCCAACTCTGCCAGTCTTTAGGAGTTTGAAGACGTTGTTGTTCCAGTGTGCCTTCCCAGAATAATGTTCCCATAACACTTTGTCCTCCAAGCATTTTAGGTCTGCTTGTATGTTTTCCACAAACGCCACTTTCACCTTTTTGCCCATGCCCCGGCATTATTTCCAATTTTAATTGTACATTTGGCCTACCCACAGTTTTAATTGTGTGTTGTCTTATTGTTAATTGTTGCATACTTTATTGTCTATGCTTTTATTTTAATTGCTTGTATTGTTGTATTTGGGCTCGGCCTCATGTAAGCTGCACCGAGTCCCTTGGGGAGATGGTAGCGGGCTACAAATAAAGTATTATTATTATTATTATTATTATTATTATTATTATTATTATTATTATTATTAGGAAGAACTTTCTGACCGTGAGAGCTGTTCAGCAGTGAAACTCTCTGCCCCAGAGTGTGGTAGAGGCTCCTTCTTTGGAAGCTTTTAAACAGAGGCTGGATGGCCATCTGTCGGGAGTGTTTTGGATGCGATTTTCCTGCTTCTTAGCAGGGGGTTGGACTGGATGGCCCATGAGGTCCCTTCCAACTCTAGGATTCTAGGATCTGAGTCCACACAGCCATATATTCCATGGGATTTTATTCAGCTGTGTGGAAGGGGCCCTAAACTACAGCTCCCAGGATTTCCCTTGAAGCCCAAAACACTGGAGGGCCGAAGTTTGCCCCTGCCTGGAAGAGCACCAGGCACTCCCTGCATTCCAAGAGGCTCTCCTGGAGAGGGAGGGCTATTCTGTCGCAGGCTGATGACGCAGGCGGTGCGACATTCCGGGCTGGCAGCTGACAGGCCTCCTTCCCTCAGCCCTCCGAGGCCCCGGCAGGCAAGCAGGCAGGCAGGAAGGGCGCGGGCCGGGGACATGAGGCGGAGGCCTCGCCGGCCGGAGGAGAAAGGCGACGGCGGGCTTTAGCCAGAGGCCTCAGCGAGGCGCCATGTTCCGCCGGGCCCGCTTCAGCGTGAAGCCCAACGTCAGGCCTAGCACCGCGGCGGCAGGGAGAGGCAGCAGGGGCCCAGTTCCTGCCCTGACTGTGGGCCCCGAGCCAGGCGGGGAGCAGGGCCCCGAGGCCGCCGCAGGAGACGCTTCCGGAGGCGCCCAGCAGGGAGGGAACAAAGGTGGAAGCAGGCAAGTGGAGATGACCACCGCAAATCTTGCCTTTGGATCAGGATTGGGCAAACTTGGGCCCTCCAGGTGTTTTGGACTCCAACTCTCACAATTCCTAACAGTCTCAGGCCCCTTCCTTTCCCCCCTCAGCCGCATAAGCGGCTGAGGGGGGAAAGGAAAGGGCCTGAGGCTGTTAGGAATTGTGGAAGTTGGAGTCCAAAACACCTGGAGGGCCCAAGTTTGCCCATGCCTGCCTTATAGGCAGGAAATAAGTACAGAGCCAGTAGGCAATTACTTTGAGAGCACGTTGAGGGCTAGTTTAGCACAGTTTTAGAGCATGTTTTCTGGTAATAATAGAATACTATAATAATAATACCTTATTTGTATTCCACCCTATCACCCCGAGGCAACTCAGGGCGGATTCCAGCATAGACAAACACAAAGGCAAACACTCAATGCCTAGGAGCCCGCAATGGCACAGTGGGTTAAACCCAGAACTGCTGACTGACAGGTCAGTGGTTTGAATCCAGTGGGAGTGGGTTGAGCTCCCTCTGTCAGCTACAGCTCCGCATGCAGGGGCATGAGAGAAGCTTCCCACAGGGCTGGTAAAAAACACCAAACATCCAGGCATCCCCTGGGCAACATCCTTGCAGACGGCCAATTCTCTCACACCAGAAGCGAATTTCAGTTTCTCAAGTCACACCTGACACATACACATACACACAAATGCCTAGAAACAACCAAACACAGATAAAGGTAAAGGCTTTCCCTTCCAGCTATGAGGAGTGGTACTCATTTCCAGATCTGTGAAGTGGTGCTAATCTCAATTTATAAGCCGAAGAGCCGGTGTTGTCCGTAGACACTTAGGTCATTCGGCTGGCATGACTGCATGGAGTGCCATTACTCCCCCCCCCCGAGGCGGTACCTATTGATCTACTCATGTTTGTATGTTTTCAAACTGCTAGGTTGGCAGAAGCTGGGGCTAACAGCAGGAGCTCACTCCGTCCTGTAGATTCGAACCACCAACCTTCCGGTCAGCAAGTTTAGTAGCTCAGCGGTTTAACCTGTTGTGCCACCATCGCCCCACTCTTCCACTCCTCCACATATCACAGGGTAATTTCCATAAGGAAAAGGCATTAAAAATGGTAAATCAGCAACAGCAGTTTAGCAGATCAGAAGCTTCTTGTGCAGAGCAGTAGAATGAATGAGCTTCAGCAATACAGGAACATGGTCAAGCTTTAAAAGTTACAAAATACTTTATTGAAGTAACAATATTTCTCTATAGGAAAGTTAAGAGCCCAGCTGTCAAACTCTGTGGATACATCTTGTCTCTTCCATGCTCACAGGAAAAGAACAAAAACGGGAGGACTCGGGGACTTGCCATGTGCTTGATACTTTGAATAAAAAGAGACGTCCATGAGAAGCATCAGCTTAACACAGGAACAGACAAACTTGGGCCCTCCAGATGTTTTGGGCTTCAACTCCCACAATTGAGAATTGAAATCCAAAACACCTGGAGGGCCCAAGTTTTCCCGGGTCTGGTGTAGATGCACCCTCAGCCTTCTTCCCACAGAATCATTAGGGAGACATCCGGCAGGGATGTCATAAGTGTGGTAGCATCAATAGTAGATAAGTTTTGCCTTTGGGTGTAACTACCCTTTGTCTCATCTTATTCTACCATATTGTAGAAAGAATGCATCTTGACACCATGTTTGCTACCATGGCTCCATGCCATGGAATCTTGGGAGGTGTAGTTTTTCAAGGTCTTTAGCCTTCCTTGCCAAAGAGTAGAGGTGCCTCACCAAATGACAACTCCCACAATTACATAGCTGATCCATTCACTGGTCCATTTCAGTTAAAGTGTCAAACTGCATTGTTTCTATAGTGTCGATACACCCATAGACACACCCAGCAGGGCAGTCATAAGGGTGGTTCAGCTATATAGGTAAGTTTCACCTTTGAACAAAGCTACTCTTTTGCACTTCTATTTCATCTTCCCGCAAAGCCATTGATGATTTTAAGTTTAGTTCTTTCAGAAAAATCCCGAAAGTTTGGGATTTACATTTGAACTTGTGGGAATGATTCATACCTTCATCCCCTGTAGTAGGAGCCCTGCATGTGTGAAAGAAGCATTGAGAGTGGGAGTTCCTTATTCCCTGGAAGGGAATGGTTTGTGTATCTAGTTACTAGTGATGTATTTGTGTGTGAGTAACAACTATATACCTTTTGCTGTTGTTTTTTTTAAACTTTCTGCAGTCCCCAATTTAACCAGCATGGCTTTGAGCCATATTCATAGTTAAGGTTGAAGATCTAGTGATTCTGGTTGTTGATGATGGAGATGAAACAATTGACATTGTTATATTTAGCATTAGTTGTGCTTTGAATATCTTGCTTTGTCCTGTATGTTTATGGAAATAGTGTGCTTCCTTTGGTTAGATGTGATGAGAAGGAGAAAGAATAAGAAAGAAAACACTGTTAGTGGGTCTCTTAGATCTGATGATGGTATGGGTATAATCCAGTTATACATCAGATCTTACCTATATAGCCGAACCACCCTTATGATTGCCCTGCTGGGTGTGTCTATGGGTGTATCGACACTATAGAAACAATGCAGTTTGACACTTTAATTGAAATGGATCAGTGAATGCTATGTAATTGTGGGAATTGCCATTTGGTGAGGCACCTCCACTCTTTGGCAGGGAAGGCTAAAGACCTTGTAAAACTACACCTCCCAAGATTCCATGGCATGGAGCCATGCTAGCAAAAGTGGTGTCAAGATGCATTCATTCTACAACATGATAGAATAAGATGAGACAAAAGGCAAAACTTACCTACTATTGATGCTACCACAGTTATACAAAAACCTTGAATGCTAGATTATAGCTCATAGAAATAGAGGGTTGGAAGGTATGCCAGGGATCATCTAGTCCAAAACCTCCAGGTGCAGAAAGTCATAATAAAATATTGCTGAGAGGTGTCTGTCTAATCTCTGTTAAAACAAAACCTATAATGAAGGACAGTTGAGCAACTGCTGACATAGTCTTCAGCCAGCTATTGGATGATTGTAACCATCAGGAGAGTCCTCTTAATGCTTAGCTGGTCTCCCTTCTTATACTGTCATTTCAGCTTATTCGTTTGGGTCATGTTCTCCTATGCAGCAAAAAAGACGTTTGTTGCTTCTTTCATGTGACAGCCTTTCATGTATTTGAAGATAACTATCATGATGCCTTGGTTATTGTGTCCTAGTTGTACATAGTGTTAAAAGTACACACGTCATAAACGTGTGCTGTGCTGTTTAGTTGTATGAATATATTGCAAGCATTTGACCATAAACTGCGTACAAAGGTACGTCTGCTAACTGAAATAATTTAGCATGCTTTGTAGTGTTGACACATGCAGTAGGGTCACATTTTGCCAAGATCTGGATTATTAGATTTCCATTTTCAGATTGCAGTTCTTTCAGCCACTGAAAGTGCATACACACTGAATCGCCTTGTCCGCAATATTATATTGTTGCTGTTAAGTGCTATCAAGCTAATTTCAACTGATTACATCCTTATTAATGAGAAATCTCTAGATCATCCTATCTCAGATAGCCCTGCTCTGCTCTTACAGATTTAGATCTGTGGGTGCCATGATTGGGTCTATCCATCTGTAATGTGGTCTTCTCCCTTTCCTTCTACTGTTATCGTTATAATATGCTTTCAAGGCATTTCAGATTAATGGTGTTCCTAAATTGACCCTATCATGGACTTTTTCTAGATGAGATTTGTTCAGAGATGTTTTTCCTTCAACTTTTTCTGAGGCTGAGAGAAGGTGACTTGGCCTAGGTCATCACTGGGTTTTCATGGCTGAACAAGGATTTAAACCCCGGTCTCTAATATTTTAGCCTGACACAAACCACTATACCACATTGACTCGCTTTCTACCTTACCAATCATGATTGTCTTTTCTAGTCAGTCATATATTCTCATGATATTTTCAGTGTACAACAGTCATCTTGACTTCTGGGAAATGTTGAGGCTTTATTTGCTCTAGGACTGATTTATTCGTCTTTTTGGTAGTCCATGGTACCATATCTTTTTTAGCATTTTTAGTATTTTTAGCAATCCACAGTATCCATGGAACTCTTCTCCAGAATCACATTTCAAATGAGTTGATTTTCTTCCTATCAGCTTTCTTCACTTTCCAGTTTCTACAACCATACATATAAATTGGAACTCTGATGGTGTGGACAACCCTAACTTTAATAATATATCTTGACAATTCGGGATCTTGTCTGATTTGTTTGTAGCTTCCCTTGTTGTCTTCTGCTTTTTCCATCTCATACATAGTTGATGTAATAATTCCAGATAAGCATAGTCAGTGAAAAAGTTATTAATTATTCAGTTCCTTTACTGAAGTCATCAGTTTGATTTGTTTTTTCTGTTGCATCACCACATCATAGTAATGTAGTTTTTTTCCTGCCTGCTAATCATTTCATAGAAGATCTAAATACGAATTTAGTGAATATGCTGGTATTTATTATGTTTTGTTCCCAAGGGTATTGTAGCAGTATATTCAATATAGTCAATAACTAATTGGTAGATTGTTAACAGTGAACTGGACGTAAGCATCTGAAACGGATATTGTCCTATATTCAGTCAAATGGAAAATGTTAGTTTATTTGTTGGATAAATTGTTACGTTTTTTTTTAAAGGCAGATCTAATATTGCATGATTCAGTTCATAAGTTCATTCATTTCTTTTTAAAACAGCTATACAATTTTCTTAAAAATACTCATAACAGATGTCATTCTTTTTGAATTTTGCAGAGATGAAAAAACCAATCAAGATGGAGATTGTAGTAAACGTGCAGAGGCCCTTCTCCAGAGAAGAAAACGATTCTCAACTGTGCCCAATCTTGCTAAACCAAGAATTACATCCACATCTACTCAAGGTTCTGTCAATCCGGCATCAAAACATTCTACAAAACAATTACCTCATTCATCTACTCTTGGTAGCTCTGTGCTTCATAAGGAGACTTCTTCTGAAAGGGTTAATGTGGAAATTTCACCAAAGTCTCCAGCTTTGCCTGAAAAGAAAACACCTGTTCCTCAAGTACCACAGTTCTCTCCTTTAAAAAAATCTTCCAGTAAAGAACCAAATACTTGTCCATCTGTCCAAAGAAGTGATGAAGCACTTCAGAAGAGTGCACTCTCGCCTCTCAAGGAGAGACCCACACAGGAAAAATTAATTCAAGATGAAACTGTCCATTCAAAATCTGGTCCAGAAAAAGATAAAAATAGGTGTTCAGAACGTGAGAAAATAATAAAAAGTCAGACGCTGCGAAAGATGCTCAAGGAAGAGTTGAAGAAAGAAAAGGTATATAATATTTTTGTGACAGTGCTATAAGGACAATGTGGGAGGGAACAGAAAGAGCTTATGGCCAGACTTAAGTTAGATCCTTGGCCCATTTAGGTCATATTGTCTTTAAAAAGTTCATTAGGATTTCGGACAGGAGATTTTCCACATCTTACCTGGAAATGGCAGGGATTGTATCTTTTTTATTGTAATGAGGTATGGTGGATCTATAAGAGGGTATAGCTTCTTTTTATGGTAATATAATGGTGCATTACAGAATCTACTTTGCTGAAGGCTTTTAGTTTATAAAGGTAAAAGATTTGCAGCATCAAATGCTGTGTCAGTCTACAGCTTTAACGTTTTTACATCAAATATCCACCAGTATGTATATCTGAATCTAAAAGTGACCACAGATAAATGTTTCAGTGATCTGCAGTGGATTGGCAAATATTTTGTATTCCTAATTGAACAACAGGAGAGACAAAAAATGCTATTCCCTCAACTTATTGCTGAAGTGAAGCAAACTTCGGATAATCAAGGTTTGATTTATATGTGGAAGTACTTCAGACTCTGCTCATTTATGGTACTGATTTTTAAATGTATCTATGATTATTTGATTTAGGGTTTCACAAAGTAGTCCTGCGGCGCAAAGGTTGCTTTGTGTTCTCAACTCCCCCACCTCTTCAGTGTTCTTTCTCCTGGAAAATCCAAGACTTGCTAACCAGAGTGTAAATAAGATAATCCCCCCTAAGATTTAATATAAATATTAACACTAMGCCCTTTGCTAAAACCAATCGTAATTTAGCAACCACTTCTGGTTATATTTCGTTTGCACTTTTTGGTAGTGGCTGCAGCCCTGACAGGCTTGCAAATCAGAAATCCCCCCCCCCCGCCTGCCCCCRCCGCCTGCCCCCGCCGCCTGCCCTCCCYCCCGCCTGCCCTCCCCGCTACCGCTGCCCAACATTGCCTACCACTACTTCACTTTACATGCTGGCTAAAAGTATTCTTTCTGTTCTACAGTTGTATGAGCAGACTTTCATGCATGTAAAAGTACCTCCCATTTCCTTTATATACTGGTGCAGTTCCCATGACCTCCTCAAACCACTCTGAATGGTCCACCAACTCTTCAGATATTAGAGGCAGGAGCTGCTGGGGAAGAAAAGAAATCTAATATCTGTTGTATTTTAATAGTTACCACACATTTCATCATATGATATCTTATAAAACTAAGATACTGAACCTATGGGTTATAGTTATATTGTGTTCAAGACAAGGGGAAAATGGGCAGATTTATCAGTCATTGAAAATATAATACAATACGACATTTGTTACAAGTATTTATCACTGAGTTTCAGGAGACTCTGGACTAAAAATCCATGAAAACTTTTTCTTTTGTATTTTGTGCCTTTCTCTTGAACTCTGAAAAGGATCCAATATTTCTAAATGTGGATATGTATTGTTATCTACTAAACAATTTGTAATTTTTTTCTCATCCCATTAGTATAATAATATTATATTCAGCACCACCCAGCCATTTTTTCTGGGTTCATATACTTATTTATGCTGACATAGAAATAGGATTGGTTGAATTTATTGTGACTTGCTCCAAGTGTGTGTACAACTTTAGCACTGGTCATCATGGCCCTGCTTCGTGTTCTTGACTAGGTACAAAGCGATATGATCTGAAATAGTTATGAGTGTTTACTTTAACCCTAGGCATAGAGAACATTGCCTTCCATCAGATTCCATAAGAGCTTAAAACAGTGACTATAATATGCTCTGAAGGAGGCCGCCCTTCAGAACGCATTACAGCGCAATGTATTCAGAAACCATATTCAGTGAAAAATGTAATGACCAGGCTGTAGTTTTTAACTGTCTTTAAGTCTGAAGTGCTTTGGAAGATTTTAGTACAATCCCAATGTCAAATATTACGTTTTTGTGTATGTCTTCAAGAATATGACTTGGCAAATTGAATTTGAAGTAACCGATCCTGTGGAAAGTTGTTTAAAGCTGAAAAAACTGACAAATTACTAAGGAATGTTAAAATTTGTGTCTAGGAACAACGGAAATATAAATCGACATTAATTGAAAAGAATGTGCCGGAAGATCGTTCAAAAATGATTATGAGAGACTTCATATACTATCTTCCAGAAAACAATCCTATGAAGCAAGTATACATTTCCATTTTGATTATAATATCAATCTATTTCTTAAACTATTTTGTCTATATTCTGTCCATTCCCACAAAATCTCAGAATAGTATCCATTCTTCCTACTCCTTTTGTCCTTTCAACAATCCTAGGAGTTTGGTGTCAGATAAGGTGAGTTGTGTTTGTGTCCTAGAAGGCTTTGTGGCTAAAACTAAGGGGGAATTTCCGTCTCACCCCGGAGTATTTTAACCACATTTTGACCAATGCTTGGTTATGGAAATCCGCTGGCTGACTTTGGACAAGTCACATTCTTTCAGCCTCAGAGGAGGGCAAAGACAACCCATCCCCCAAAAATGTTGCCAAGAAAACCCTGTGATAATATCCTCAAACTGTGGCCCTCCAGCTGCTTAGGCCTCCCAACTCCCAGAATTCCTGACCGTTGAACAAGCTGGCTAGGGCTTCTAGGAGTTGGAAGCGCAAACATCTGGAGGGCTGGAGTTTGAGGATGCATGCTTAAGGGTCACCAAAAGTCAGAAATTAATTGGAGACACATATAACAACAGCATCTGAAAAAGGATAGATTATTATTGCAAAAAAACCAAAAAACCAAATCATTTTCTGTATGCATCTTCTACATTTTTCCTGTTTCCCTGATCATGTTTATGTTTGGTGTCACCCTTAATTATTTTTCTCAGATCCAAATATCCTTTCCTGTTTTTTTTATCACTGAAGAACATTTATCTGACTGTCTCAGACCTACCACTGGGACAATGATTAAAAGTTTGATTGAACTTATCCACTGGGACGATTCTAAGCTCCCTAGATGTTGGTACTTTATATCCACTGTTGGAAGACAGGACTGTGTTATATTTAAAATTAGAAAAGGGAAACTTCCAGTTTACTTATTCTGTCATGTGAACTGTGCCAATCTAGTCCACAAAAGGTCTCAAGATTTCTTTCCCCTCCTGAAATTGAACTCCATCCTCTTCCTCACTTATCGGGAGCAGAACAGGAAAGAAAAAAAAAAACCTCTGAAATTAACAAATTAGAAGGGCTGGAGTAAACAAGGAATTCCCCTCTGATGCTTAATGGAAATAAGCAAGATGAATTTCTATTCTTTCTGAGTGAAGGATGCAGGAAGCTGTGGCACCCGAGGGATTTTTAGATCCCAGCACTACCTCCTGGAATGCTTCTGCAGCTGAAGCTTGGCTCTGTATGAAAATAAAAGTGGAAGTAAGCCCACCTGGGCACCACCCGAAGAGCAGGCTGAGCTCCCTGGATGGAATGTGACCAGCTTTCTAAGTGTGCATATCTGTGCTTACTGTCTTGTGTTCCCTGACATAGGGAAGATGAGGAGGGAGCAAAGCTGGGTTCCTGACTTGAATGCTGTCTTCAGGTGCATGTTAGTTACTATTATGTAATTAATGACGTAGATGTCAATAGAGGTGCATCTCTGTATAATCACCTATAGCAAATGCTTTTAGTATTTAACAGTACAGGTGAACTATGAGTAGAAATGAGCATTGTTGAGGCAATGCTGTCTCTTCTCTCCATCTCCTCTATTGGGTTTTGCCAGTTGTCTTTGCTGTTTGCTTTGGAATATAGACCATATTTATTTTTTTTTAAAAATCAATAATGAAATCCAACTATTTTTTTATGTCTCATAGGTCTTCATTGATGCAAGAAAGGAGATCAGAAAAGACTTCTACAGCAACCCAAGCAAAAGAGTAATATTTTCTCCCCTCTTTTGGGAGGGATTAGAATTAGTGATATGTTGAGTAATTCATTCAAAGAAATTTGTAAGAAAAAAATATTTAATCATAATATCTTATAATTTTCATTTTTACTTCACCATTAATACTGAGGGTAATATACCAACTGTTTTATGTCTTTGAGATTGTGATAAATCCTAATTCTAGAGCAGGGTTCCTGATTTAAGTGCTGGATGAGAAATGCTCCTGGATTAGTCTGGAAATACACCATAACCGATGACCAGACTAATGAAGTCTAGGAAATAAAGAGTTGGGAGAGACGTAGCACTCAGTGTTATGCCTAGTTCTTTAATTATAACTGATAAAAATAGCAATTACACCTTTATTCCCCCTCATTATCTAATTTGCTTTAGTGACATAATGTAATAAGGCTCATCTGTATATTAATTATTGATGTAAATATTTCCTTACACTATAAAGGTAAAACATAATATAAGATCTGTACAGTTCAGATGCTTAATTCAAACAGAAGACTCTAGCCCTCTAAAAGAAAAAGTACAATAGCATTAGTCACTGTTTAAATTGCACTGGTGAAAGTAATTTGGATTGTAGTTTAGACAGTACAGAATCAATTATACTAAGGAAATATGGAAAACGTTCTTCTTGAATAAGTTCTCCCTTACTTGATTACTTTCTAAATTTCAGACCTGAGGAAAAAATAGTTGCTGAGCATGAAGATGAAGATGAGGAAGATGAAGAGACTGGAGCTGGAGAGGAAGATGGCCCCCTTCTAGTTCCCCGAGTGAAAGTTGCAGAAGATGGTTCAATTATTCTAGACGAAGAAAGGTTAGATTTTGAAAACTGATGTCTGCTGCAGAAAGGAGCTAAACATTTATTGAACTGTTCAGTCCTGACTTAAAACACTTTGCTGTTTTTGGCAAAGCCTTTTTCCCAATAAGGGAAAACAACGATACAATTTATACCAAAGTTTCTTTCTATTCCCCTCTCTTGCCTTCCTTTCCAAACATGAAATCATTCATATATTGGGTTTCTTCAAATTATTATATGCGGTTAGCAAATGGAACACTCATATTCTTGTTGGCATAGAAAAACAATATTGGGTACATCTACACTGTGGATTTCATGCAGTTTGATACTACTTTAACTGGCATGGCTCAAAGTTGTGGAATTATTGGAGTTGTTGTTTTACAAGGTCTTTAGCTTTCTCTGCCGAAGAGCTTAGTGCCTCACTAAACTTGAACTTCCAGGATTACTTAGTATTGAGCTATGGCAGTTAAAGTAATGTGAAATTGCAATAATTCTACAGTTTAGGTGCACCCATTGTCTATACTGAAGTTCTGAAAATGCAGATAATGATGAGAAATCATTATGGTAATCTTGATAGAAAAATGAGTTTCCTTCCGATCAATTTGTTTTCTGAGGTAATTAACATTGCCTCTTGCTCTGTCTTTTATATTTGACTATCCTCTAATTTCACATTTAGTTTAACAGTAGAAGTTTTGAGGACAAAAGGACAATGTGTGGTGGAAGAAAATGATCCCATCTTTGAACGTGGTTCTACGACAACTTACTCAAGTTTTCGGAAAAGCTATTATACCAAGCCGTGGTCAGAAAAAGGTAGGGAGGTGCAGCTTGATGATGTATGTATAATATTTATTGATCATTTTTGAGTTTGTTTTTTGCAGAGCTGACTCTTGGATGTACGTTTATACAGGATCTGGGCTTGCTTGGTTTAAGGCAATGATGGGCAACCTTTTGAGCTTGGTGTGTCAAAATTTGCCAAAAACCTGAGCATAACTTGGGTGGGGTGTCAACTTCGAGGAAAAACAACAACATAATTTTGCAATATTTATACCAGTAGTTTAAATAAGAAAAATGTATTTTCCATGCTGAGTTATGAAGTGAACAATGCTCAAACATGCAGATGTTAAATTTGTAGAGCCTTTTACAAATTTAAGGATGGAATCAGATTGGCTCTTATAAGGTGTACTTCTCTGTATGCGAACGCATGTGGCCGCGTGTCATCAAAAATAGCCATGCGTGTCAGTGCTGACACACGTGTCATAGGTTGACCATCATGGGTTTAAGGCATACTCACTGGCCAAAGTGAGTGGGAAGATAGTTGTTTTCATCAATTTCTTATTTATATATTTGTGCACAGTTACTGACTGTGCAAGTTTATGCAACCAATATTTTTCACAAATTAGTAATGTACAAGTATCAAGAAATCTGACAATAGGTTAACACTTTACTGTTTTGTATGCCTATAGTCACCTCTTTTCTGCCCCAGTTATAAATAGCTGAATCCTATTTACAAAGTCAATCAGCAGATTTAAAATTTGAATTTTCCAAATGCTCTATACATATCAAGATCTAGGATTAACATTTTGCTTCTCCAGTTTCAGTGTGTGCCTCTAGAGCAGTGGTTCTCAACCTGTGGGTCTCCAGATGTTTTAGCCTTCAACTCCCAGAAATCCTAACATCTGGTAAACTGGCTGGGATTTCTGGGAGTTGTAGGGGACCCACGGGTTGAGAACCACTGCTCTAGGTAGCTGTAGTTCAACTCTACAACCTTTATTTCATCTTTGTAATGATCCATGACCATCATTGTTCTATAGTTTAACTTGAAAGAGCAGCATGAAAACTTTCAATCTAATTGAGAGACAAAATACACCGCCACTTTTCATTCAACACATTTTTAGTAGCTAGAATTTCTTCTGAAACTTGAAAGAATGTAAATATAAGATTCACTGAATTTTATATCTAGCTAGTTCTTGTTAAAATACACAGGATAGTATAATAAGCACTAGTAGTTCAGTTATACTAACAAAGTGATTGATGGATTGATGATTGCAAAAGATCTCAGGTTTAATACCTTATATCTTCGGGCAGAGCCATTGCTAGATAGCGTAATGCTCTTGGTATTATTATCGGACTTCCAACTCCTACCGTGCCTCACTATTGTTGTCATAGCGGGACTGCTAGGACTTGTAATTCAGAAATATCTAATGGACAGATAATTCCTACTGCTGTAAACATTGATCTGACTTACCAGACAGCGTCATAATGTGAAATATAACTCATTTTATGGTAGTATATAAATATAGATTCCTAACTGGCTGTTAGGAATTGTGGGAGTTGAAGACCAAAACACCTGGATGGCCAAAGTTTGCCTGTGCCTGCTCTATACTCTGTTATATATGTCACTTATGAGGTTAACATTAATATACTATGAATAGTCATCATTTTAAAAACGTGTGATTTCTTTTCCTTACAGAAACAGACATGTTCTTCTTAGCTATAAGCATGGTAGGAACAGACTTTTCATTGATCAGTCAGCTTTTTCCTCACAGAGCAAGAACAGAGATAAAGGTAAACATTTTAGAATTACAAAATCAGCATTTGGTTTGTGGATGTAATATTTATAACTTTCCATTCAGTATTAGAAGAGATCATTGGAATTATATTTACTTGTAATATTAACCAATTATCAAAGCACGTACTGTGTTGAAATCACTTGGCAAGAATGCTATCCTTTATAAACCTCCACTGCTATGCTGATGTCTTCCCTCTTTCTTATTCCTTTGGCTTGGGTTAGTGGTTGGATTCAGTAGCCCAAGAGGCCCTCACCAGCTCTTTTAATTCTAGTCTGACAGCACATCTTAGCTAAGGCTAATCGAGCAAGCCTCATTTATCTAGTCATAGGATAACTGCCCCTGAGTTTAGTACCTCTTACTTCCAGCTAAGTGAGTACAGTATACAGTTGAAACCATAGCAAATGAACTCAGAGTATGATCTTAATTTTCTCAGATAAACTTTGCACACTCTGTTCAAGATTGATCAAGGAATCCTGTTTGTGTTCCCCATCTACATGGGAACCTGTGCTCATCTCTTTCCTCACTTAATTGAATATCACAAAATGTTCCTTATTCTTCCTTACTCTCCCAAGCAAAAGACACTGGTGAAATTACTTGCTTGGTGTAAATGTATATATTTGTCCCACATATAAGTTAATGAATTATATCAGTTTCAAATTTGTTTGGAAAATAAGACGTGTTTAAATATTTCATTCAAACCTCTCAGTCAGACTCCCAATATTCAATTTCTGGGTAAAACAGTAGAACTTGTAGTGGCCTCCAAGTTCCAGAGGTTTTTAGATGACCCCTGGTTATCTAGAGTTATTTCTGCCTGGCTTCAGACCCAGTTATCACATGGCAATGGCTTTGTTCACTTTGGTGAATGACCTTCTTTAGGAAATGGACTGAGAGTGTGACTCTTTGGATTCTACTGGACCTCCCAACGGTCATGGTATCTTTCTGGGTCACCTTTCTGAGATGGAACTTTGGACACGATGTTACAGTTCCCATCTGGAGGGAAAATCCCAAAGGTGATGCTGGGGTTCCCCTATTCTTAGCTATTAATCGATGCAGTTCCATGGGATTTTGTTTGGTTTTCAATATTATTTCACATATGCATAAAACTGATAGGAGACATTTACTGGAATGTTGGGGTTTGGTACCATCACTGTGTTGATGACATTTAATATTCTCTCTCCTCTTTACCTCAATTCAAGGAAACTGTTTCAGTTCTAACCTAATTCAGTTAGAATTAGGAAACTGTTTCTAATTCTAAATCAACAGAGTAGATTGAATGAGTTCAAATAAATTTCAAGGGAGGGGCTATGTGGCAATGTCCAATGTTCTATGTTGTCTATGTTCAAAGTTTTATAGTTTATTGGTTTTGATCTATTGTTATATGCTATTTTAATTATGTGTTGTATTTTATATTTTGTGAGGCATTGAATTTTCCCATTTACTTTGTTGTGAACCACTTTCATTCCTGGTAGTGCGCTCCAGGAATGAATAAGAAATGGCATTTGCTCAGTGAAAATGATCAATATGGTTCAACTGTTTGTATTTCAGAATAAATTCAAACGAGAAGAAAAAGCCAATGGATGGAGAATAGATAAAGCATTCAGTAAGTATAGTTACACGTTAAACATTTTTTCATTAGAAAATAAGGCGATATTCAGCTAGGATTTAGTTGTTTACCTTAACCCCTGTGCACTAGGATAGGAAATATTGCCCCTTAGAGTTGCATACTGTTGTAATAGCCATATTAAAATAAGCCTATAGTGTGAATATTCAAGGACCATACAATCCTGTATAGTGTCCCCAAATGAAGGCCCTTGTCTAAACAAAGATTTCCTGGGAACAAATGAATTAAACAAAAAGCATCCTCACAAATCAATGCATTTTTGCCTCTGAGAAACATTTTTGTTCCAGCAAATGTAACATTCCACACTAAAGAAGAGGCATACTCTACGTAAGCTTCTAACAGCAAGGCTCCTTTTAATAATAGCTAAGGGTTTCCTTTGTCATCTGTCTAACTGGGAGCTTTTCAGCAGCATTAGCATTGGGAGAGTGGTGAAAGAGAGTTGGAGAAATTCAAAATTTTGTATTGCATTGAAATGTGTGCCTGCAGTTAACAGGCATTAAGCTGCAGCAAGGAAGGAATGGGGTTCTGTTGTGATTGTTACTGGAACTATAAATATCTGGCTACAATCGGACAAGATAAACTACAGCTGCTTCTTGAATCATTTACTGAACTTCACAGAGAAAAGAGGGGATGGGCATTGGTTCCTGTCTTTCTTTAAAAAAAATCCATAATTTTGCTCCTCCCTCAAATGAAATAATAAGAAACATTGAGGTTGGCAAAAGAAAAGAAATCATCCCTGGATACATTTAAGATGAGGCCTTTATATAGTCTTGAAATGTTTTTGTTTACTTGTGCAATATTTACCACATAGACTCAGAGAGAGATCACAATTGTTATCATGTCCCACCCCCACCCATTTAGGAATACACAATCAAAGCACCTGGGACAGATGACCATCCAGGCTCTGTTTTAAAACCTCCAGAGAAGTAAAACTAGTTGCAAAAATCCCTTGTGGTGTTTTTAGCAAACCATGATGCAGTCTAGTAGAATACTCCTTTTGGCATACAGCCTTTTATACTTCACAATGCAAGATTCTCATTGGGTAAAGGACAATAATCTACTACTAAGACTACAAATGTTCTTTTTTCTTTAAGTACACGAGGGTTAAATAGTTCAAATTACTTCTATATCTTGCAATGCTGCATTCACATTAAACTATAGATCCTTTGTAGATGAACTTTGAGGTGAAAGAATAATGTATTGACAGCATCGACAATAAGAACAAATGCCTATGGAAACTGAATGTGTGATCCTTGAAGATGCGAGGGAATATTTGCATTTTTACATTAAATCATAATTTTATCTCCTTCTTGACTAGAAGAGAAAAAGCCTTTTGACTTTAATTGGTTTGCAAAACTCCTTGAGAAGGTTTTGGAAAATGAAAGGAAGCAAAAGGAAAAATATGCCAAAAATCAGCAACAAAATGAGAAAAAATCCAGTGAGAAAAAAGCACAGAAAAGGCTAAAAGGTATTTTTTAAATTACTAAATACATATTGGAAAGTGATACATTTCCTTACTTATGACTCCTGTAGCTTTTGAAATCTAGTAGGAGCTCTGATTTGTGTGTTGTCATGAGGGGTTAACCCATGTGTAGTGGATTGCTCCTTAAGCCTCACTGAGAATTATTGATTTCCAGATATTTAGCCAGCAGTTGGCTATTGATATTTTGTTTGCATCTGTTTTGGTATTTAGACTTAAACTAATAAGTTCTTTTTAGAGTCATTTTATTAATTTAAAATAACAAGTTTTTTACAAATGTATTATTTTAATTCAGCCTTCAAAAAGAGATAGGTTTCTAATTGTGTCTTAAATTTTGTCAGCTCATTTAGCTGTCAGATTTCTTCCAGCAGGTCATACTGCAGTCTTGGGGTAGCCGATAAAAAGGTCCTCTGGATGATGCCTGCCAGTTGGTTTCTGGCTGGTTGCACTAAATGTTCCCCAGTGTTTGGGGCAGATTATGTGGTAGAAGGCGATCTTGTAGGTGACCTAGACCCAAACCATGCAGGGCTTTAAAAGTCAGAACCAACACTTAGTACTGTGACCAGAAGCTAATTGGCAACCAGTGGAGTGACTTTAACATAGGTGTAATATGCTCGCTCCTAAATGTTCCTGTAACTAGTCTGGCTGCTGAGTTTTGAACTACCGTAATTGGAGTTTCTTAACTTGATACAGAAGTAGCCCAATGTGCACCACATTTCAGAAGTCCAACCTTGAGGTTACCAGTGCATGCACTACTATTTTTAGGTCTTCCTATTCTAGGAAGGGCCGCAACTGATAGTAAGCCAAAGCGGGTAGTAAGCATTCCTGACTGTTGCATCTTTCTGGACTAACTTTTGGAGAGATGGATCTAGGAGCATTTCAGAGCTGCAAGCACAGTCTTTAAGTGGGAGTGTAACTCCTCTAAAATGGTTGACACACATCCAGCCCCAGTTAGGAACCCTAATAGTAAGCATCTCCATCTTGTCTGGATTCTGTTTCAATACCTTTTCCAGGCAATCATTCAGAGGAGAAATGCTATCCTTAGCTGAGGCTGTTTTAAAAGATATGGAGAAATATATATAGGTGCCATTGGTATATTGATAGTACCCTGTCCTGTGCCCCTGGATGATTTCTTCCAACAGTTTCATATAGATGTTAAAATACACTGGGGATAGAGTGGCACCTTGTGGCATAACACAGGTAGAGAGGAGACAGCTAAACCAATATGGGTGTGAGTAGAAAGACCGGAAAGCTTATATGGACCCTTATTTTGTGCAAGTAGAATCCTATCATTTAAAAAAAACCCTTTTTTTAACCAAAGCTTTGGATATACAATATGACCCCCTTATCCACAGATTCAATATACATAGTTTCTTTTGCACATCTTTAAAATATTCCCTCTCAGACATGTTTGTGATCTACTCTAGCTTCTCCAGTGCAATTCTATGGTATGTTTCTGGGCCAAGTATAGTGAAAATAGTTCACTAACTGTGATTTCAGATATCCACTGGCTGGTGGAGGTCTTGGAATGTGTCTCTAGTGGATACAGGGGTCATGCTGTATTCTAATTTACTTACTGAGAATTGTCCAGCTGTTGATGTAATTACACTGTATTTTTATAGTTAAAGTTGTCAATGGACAATCCAGCCATGGTCAAGACGATTTCCAGATTTCTGAAACAGAAATGGAGGTGGATGCTGAGACAGCTGAAAAGGAGAATGAGGTTTCTCCTAGCATTTTGGAACAAGCTGAGGGACAAACAATGACTGAATCAGTGGTGACAAAAAAGAAAAGGAAAAGGAAGAAAAAGGATTCTGAACACGAGACAGACAATCCTCTTGAAGAAAGAACCACCCCTGAAGAAATGGTTGAAGGAGAAAGATTAAGAAAAAAAAGTAAGGATATAAGTAATTGCTGCTATGTCATGTATCTGAGATAATGAACAAGGATTTTGTTTATTTTACTCTGGGGAGAAAAATATTGACTACAGTTGTTATTCTATCAAAGGGAGTATCTCTCCTGAGCAGAATAGCTGCATGGAAATTGAGGCAACCTTTGTTGATCAGGTACCATTGACATCCTGTCCACTATTTCAGAAAGCGTTTCAGTTGTTTGAAGCAGATTGAGAAGGACCATAAGGGAGTGCACAAACAGTGGGAAAGTGCAAAAGATTGTCCTCTCCTCTTAGGTAAAGGTTTCCCATGGCATTAAGTCTAGCCGTGTCTGACTCTGAGGGTAGTGCTCATCTCAATTTCTAAGCCGAAGAGCTGGCATTGTCCATAGACATCTCCTAGATCATGTGGCTAACATGACTGCATGGAGCGCCATTACCTTCACACAGAAGCAGTACCTATTGATCTCACATTTGTATGTGTTTGAACTGCTAGGTTGGAAGAAGCTGGGCCTAACAGCGGGAGCTTATTCTGCTCCCCGGATTAGAACCGCCAATCTTTCAGTCAGCAAGTTCAGGGGCTCAGGGGTTAACACGCTGCACTACCAGGGGGCCTCTCCTCTTATCTGTAGCCAATGAAATCTTTTTGCCTATACAACGCACATATTGGGTACAACCCATTGGTTGATGCAAAATAAAGGACAAAGAAATAACATTAAATCTAAGTCAAGAAAAACTAAGGCTTATTTATATATATAGATTTTGTAGCACCTTTGAGATTGACTGAGAGAAGGAAAGTGGTTTTCCTAGACTAAAGCCCATTTCATAAGATGTATTGGTATTGGCATTTTCGTAGATTGCAGCATATGAAAGCCTATGCTACCAACTTCTTTTTCTCATTTAGTTTCACGTGTGCTGATCTTTCATATGCTGATCCAGACTAATATAGCTATGTCTGTGAGACCTATTTAGTTTATATGATCAGCAGCTGTACAGCATTCATCTTGCATATGGAACTTGAAATTGTAAAAAAAAAAAACTATGTGTAAAAATATTTTGATCTGCAGTTTACATCTAAGAGGTAATTGCACCAAGCATAAAGTAGTTGCACGCAGTAGCATCCTACCGAAATTTATTGATAGTGCATTGGGTGCAGAACCAAAATTAATAAGAACATTAGCCCTGGTCTTGTCTTACTCAACTACTGAGTATGCCTACCCCATCTGGCATAAATCTGCCCACGGGAAGCAGATTAATATAGTACTGAATGGGTGGTTACGAGGTTACGAAGAAGATTGGTTCTGAAGGTTGAATTTGTTTGTAATTTGGAACAGGCACATTTTTTAACTGTAACTCCAATCACACACACACACACACACACACATAAAATTTAGGGATGGGCTAACACTCCCGTGGTGTTTGTTTTGCTGTCTGTGCCCCTATTCAGAAGATTTCACCTTCTTTTCTGTCACCTTGACATTTGGATTTTGAAAAATTTGGCTTGTTATGGAGACACCTTTTCCCTATGATAACTCCCTTTCAGGAGTGAATTTCCCTTCCTAGAAGTAGATTTCTCTCACTTCCTGTTGTCTTACCCCCGTGGTTAATTATGAGTAGTTTGTAAGTCTGATGTTTGTAACTCGGAGCTGCCTGTATTAGACGTGTTGCTTCTACATTTAGATTTTACATAATATTTCAGTGTGTCTAGCCCTGTTCCTTTTACATGATTCAGTCACAAATTCATTCCATTCAGCAAATGCTCTTAATTAATTAATTAAAAGCCTTCATCTTGCTTTTTCTTACTGCTTTACTGCTTTTTGCTTAACATAACTTGGGGAAAAGAGATTGTCCTTGTTAGGGAAGGCACATAGACTTCGTTGAGGGTTGGGTTGAGGTTTTAATTAATGGTTTCTTTGAATTGCTTTTGCTCTTCTCAAGGAGGACAAGATAGAATACTGGAATATTTGACAGTAATGTATAACTGTGCCAAAGAAAAGGATTGTTGGGGAAGCAACTCAAACTTTTTTATAAGTAGCAATATCTTTCACTTGTGTGGATAATGGTTTTGAGGAATTTGTATTACTTGGTCTTCTGTTATCAGGGAAAAATACAGCAAGCATTGAGGTTAATAGCATTAATGAAGATGATGAAGAACTGGAGGTCACTGATCGAGTAACACCTGATGAAACACTCTCCTTGGTAGAAGAAGATCCACAGTGCTGCATAGTAGATGAAGCAGCAGAACAAAACTGTATATCCAGGTAACAACTTATATCTAGATTTTGTTTTAAGGCACCTCATGTAGTCCTGTAAAGCACATCTTATATTTATCATGTATTTTCTTTGCAAGAGTCACCTGGCATCATCCCTTTTACATTTGCCACTTAACCTATGCAAGGGATATGGGACAGTGTGTTAAGTTTAATGTGCAACACGGTTAAATTTTTGTATATTGTTGATATTTTTCCATTTTATATGAGCTTGTTGTCCTCTTGGTATGTTGAAAATCAGACATTTTCAGTTTGGAATGTACAAAACAAGTAACTTATGAGGCCTGGCTTAGAGTTATTGCCAGCAGCTGAAATACTGCAACCTATTCCTTACTCTGGCTCTAAAGGTTGTTGCTAGTCCTCTGTTTAAAGTGTTGGAATTGGGTCCTGTGTTATTATCCAACTGTTAACTGAGAAAATTAAATGACAACTATTTTTTATCTTCACTTTCTGTATGTTACATGGAAATCTAAACAATGGACATTTCTCATTGCAGTTGTAATGATCAACAACATGTGATTTTACCTTGACAGTGCTATTTAAAAGTCAGTATTGTATACTAAAGACATAACTGAATATCTATCATTTATGGAGTTCTTTGAATGAATTCTATCTAGATTGGCATCATTATATGAAGGCAAAAATGAAAGTTAGTACGTCTGTGAGCAGGCGATAATATTTGATGAAAAAAGAATAATGCTTTCTTCATGTTCTTATATTTTCAGCATTCATGATAGTACATTCATAGAAGTTGAATGTAGTGAATTAGATGTTTTGGAAAATAGTTCTGAGCACCAGAATGGATGGCCTTCAGTGACTCCAGATACAAATAAAAATGGGTTTGAGGAAATCAATGCTGCCCAGGTAAAGTATTTAGACACATTTCTAGCCTATTCAATCTCTTTATTTTGCTGTGAACAAAACCAACAATGTGTCCAAGGAATTCCAAATATTTGTATGCTATTTCAACACAAATACAGTAATCTCTGTGTTGTTTTCCTTTTGAATATATCTCATTTCATTTGAAAGGCTGTCATAAGGAAAATTATTATTATTATTATTATTATTATTATTATTATTATTATTAACTTTATTTGTACCCCGCTAGCATCTCCCAAAGGACTCGATGCGGCTTACAAAGGCCAAGGCCTCAAAACACAACATAACAATACACAACCTAAAGCAAATTAAAAACAGTTAAAGCAATATTAAACAACAAGCAATAAAAAATACACGAGGACACAATAAAACTGGGCCGGGCCAGAGTAATGGGTACAGATTAAAAGTGCTGATGTGACAGGTGTAAGGATTATAGGGTAAGTGCAGTGTGCCAGCAATCTTAATTTCTAATAAAGTGCTTCTGGGACTTGTTGTTGGAGTTTTCCTATTCTGGAAAGGCACATCGGAACAGCCAAGTCTTCAAGTTCTTTCTAAAGACTGCCAATGTAGGGGCCTGTCTAAGATCTTTGGGGAGGGTATTCCAGAGTCGGGGTGCCACTACAGAAAAGGCCCTGTCTCGCATCCCCACCAAACTTGCCTGCGACGCAGGCGGAATCACGAGCAGAACCTCTCGAAGTGAGCGCGTGAAAAGGGAACAAGGTTGTTGGGTTCAAATTACAGGAAATAGGATACCACCTAAACATTAGGAATAACTTGCTGATTGTAAGAGCTGTTCAACAGTGGAACACATTGCCTGGGAGTGTGGTGGAAACTCCTTCCTTGGAGGCATTTAAACAGGCTGGATGGCCATCTGTTGGGATGCTTTGATTGTTACTTTTCCTGCATGGCAGGGGGTTGGACTAGATTGTCCATATGGTCTCTTCCAACTCTGTGACTCATGAGTCAAATTGCTACAAATTTTAGGGAATGAGAAAGACATTGCCTTTGTATCTCCAGTAATACTGGAGCTATCAGTTTTTGCAGTTTATTTGAGCTTCGTTTGATGCCAGTTATCTCCACTCCACTGCAATAGTTGATGCCAGGGGCAGAACTCCATGTTTTCTTTGTAGCTTTCTTATTGATTGGTTTTCTTTGTAGCTTTCTTACTGATTGGTTCCTAGGATATATCTAGCATTTTTATGTATATGACACTGAACTTACATTTTAAATTGTGAGAAAGTGCTTGGAATATGACATTAAAAAATTCTCTTTCTGTTTATTCCTCATTTTTCCTCAGGAGTGAGACTGCATGTTTGTTTCTTGCTGATCTAAACATTACAGACCAAGTAAAGGCCTTACTTTTTGAATATAGGTGGAGCTCAGTTCTTTTAAAACTGCTTTTTTTTACTGACTTACATCAATTTCATGTTAAAAGACAATATTGCACAACATTTCCCATCTTATGAGAAATCAGGGCCTTAAAACCACATTGTCTGTTTTGGTTTCATAACAGAATGATACACTTGAGTCGGATATACTGGATGGAAATCAGAATGCTGCATCACAAAGTCTTGATGAAGAACTAAGGTGAGCAGAATAGTTTTCTCTGAGCAGGACCTCTAAATCAAACAGTGCTTAGTGTTATAAATAAATAATTAGATTAATAAATGCTTAAAATATTTGCTTAAGATCACTGATTTTTTTCTTCTTCAAATGGCTTCCCACAATAACTGCATATCATTGACCAAGAATGGTCTTGCCAGATCTGCTGGTGTGTATGGCACACAGTGGGCTGAATATGCTGAAAAACTGCAATATTTCTGATGATCTGGAAAGTCAGTTGCAATTCCCCTTGTACCTAACAGTGGAATAGCAATACTTAAGCAGCAGTAGGAATAACCTTCTCTGGATATAGTCAGCCTTCCAAAATACTAAGGAACAGGTTGTCATTGTAAGAAGGAACCTTATGGCTGAAGTTATAACTGCTGTTTATGCAGTGGTTTGAATTTACTATGTATGCTTGATGAAGTTAGCTGCTAAAAATGTTCACTGAGAAGACAGTGACCAATATGTGAAATAAGTAAATAAGAAAATGGTGTAGGAAATGCATGATGAAATTGTGTTCTCCCTCCTCCCAGCCAGGCTTTGTCGTTCATGTTAATTGAGATGGTTGCTAAATTGGATGTTAGTGTGCAACATGAGGTTGAATAATATAAATATTTTCAATTTGCCTTCAGGAAAACAGAAATAGCAGCCATCAAGAAGCCGACAGTAGAAGGACAGAGAACTCCATCAGACTTTACAGGAACATCTGAAAAAGGAGGTCTTTCAATTAGTAACACATCAGAGATGAAGTCTAGAGGTAGTTCAGTAAAGGTATGAGATTAAGCGTTTAAAAATAAATACTTTGTATTGCATTGCCTAAACTTTTCAGGGTTTTGTTCCATTTTACACATGGAACCTTGATTTCACAAAACATTAACTCAGATTCTTCAGATTTTATTTGTATCATTTGAATATGTTGCTTAGATTATTGTTTGCATCATTGCATAAATGTTAAAATACTTTGTTTCTTTCAATTAGAATGCTGTGGAAGATAATGTTAATGACATAATTGACCCTATCAGCGAGGAAACAAACAATAACATGGAGAACAAATCTCAGTAAGTTGCAGATTTAAAACAAAATTATTTTGTGTTGCATTTCACCATTTAACATATTTATCTGTGATCATAAAAGCTGTTTCTGAAAATGCAGATAATGTAACATTGTAAAAATTGCATGATTAGCATTCCCTTGATTAGTAAACATTGACATTGTGAATTTTCACTCTGATTCATTACTTTCAGATAAGATGAGTATTGTATGAATTTCAGTTTTTATAGACATTCAAACAAAAATAATTTTCTGTTTTCCAAACAGTGAAAAATTGTGTTTATGTAAAACATGAATTATAATAATTGCTGTTTAACATCATCCATTTGATGTCATACACACTCTGTAAAAATATTTTTTTTTGAAAAACCAACTGATTTCTTTCATTCTTTTGATATACTAAAAAGGGAAAGTTTTCCCCTTGACATTAAGTCTAGTCATGTCTTACTCTGAGGCGTAATCTGCTCACATTTACATGTTTTTGAACTGCTAGGTCGGCTGAAGCTGGGGCTAACAGCAGGAGCTCACCCCTGCTGCTTTGAACCACCGACCTTTTGGTCAGCAATTTCAGTAGCTCAGCAGTTTAACCTACTGAACCACCGGGGGCTCTTCTAATATACTATCTGGTTTTAAGTCCGTTCTTAATACAGAAGTTTGCATTGACTAAATCATTTTGAGGCCTCTCTTTGCTTAAATAATACTGGGATTTTAAAAGGTCTGTTTTTTTTTTAATGAAGGAATTGTTCGGAAATTCAAGGTGGTCATGCAGAAAAGACAGAAGTGAGAGGTCGTCGACAGAAACCTAAACCTAACATACTGAAGGCATCTGGCAGAAAAGAAGCACCAGCTCAAAGCAACCTTGAGAAACCAGAGATGTTTGGTGCAGTAGAAAAGGTATTCAGTATTCTGTATTTAAATGTTCAACAGTGGGATTAGGAAAATAACTTGCATTATGTTTATGTTTTGATATTACTATTGTTTATTGCTTATTGTGTATTTTCTGTTTTTGAGTTTATTTTAACTGTTTTGTATTGATTATTGTTATTGCTTTTGTTTATTGATGTGCTGTGGGCTTGGCCTCATGTAAGCCGCACCGAGTCCCTTGGGGAGATGGTAGTGGGGTACAAATAAGGTTTTTTAAAATTATTATTATTATTATTATTATTATTATTATTATTATTATTATTATTATTTGTCTATGAAAAAATAACAGCTTTTGCAAATGAAGGGACAGCTATGGGCAGGTGTGACTCACTGTATTTATGGGATCTCCAGACAGCTGTAGACAACACCCCATCATTTCTGTAAAACCAGGAGTGATATTCTAGCCCCTTTTATTCACATTTTGGGCTGTTCCAAAACTGATTTTGTGTTCAGGTGCCTCAACAGAATGTGTTTAGGCTCTTCCTGGCAACCTCTGGAGCATAGGCTTCTGGTTTGGCTCTCTCTCTCTCTGTGTGTGTAAAAATGTTTGGGTATGTCAAAACCCGAAAGGTCACAAAGTTCCCAGGCCAGATATAAAGCTTTTGTTATTTTCTGTGAACTTTTTGGAGAGTGTAATAACTATATAGCTATGCTTACATACACAAACATATATATTTAATGGCAATCGCATCTTGATTGATCCATGGCTGCATAGCAGTTACAGTTTTGTAAGGCTCCATATCCAGATTGTATTTTAAATCAGGGCAACCAAATATCTTGCCTAAATCATGTCGGAAACTGTTGACATGCTTCCACTGCTTCAAAAACACACAAAGGAAGCATTTGAATTATCAAATTACAGAATTCTTTGATGAAGCTATAGGGCTTATATGTTCCTTTGTTTTCCAAGAACTTGTCTCTGATGAGTCACTTCAAGATGTCCAAGGCATTGTTTTGATTTCTGCATCTCAATTTTGTATTTCAAGTTGTGAAATTGATGTATTTTGGAAAGGTACAATTAATTTTATTTCCATATTTAATTCTTAGAATAATGATCAGGATGATATGCCCACTACTAGCATTGTGGTTACTACTGAAAAAGATCCCAGGCATTTGGATACTGAATCTTTGTAAGTATGGGAAGAAATTTGAAAGTGTTCTGCTATTTTCTGCGCGGCGCATTATTGAGAGTAAGATTAGAAAATATTATTTGACTTATGGAAAGTAATAGTTTCAGGTAACATACTTTTATCAATTTTTGGCAGCTCCGCATGCTACTTAAGGTCTAAATCCATTACACTGCTGCTGCGTTTGTTCCTTTATGATGGAGATTTCTTACCTTCCTCTCTTTTGCAGTTGCCTGAAAAGCTGCTCTGGGGGAAGTGTTATGGGATGCACAGGGTGTTCAGTGCAAGGGGACATTACCCCACATTCTGCTTTTGGATTCTTCTGTTCCATCAGCAGGGATCCCAAATGTACTAAAGTTTCTAATGCCTTTTAAAAGAGCAATAGCACAAGACAAACGATACTGGATATATGTTGTTGAATTGAAAAAAATACATGTGAGAAAAACACTTCAGGTAAATAATCCACACAACCCATGGGTTTTCAATCCTTCCTAAGTAGAGTAATTGCTTTTCTTAATTACCATATATTTTCTTTTAATTTCTGGGTCCAGTACAATCATGGTAACAGATCTATGTTCAGGATGGACTTCATTTAATTAGGCTTATTTCTTTAACCTCAAGTTGAATAGGCAAAACAGAATGTAATATTAACCTTTGCCTGATTTGTCTGAAAATAATTTTAAGCATTTGCAGTTAGTGTCTGTTTCACTGGATAATTTTACATTTAGGTGTATATACTGTACTTCTTTTGTCAATTACATTAGTAGCTTATCATGAGAATGGCCTTCTGGTCCCATTGATGGCTTCTCATTGGAACAGACAAATCTCATTGGAACAAATTTCTGTTCATTGGAATAGACAAATGTCTCCATTGAGACAAATTTCTGAAATTGAAAATGTTGTCTAGTTGCTTCAGATGGCCCAAATTTATTTGTTTGTTTGTTTGTTTGTTTGTTTCAAGCATTTATATCCCATCCTTCTCACCTCCGAAGAGGGATTAAGGACAGCTTACAACAGGCAGCCACCAGATGCCAACACAGTACATTAAAAATCAAAGTTACAATTAAACACAATTATAAAACATTCAATTTAAAACAGTTTGCCGGTTCACGATCATAGTCCAGGTCAATCAATTGCGGTCACTAAAACATTCTCTTCCCAGGTATTCTATCTATTGTTCAAAAACTTGATCCCACAGCCAAGTTTTGAGTTTTTTTATGAAAGATCAGGAGGGAGGGAGTTCCACAGCCAAGAGGCACCACAGAGGAAGCCCTGTCTCTCGTCCCCAACAGACACGTCTGCAAAGGTGGTGGGACCGAGAGCAGGATCTCTCTGGATGATCTTAATGTCCTTGGTGGTTCACAGAGGGAAATACATTTGGACAGGTAAACTGGGCCGGAACCAGTTTGGGCTTTTTTGTTGTTTCTGTTATTATTAACAATAATTGCAGGTAACATTTTTGACTAAAAATAGGGTTTATTATGATGTGAAGAGTCTCTGCAGTACTTATTTCTTTTTTGATTGTCTTAGAGGTGTGTGTCATTGTTTTTCTTGAATAATTGTTCTTTAGGGCTTCTAAGAAATCCACCGTGCAAGAAAACAGCAAGCAAACTGTTTTAAAACCAGCGCCACTAGCAAGGGGTCGAATGCAGAGGCCTAAACCAAATTTAGGATGTGTAGTTAGAAGGCAAGGAGGATCAGCAAAAAACATTGCATCAGAAGATGGAAAAACACCTGTAGTAGCTGGTGAAGCAGAGAAGACTCTTAAACAGCATGATTGTAGTGGGGCACTCTTGAATAAGAATAAAACTGTAAGTATACTACATAAAACATTATCTGTTCACTTACCAGATTGATTGAATTAAGTGCCATTCTATGAATGTTTATGATTCTGTAAACTATTGTTTTTCTGGGAACTTGTTACCTTAATATGAATAAGATGTATGTGTATTCTACATGTAGAGCTAGTATAAGAATGAAATTTTATAAGACCTGGAGCATCTCATGCAGACTTATAACTTAAGTTATTTTTGTTCATATCAATGTAGCCTGGATCTTGAGTTGAACTGTAACCTCATTTCTGCAGATTCTGAAGTTTAAAGATGAACTTGCTGCTCTCGGAAGTCTCATAGCTCTATGCTAGATTTCAGAATATACAAGAAAACAACACTGTTTTTGTTAAATGAAATATAATTTAGCCAAAAAATGTTACCTGCAATTATTGGTAACAACAACAACAACAAATTTATTATCCACCCCTCTTTGTAGCTCGAGGTGCGGGACGATATGGTTAAAATAAAGAGATAAATGGCTTCTTATTTTCATACTTTGAAAAATAATTCAAAATGTACCTTTTCATTACATTACTTAACAAGGTAAAGCTGTCTGTTTTGAATTTAGCAGCCTTTAGACCATTGGTCCATCTAGCCCAGTACTGTCAGCCTTGACTGGAAGGGACTGTCAAGGATGTCAGAAGGGATTTGGATTTATTTATTTCGTATCAAAAGTATTGCATAAATTAGTATAAAACTGATAAAAATAGAAGGAGCACGAGTGGAAATGTTTAAAAGCAATGCTTTTGGGTTTGGAAAGATTAGCCACTTACAAGAAACGTTGTCCAGGGGATGCCCGACTGTATTATGCAGTCTTCGAGGAGGCTCTTTCTGTGTCCCGCTCTTATCTGGAGATCCCTAACATAACTTCTAGCAATTTTCTGCTTTTCTGTCTATATGAGCTGTATTTCTGCAGATTCTACCTATCGTAAGTTCTTATAACTTGTAGGTTTCAGTAAAATTTCTTTTATTTCCTAGGAGGCAGTTGCATATGAAGCTGGCATGCCACAATCTGAGGTGTTACAAAACAAAATTGTTACAAGTGCTGAGACAGAAGATTGTATGCCCACAAGCCCAGGAAAGAGGCCTCTGGAATTTGAGAGTCATGAATTCAAAAATACATCTCTCTCAAGCAAGAGTTTGGAGATTATGGTAGATGCTGCTGTGAGGTAGGCTTATTATGTCTTGAAGAGATAAAACAAGAAGCACTGTTATTACAATACTTAACTTTTGCATGCAGCCGACTAGAAACTGTTTGATTCCAGCTCCCATCAGCACTGTTGGTTATGGAAGATCATAGGTTCCTCACACCATCTGTAGCATATGGATTCCCTTCAGAAACATTAGACATGTGCTTTCAGTAACTAATGATCTTGAAAAATAAAACGTATGATCTAAAATCTCCTCTCAAAGATTTACATTAGAAAGAAAAGGGATAGAATTGTTGTAGGTTTTTTTGGGCTATATGGCCATGTTCTAGAGGCATTTTCTCCTGACGTTTCACCTGCATCTATGGCAAGCATCCTCAGAGGTAGTGAAAGCCTTCGGCAATACAGAGATAGAATTATTGGTCCCTCTGATGCCATTGATGCCCAGTAGCACCAATTGTTAGTGGCACAGTCTGATTTTTTTTTTTTGTAAATTTTTATTGAGTTCTATAAAGTTACAGTTACAGCACAGTCTGAAATTGATGAATGAAGGGCAGAAACAACACTAAAGAAAAGCCCATGAGGCATTATCTTTAGTTGTAAGATCATCTGTGGCAGCATCAATGCTTTCCAGAGCTTCAGTGCAAGACATAATAGAAAATTAGGATTTGAGTATACAAGTTTTGAATAGAGCATTACTGAGAGTGAAAACGGGTATTACAAAACATATGATGTCCCATTATTTTCTAACCCTTTGATATGATCTTCAAATACATGAATTGTTGAGTGTTGTGCATTTTACATCCTCCCTCGTTTTTCTGTTGCTTTGAGTCTCTGCATTACAGCTCAGTTGTACTTCTTGCTTGCAAAGAAGGCAGTTTATTGCAGAAGTGTTTATATAATTATTGGAATTATTATTAAGTTAGACAAGTCAATTGGATAAAGTCCATCTCTGAATGACTACTATTCTTTTTGATACTTTTTGTATTTGACTCATACATGTGATTCTTTCTCACTCTCATTCTAATATTGAATTACAGTATGTAAGAAGATTGCAGGCATTCATTGGGGTTGTTATGCTGGGTAGTTTTATCTATATGTTAATTTCTATTGTGATTTTTTTAAAGATTAAAACAATTTTTTTCTTGACCACCCAGAGATTCTAGTCTTCAGCAAGACCAGAAAGAAATTTTTGCAGAAACTGAAAGTTCTGTGAAAAGTCACTGTCATAATCCAAAGCAGAGCTTGGGAAAGGCAACAGAAAAAGAGGAGGCATCACAAGCAGGAAAAGGGCTGCTGAGGACCACACATGACTCTGAAACTACAGAAGAAAGTTTAGTAAGTGTCATGGGAAAATGGAGTGAGTTCTCCAACCTAGACGTAAGACTTACTTTAAAGTTTTCTTTAGATATTTGAAGAATCGTCACCAATAATGTATGAATAATGAATTTCTGCTTTGTTATTGGCAATTATTGATTTAATAATGTAATGTGCATCAAGACTATGTGTTATCAAAGAGAACTCACTTGTTTATAAACTTATCTGTTAATTTACTTTCATTTGAATAAATATACTTAATATTCAGATTTAAAGTTCCTGTCCTTCACAGGGCAGTTGGCTTGCATGTTTCCTATAATAGATAACATGATGACTTTAGACTACAGTTCGGGTGTCCATGTAAATTGTGAATCAGTGCAGCTGTTTTTATTGGATGGAAATTGTTCCTGAGAATCCATCATGAGCTTTCCATGTACAGTAATCATACAAAGACCATGTTAGGTAATTGAATGAGCCCCAAGAAGCTATCTGTATTGGATCTGCAAGGAAATACATCTAATAAATTAGTATTGTTCAAATCACTCGTGTATTTTAGATGGGCTTACTGTAAAATATGTAGATTTTACAAAATTGAAACAGCATCACCTCTCAAATTACTTTGAGTGAAATAGCAAAAGCATATAATGCCATTTTTACATCGGTATCTTATGAAATAAATGTAGTATTTTGTATAGCAAAGAATGAGATGCTGATATTTTTTGAGATTTTCTTGTGTTTCTTTCATGGCTTTTTTCTTGCATTTTATAATGGTACTGAATGCATTTTGGATCAGATATTTAACATTTTGGTTGTGTTTTAGGAAGCAACACTCAGTGAAATTGTGCCACTGTCAGATTTGTTAGAGGAGTCCTCTGCAGATGCTCCAGAGGCAGTTGCACTGAAACCCCTCCAACTGTCTCCTCCAAACCTTTCAGGCTCTAAGGGTGGTGAACCAAGCAAGGAATCAAGGTCCTCAGATATCCAGAAAAGTGTTTCACTAGGGTAAGGATATGCTGTTTTTTAAGATCTTTAGTAGGAGAACGTTGGGGATTTTTCCTGTTGTTTTCCCATTTACAGGCCCCACAATGTGAAGTAGCTTTAAAAATCAATTCACTTCAGGCCAGTTAGTGATTGTTGCATCTGAGTTTTCCTTTCCAGAAAATTGGGAGGAATTTATAAGTGTAATTTAAAATATCCCCTGTTGTTCAGAAGCAGATCTTCAAGGGCACAAAAGCTAAATGGTAAATGCAATGTGTGATCCTTTGGATTCAAGTCACGGTTAACTGTGAAATGCTGAATGTGTAATTATGAAATATAGAAGTCAGAAAATACAAATTTGTCTTTTATGATGTAGAAAGAAGCAATAAAGTGCCATGTATTGTATTTATATAATTTAAGAATAGTTGCCAATAATTTATGAATTGTGATTTTCTTCCTTTCTAAACTGTAGTCATTTAGTGATGAGCTGAATAACCTTTAGTTCATCATTATTGGTGGAAACCTCTTAAGGCAGTGCATAAGATAAAGGGGGACAATACAAACTGTCAGTATAAGAACAATACTGCTCTTTCCTTCAGGGATAATAGAAATCTATGGACATAATTTGTTCTATGGAGATATCTTGATTATCCTGGAGATAATATTTCTAAAATACAGAAATGATTTAATTTGCACATATTTTAATCCCTTTTCCAGATCTTCCAGTAAACAGAACTTGCAAGGGGAAAGTAAAGACAGTGTTGTTCAACCAACGCTGCCACTCAGAAGCAGATTCCAGAAACCCAAACCCAATATTGGACGGGCAGTTGCAAGGAAAGAAACACAGCCTTTTGTAACAAATGAAGCAACAGTAACACATACGGAAATTGAGAAATCTGAACAACAGAAATGTGATCCTACTAGAATGTCTACTGTAGTGGTAGGTTCCACGAAATTGACTGGGTTATTTCTTGAGTAGAAGTACCATGCAGAAGTTGCTGAATCAGTAATTTACATTTAATTTTTTCATTATGAAGAATAGTAAAGTTTTTCTTCCTATTATTTTATATTGCTATTCCAGGCAAAGCCTCCTCAGTTTTCAACCACTGAAGCCTTAGAAAAGCGATCTTTAGGTACTGCAAAAATGAATCAGGAAGACCCTCATCAGTCCAGTACATCCAAAAATATTTTAGATCCGTTTCTCAGGTATATTTTCTTGGTCACAAGAATGAAATATCCACCTCTTATTTTTCATCTGCTTTTGTTGCTTTTCCACAGCCACTTGCTGTATGCAAGATACTTACTTATGTAAGTATCTTGGGCATTTCAAAGCCTTTAGCCTCTTTTCTCCACCTGTTCTTAATCTTCTCTAGTATCTTGGATATGAGGTTTTAAGTGGTGACTGTGGACAGGACATTATTACAAGAGAAATGAAGCTTAAGAATGAATGTCGTATCAAGGTGCACATAGCTATACTGATTGAATTGCTTCAGTCATTTTTTTCTCTTTGTCTGATAGGAAAAAGCCCATCCAAGAGGGTAAACCATGTGCTATCAAGCCTGCTCAACTGGTGAGAGGTTTGTCCCAGAAAGCCAAGCCAAGCCCTGGAAGGATTAAGGAGAAGAAGGAAGGACATGTATCAGAAAACATTGGTGCTCCAATTGAGGGAGAAGTAAGGAATACAGATGTGGAGACAGTAAAGAACAGTGATTTGCACCCACTTTTGAAGTTTAGCTACTTGATGGGATGCTTTCTTTCTGTCTTAGTTCTTTTAAGCATTGCTTTAAAAATAAAGCACCTGTTTTGATGTCACAGCAGATATTGTTGATTTTCTAGAGTGGCAAGTGGAAATGGGGAGCTTCCCTGAAAACCTTGGTGCTTATGTGGAAGTGCTCCTCATACTTCTTCAGCCACTCAGTTATCAGAACAGCATTTAACAGAAATGAATTGGAATGCCATTCCCTTTCATTTCCTTGAAGCACCTGTCCTGACTCCTTATTAAATGAAGATATTTTTTCTTTATGAGTAAACAGTGGAGAATAGCTGACAGACACACAAAAATGCTAGATACACTGCAGTACCCTTACATAATTTTATTGAGCGTACCATATATATTTGTGGATAGGTCGACTTGGTTAGTATTTGAATGGGACAGCATGCAGTGATGAATGGACCATGGATTGGACTTTCCTCAGAGCAACTTCCTATATTCCTATACATGAGCTTCAATGTCTTGTGGGGCTGTATGTTCCTGACATCCCTATGACCTGTGGTATAGTTACAGTAAACAGTTTGGAGGGACGAGAGAGAGGACATTCTCAGTGATTGCCCCTCGGCTATGGAACTCCCTTCCTAATGTGATTAGGTCAGCCCCCTCCCTCTTGTTCTTTAGAAGGATGATAAAAACATGGCTGTGGGACCGACCCTTTAGGACTGTGTAATGAGGCAGCGATAAGAACTCTTAGTATGCCAACCAGATTCGATATGGTTGTTTGAGACAGTTTTAAACAGAGGATTTTACTGTCAAGATAAGAAATTCTTAATGTTTTTGTATGTGTATAGTCTAGTATAGGGGTCCTCAAACTAAGGCCCGAGGGCTGGATACTGCCCTCCAAGTTTGTTTACCTGGCCCTTGCTCAGGATCAGCCTAAGTCTGAAACAAAGTCAAAAGAAGGAGCCTCCACCACCCTCTCCTCTGCCCCGGAGTGTGGTGGAGGTCCTTCTTTGGAGACTTTTAAACAGAGGCTGGATGACCATCTGCGGGGGTCCTTTGAATGAGATTTTCCTGCTTCTTGGCAGAAAGGGGTTGGACTGGATGGCCTGTGAGGTCTCTTCCAACTGTAGGATTCTAGGATTCTATGACATGAAAGCACGCAATGACAACAACAACAACAACAACAACAGCAATCCTATCTCATCAGCCCAAAGCAGGCCCACACTTCCCATTGAAAGACTTAATAAGTTTATATTTTTAAGATTGTTCTTCATTTTAATGATTGTATTTTTAAGTGTTTTTTGCACTACAAAGAAGATATGTGCAGTGTACATAGGAATTCATTCATGCTTTTTTCAAATTATAATCCAGCCCTCCAAACGTTTGAGGGACTGTGACCTGGCCCTCTGTTTAAACAGTTTGAGGACCCTGGTCTAGTATGTTTTGGCATTGAATGTGTGCTGTTTATATGTTGTGCTCCACCCTGAGTCCCTTTCAGGGTGGAATATAAATGCTTTAAATAAATAAATAATAAATACCATGTTTGACTAACTAATTAATTTTTAAAAATTTAAAAATTCAAGTTGGTGAAAAAGCTGATGTTGGTTTGTCTGAAACTACTCGTAGTTTTAATTAACTACAGTTCTAGATTCAGATGATATAGGAAGCTTGTGGGTAATAAAAAATGGAAGAGAAAGTCCCTTCAGACTGTGGTAGAGGAAAGCATGGGGTATGTATGAGTCTGGGATAGGATCTTGCTTACATCTTGCTGAACTGTCATTCAGTCAGACACCTGAATGTATCTGAATGTCACGCATCCTATTTAATAGAAAATTTTAATTTTCTTGCTAAAAACCAGATTTTCTTCTGTATTGATTTTTACCTTTCTATCATTGTATTATTTAATGATATTTTATCTGATGGCATCTCAATTATATTTGGTAATTTATTGTATTGCAAAGGAAGGCAATGGCAAGCAACTTCTGGGTGTCTCCTGCCTAAGGAACTCCATGAAGTGTATGGGCCGTAAGTTTCCCAATGACTTGAAAACACATATAGAGACATAAGTGAGTCAGAGGAGACAAATGTCAGTTTCTTATCAGTCTTAATGATTGAGCAGAATATTCTGAAAGTCATGTCAAGCATCTTAAGACTGCAGGAAAATTCTGATCCATTCTAACTTTTGGCCCCCAATCTGAAGGAATCGATGTCGAACTCATTTTCACCAAAGCTACATTGGCCTCATGGTTGCCTTCAAAGGAACGGTTGTGATTGTAAAACTGTATAAATGTAACTATGTTGCCTTGGCATCAAAAGCCTTGCAGGCCACACAAAATGGCATGGTGAGCCAGATTTGACCCACAGGCCTTGCGTTAAACATGTGTGCTTTAGGATTATGTTCTCTAAATAAATGTATCTTCTAATCTCCAAGGATGAAGTCAACCTCCAAGCTTCCCTGGAAAAATTGAAGAAAAGGGAAAAATCAGAAACCAGTGAAGCCTCATTAGTAGAAAGTATAAATGATCAGGAGAAATTTTCTTCTTCTGAGAACTCACAGAGATGTGAAGTTCTGAAAGACAAGGAAGCCTGTATGACCAAAGATGATGTTGAAGAAAGGCTTCTGGATATTACTGTAAGGTATGTTATTTTCAGTAAATAATTGAAATTTCACCCTGAGAGCATAATGCCACCACTGTTTCTCTATATTATGAGAACTAGATCTCTCTTTACACATCCTCAGTTCAAAGTGAAGAGAAAAGGAAGTTTGTTTCCCTGGTCTCATTTTCTCAACTCATATTCTGATTGGCTTGGGTTTTAAAAGGAAAAAAAATATTTGCCTGACTGTTTTCAAGGATACATAAACATTGATATGATTTTAGTTTTGTTTCTTGCTTTTGCTTCTTGGTTAGGGATATTTCTGCTCCTCCAGAAGGAAGTCAGTCAAAAACCATAAAACACACCCAGTTCATGAGGGGTAGGCTTCATAGGCCTAAGCCAAACATTAAAGTATCTACAAAGAGGAAAGGTGTAAATTTAGAAGATATTAACGAAGAAGACCAGACTGAAAGAGATACAGATACTGAAGCGACACCATTTGGAAGCAAATCTGGAGAAATGGCCACATCAATTGTAAGTGCTAGTGAATCATTTAAAATTATGTTTTGGTTGGCAGTTTTGTCCAGACTGCAATCAAATTAATAAGAAGTCTAAAAACCAAGCCCGGTGAACGATAGTTTAATCATTTTGATATGATAGACATTACTAAATATCTGAAGGGCTGCCTTGTAGATGTTAGAGCAATCTTGTTTTTACTTGCTCCAGAAGAAGGGGGACTTAAGTTAAAGCATTCTAATGACAAAGAAGGACTTTCCGATTTTCTGATATAAAGACCTGTTCAACGTGGAATAAATTAAATTGAAAGGTAGTGGCCTTTCCTTTGTTGAAGATTCTTAAACAGAAGTTAGAGCGTCACCCTTCCTTTTCTTTTTATACATTCTTCTTTCTAGGAAATGCATAAAACTCCAGGAAATATTTTTTTTCTTTCAGCAGAATCTTTTCTTTGGTATGAAGATGTTAAGATTGACCTTTTTACTATTAAAAATTTAAACTGAGGGCTTCATTTGATACGTTCTTTCATGACTGCCATATGCAGTATAATGTTCTTTCTTTCCTGCTCTTCCTTGTTAGGCTTTCATAAAGTGGGAGGCTTAATCCAATTGTTAAACACAGTATCAGCAGACCCAAGTCAATAGGTATTATGTGAATATTGAATTAACAAGGTCAATGGATTTGGTGTGTCTGTTGTAGTTGGAATTAACAATTTGATTTTTGGAGCAACAGAACCACTATGGTATGGAGCAGGCATTGGCAAACTTTGACCCTCCAGGTGTTTAGGACTTCAAAAACTTTTAGGAGGCTGTATGCAGATGATGCCCAACTCTATCATTCTTTTCCACCTGCTGCCAAGGAGGCTGTTCAAGTCCTGAACCGGTGCTTGGCAGCTGTGATGGTCTGGATGAGGGCAAACAAATTGAAACTGAATCCATACAAGACAGAGGTACTCCTGGTCAGTCATAAGGCCGAACAGGGTATAGGGTTACAGTCTGTGCTGACAGGGTTACACTCCCCCTTAAGACACAGGTTTGTAGCTTGGGAGTTCTCCTGGACTAATCACTGAGCCTGGAACCTCAGGTTTCGGTGATAGTCAGGGGGGCATTTGCACAATTAAAACTTGTGCGCCAGCTGCACCCATACCTTGGGAAGTCAGACTTGACCACAGTAGTCCATGCTCTTGTTATATCTTGTATAGACTACTGCAATGCACCCTATGTGGGGTTGCCTTCGAAGACTGTTTGGAAGCTTTAAGTAGACAAATGGGCGGTAGCCAGGTTGCTCACTGGAGTGGCGTACAGGGAGCATACAACCCCTTGTTGCGTCTGCTCCACTTGCTGCCAGTCTGCTACTAAGCAAAATTCAAAGTGCTGGCTTTGGTTTATAAATCCCTAAATGGTTCTGGTCCAGCTTACATGTCTGAACGCATTTTCCTTTATGAGCCAGCTAGAACATTAAGATCTGCCGAGGAGATCCTGCTCTCAGTCCCACCGCCTTTGCAGGAGTATTATCTTAATTCAGTGTATTATCTTAAGAGTATCATGTGAAAATTAAAGAAATTTGATATAGGTTTTTGTTGAAGGACTGAAAAATCTTAAGTTGTTTAAAAAGAACATTTAGAAACTAAACATATTTTAACTTGGCACATGCATTTTTTTCTTGTTTCTAGCATGTTTCTGGAAATTTTGTGAAGGCTGCAACAACCTCGGAATCCACGAGACAAAAAGATAGTACTGATAGCACTGAAACAATGTATATGAAAAGAAGCAAGCACAATGGAAAATGTGACTCTTTAGAGGGGACTTCAGGGATTGGAAGTCAAATCAAGGAGGGAATTTTGAAGCCCTCTTCTGTCTGTGAAAAAGCAATTGAAATATTAAAAGGGTAAAATTATATTTTGGGATTTTTTTTGAAAAATTAAGTAGAGTAGGATATAAATGTCTTTATAAGTAAATAAATCTAGAACTGTTTTTCAATCTATATTGGTTTCTTAAACTAGCAAAATCTTGTAGCTTTTGAAAGTGTTTCCTCATTTTTAATTTCTTAGTGATGCAAGATATACAACTAAACTCCTCCTTTCCCTACCTTTTAAATCAATATTATTTTATCAAATGCCTTCCTTTCTACTTAGAAAACAGCCAAGGAGGACAGTTAAACAGAGGAAAGACACCTGTGACTCAAGGGTGCCATCTGAATGTGGGAATGACCGTGGTGAGAAGGGGAAGCCTCACCAGAAGAGTAAACAAAATGCTAGCAGAGGCAGAACCCTAAAACCATTCATCCATAAGAAAACCAGAAAAGAATCTGGGAGCTCAAAACCTAGTCTGGTGACCCTTAGGGCTTCTTCTCAGGAAGACGAAGGAGATGAAGATGATGATGACGACTCTGAAGTTGAATGGTTTTCACCAGATGAAGTAAACAAAGCTCCAGTGTTTGTACCTAAAGGGCTTCGGTCTCCAAATCCAGTACCCGTTCAGATTGAGGAAACTATGGAAGAGGTATGACAGAAATGTTAGTATAATGAAACATTAGCTATTTAAGTGCATGTGTCCAGTTGCTCATTGCACATTCTGCTTAATAGTAGTCTCTAAACAATTCAACTTCCAGTATAAAACAACAAAGAATGACAAATGAAAAAATAGTTTGTATATCTGTTGGTCCTGAATGTTGTTAGCCACAAGCCAAAAGCCTTAGCATTATCAGTGGCCAAAGGAGCCCCTTGTGATGCAATGAGTTAAATCATTGTGCCGGCAGGACTGCTGTACTGACCGAAAGGTCGGCGGTTCGAATCTGGGGAATGAGGTGAGCTCCTGTCTTGTCAACTCCAGCTTCTCATGCAGGGACATGAGAGAAGCCTCCCATAGGATGATAAAACGTCCGGGCGTCCCTAGGCAACATCTTTGCAGACAGCCAATTATCTCACACCAGAAGCGACTTGGAGTTTCTCAAGTTGCTCCTGACACAGTGTTGACATGATTGTATACAAAGAGGTGTGCTTAATCACATGATATGGGAATGTGACGGAGTACAGGAGTATTGGAGAACGATTGAAGGAGAAATTAATAGAATGTTAAATCTTCAGATCATAATAGCCAATAGAAATAGAAAAGGCCAGAGGTTTAGCACAGCTGCGAAATCATCAGCAATTATAAGATCTATCAACCAAAAGGATGCAAGTTTGAATGTCTGGGTTGGCGTGAGCTGCCAACTGTCAGCCTAGCTCATTGTTTTCCCAAGCAATTCAAGAACAGCTTTAGCTGTGATTAGAGAAAAAGTAGGTACCGCTAAAAAGCAGGGGAGGTGTTTTACGACGCCATAAAGAATATCAGAAAATGCTGGGCGACCGAAAGGAAGGAGGAAGTCCTGACAGCTCTTCGACATAGAGGATAGAGCAACAGCACCCCTGGACTCGAGCCCAACCTTCTATGGCACCTCCTTCTGTTTTGTCTGTTCTGTGTATTGTCATGTTTCTTCCTCTTTACCCTTGGACAGGTTGAGATATATGAAAATGTTGCAGATGAGCCATGCCTCATCCACGAACTGAACACAGCTGCTCATCCTGTGATGCAGGGAGATAATAATTTGTGCCTCTCGCAAATTGTAAGTGTACCTATTCCGTACATGGTGTTATTTCCCTGCTTATGCTGTATACTTTATTTTACTTTCTATTTTAATTCACAACTACCATCAGGCACTGTTTACATTTTTATCAAGTTGTCTAGGATACTTTTGTGCAATTATGTTCTATAAGTGTAATTATGTTTTATTTAAGTAGCTGTATTTCCTATTACTATAACCTTAATTCTTTTCTGGTATTTAGTTTATTACTGTCCGTTTTGTATTTCTCATGTTGTGTGATTTAAAATTATGGCATTGAATGTTTGCCTTTTTGTATGTGTGTAAACCACCCTGAGTCCTCTTTGGGAAGGGGGGGCAATCTAGAAATAAAGTGTTATAACTATTATTATTATTATTATTACTTTATTTTTTTCTGTAGTCAAATATTAAGTGTTCCAGGGAAATCAGAATGAAGTGTAGGATTTCAGAAATGTTTGTTGTCAGAAAGTTGTGCTTAGAATATTTTTTCATTTGTACTTTGGCAGATCCGAAATAGTAACTATCAGGAAGTCTTGGAAAATAGCCAGGCATATAGTCCAAATTAGAACTAGGAAGACAGAAAGCAATTATTGGCGAAACACTAAGCCTCTAGGTATAATTTGTCAGAGGAGAGATAAAGAGGTTTATTAGTTATAGGAATCATAACATACATTGGGATCACTATAAAGTAATTTTTTTAGAACAGTCTATGGACACAAAGTTGTCAGTAGCATTGAAAGTGACTTTGTTGAATTTATGGTCAAATGGCTGATCCTTTCTCATTGCATTTGTTTTCTTAGGTTTCTGTCACAAAGCAAATCTGTAGCATTGCTACAATGTATGATGTTCAATCACATTATAGTCTATGCAGTTCATTGGTCTCAATGAGCTTCACATTTTCGGCTGAAATCTTGATTTTTATGAACCATTTACTGCTTGTTTTTGATGACAACTTCTAATTATCACATGTAGTGTAAACTAATAAAATGTTACTTTGCAGAATTTAATATAACTGGAAAAATCCAGAAATGAAGTAAATGGCTTGTATTTCTTTCTTCCCAAGGTTATAATACAAGAAGAACAAAACAAGGAAACAGGTAAATTTCTAGATAGCCATAACTAAACAAAGTTTGTCAAGTTATGTTTGTGAATGTTTACTGCTGACTGTTATATTTTTTCTAAAATTAATTTTCACTAAAATAAGCACCTGTGACTAAGGCTTAAGTTTCATACTTTCCTGAGAGTTAGTTCCTCTAAAGATTATGCCCAGGACTCCATGTGATACTTTTCTTGACAAAATTACCTCTATCAATAGAGCATTAAGGACTGATCACTCTCTATGTAACTCAGTTCTTCCACGAAAAACCTGCTTCAAAGGACTGGGAAACTTTGTTGGGCTAGTTTCTGGATGGCACATGGGGTTGTAGGGAAAGGAGAAGTAATAATTATCATGCTAGAATTTGGTTATTAACACAATGTTGGGTTAAGGAAGGAATACTTTATTGTATTCTTCAGAGCAGACAAATGTAAAATTCCTGTGCAGAAATAAAGATATGGACCTAAATTGTTGGTGGGCAAAGGGGATGGCTCACCGAAGGCTATTCTGCAGTCTTCAGCCCCTCCAGACTAGATCATGCTTTTTCTGGTAAAAAGAATTAATTGCTTTTCTTTAGATATGGTGATTCAGATTTTAAATATTTTCATGGGTTGTGTTTTTATGGGTTTTTATAGATTTTAACTGTGATTTTTAATACTGTTTCAATGTTTTTTTATATATTTGTAGATTTTAAATATATAGAAATCCTTTGGAGAGGAAAAGCGAAGTATAAATACACATAATAATAACAATAATAATAACAACAACAACAACAGATTGGACCCCCCCCCCCACAACACCATTAAAAGAAGCCTTTTTTTTTTTTCAAAACAATACATCAAACTCTGACTATCTCTGAAGTTTTCTTGCCATTGTTTGGTACTTAATGTGGCTGATGTGTGTTTAAGGACAGGAAATTTGCTCCTGAAACCTCCAAAATTGCCCACTACATCCTAGATCCAGTAATTAGTTCCATAAAGACTACTAGCTGTGCCTGGCCACGCATTGTTGAGGATGGAAATAGATCTTTTTCTTTGTCTGCCCTCCCCTTGGGGAGAATAACAGAGGCATAGCTTCCTTGTTGGCCATGCCCCCATGTTATTTTCCTGCTGGGAGAGCTCATAGGGCCCTTCCAGGAAGCCACCACAGCGCGTCCTCCTCCCTATTATTGAAAATCTGGCTATCAGTTTTTAAAAACTCTAAAATCAGGATAGTAAACAAGAACGCCACACAGAAAACAGAGGAATTCCAGAGATGAAACAATCAGTGCCAGGTAACACCTCTTAAGAAAGAATTCCTCAAGGGAGGAAGAAGCCAGGTTTTGAAGCTGTTAGGCTATTCAGTGGTAATCAAGCTGGCCAACTGCAACATTCACACTTGGCTCAAGTAGAAAAGAGTTCCTTCTTGCACCCTGGTCCTTCCACAGATATATAAAGAGAAGCCTCCCACAGGACCCAGGGTAACATCCTTGCAGATGGCCAGTTATTCCACACCAGAAGTGACTTGAAGTTTCTCAAGTTGGGGTCCTGACACGGGAAAGAAAATACAGTAAAAATCTAATAGTAATATAATAATATAATGTGGTGCAGGATGTCCCACAACAACAAAAAAACTTTCAGCGTAGTAAACCTTTATCACTGTTTTTATTATGGAACCCTAGAAAATAATGACATTTATAAACCTAGGAGCAAAACCAATTTAAATAAAAATGTAATGTTCGTTTGTGGGATTAACATAACTCAAAAACCACTGGACAAATTGGCATGAAATTTGGACACAATACACCTATCAGGCCAACAAGTGACCATCACTCATAAAAAACACTGAAAAACACAGCGGAAGAGACTTAAAAAGCCAAAAAACAAAAATACATTACAACGCATGTGCAAAACCACATATGTACACAAACACACACATATAAATATATACACAAATATATACAGAGATATATACACACATATATACACACGCAAAACACATACACAGAAAGGGGGAAGGAAGGAAGGAAGGAAGGAAGGAAGGAAGGAAGGAAGGAAGGAGAAGGATGGAACCAAGGAGCAAAGGAAGCGAGAAAAGAAACAGGTAGAGAAGGAAGAAAGAAGAAGGGAAAGAAGAAGGGAAAGAAAAAGATGGAAGGAAAGAGGGAGGGAGGGAGGGAAGGAGAGAAAGAAGGAGAGAAAGAGGGAGGGAAGGTTGGTCACAGCAATGCGTGGCGGGTACAGCTAGTTCATGTAATAATAATGTAATACAGTTATAATAATGTAATAAGTAGTGGTCTCTCTCGCTCTCCTCGTTGAGGCACATGAAAAGGATTTTCACTCACTGTATCCCTCCTTTCCATGGCTAGGCCACAGAGCCTCGACTTTGTGTAACTCGCCAAGCCGAACTGAGTGGTGAGGAAGCGGGCCTAGCTGTCACTTGCAGCCCTGCACACGTTGGTTGCTAAAGGGAGGAGACTGCTTGGCCATTGCTTGTGATGTTGCTAAGGGGAGGTGCTGTCTGCAACGACCGTTGCTAAGGGAGGAGACTGCTTGGCTGTTGCTAAGTGGAGGAGTCTTCTGTTACGACAGTAGCTAAGAGAGGAGGAGCCTGATTGGCTGTTGCTAAGGGTAATGGTGTTACCTGTGTCAGTTTCAACTGGTTTGTGATAGTAGGTATGTGAATACCTTAAAACATTCGTCAATTTGAATGCTACATTGTGTCCAAATTTTGTAGCAATTAAGGTTGAATAGGTTCATTAAGAAATGACTAATTCGGAAAAAAACCATACGAATTTGGACATCCGATGCAGTTTTGAACCATTAAGGAAAATAGTGGTGGTGGTGGTGGGGGGGGGGGGGGAATCTGAATTTGAACTACTTAGCTTTCCCCCCCAGAAATATTCTATAATGTTTGGATGTCTCCCAAAGTTATTTAATTTTCACAACCATTAAACAACTTTGGTAAACGCAAGGGAATTTTTAAAATCTCATTCTTTCCACTGACGATGCAAGGAGGGAAGCGGTGGGCGTGGCCATCATAACTGTAGTTTGTGAAGGCCAGGCCCGCAATGGTAGAGATTGTAAAAGGCCCTGCTGTTAAACTACATTTCTCACAATGCACAGCTGCTCATTAGCTAAAATGGCTGAAGGACCAAAAAATAGCTGTTTGTAGCAGTCTTTGTCTAAATATAAAATAAACTGATTGAATCTACAGAGCTGTCTAAAGAAGGCAGCAAAGCAATAAGCAACTTTTGCAAATCCAAGAAAACATAAACTGCTTAAAAACCAATCATTTTACGTTTGCTATGAACAAGGCACTGGGGTAGCCAGTAAGTAATGATAAAATAAAATGATGGATTGCATCTGCAAAAAAGGAATAAATGAATTGATGTGTCTTGAGGGTCCCCTCCAGCTCTGTAGAGGAAGCAAATGGATGTCAGGAAAGTTTGGGTGGTGCCTTTCTGCGCAGAAGAACGGGGTCAGTCTAGGTGTCCCTTGATGGGGTTTGTACTATGATTTCTATTCTCAAACAATTTAACACAGTTTGTGCCACACAAACAAAGTTTCTAGAACAACAACTTTCAAAGTAAAGACCACCCAATGAAACAGGAAATAACACTTTCAAACCAGGAACAGATTTTCTTTATTATTAAAAAATGTTCTTTATAAAAACTTTGAAAATTTGCCAAAAATTGGTGGATAAGTCAAAAGTTATGAAAGGTGGTGAGGTAACAGTGGCCCATGTGTTATACCACTGTAGCAAGTTTCACTGGGATTGGTCTAAAAATGAGGGAGGGAGAATCCCCTGAAGTTTCCCCAGTGCCAGTTTTGTTTTTCCCTACTGTGCATGCATGTCTGCATTAACAAATTGATTCGGAAGTTTTGGAAGTTTCAGAAAGTTTTGATTTTTTTGGAAAAATTCGGAAGTGACTTTAGAATTGACCCACCAGCACCCCCTACATCTGAAAGAGTTTTGAACCAATTTTTTGGATCAATCACGCCTAGTAGGAATCTGTGTAGTAGTTTGGGAAATATGAGGTCCTGAACAAACGGACATTACATTTTTATTTATATAGATAGCTGTAGAATCAATAGAATTTTGTGTTCCAGAAACAAGCATTTTCTTCTTCTCCAAAATTAGCATACTGCAAATGTAGTATTGAAATATACTGTCCTTGGATTGTTTGTAAAGGCATTTACACTTCTTTTAGGGATTGCTGATGGAAGTACAGAAGCAGCCATGACTTTACTTGCTATGAGAGATCCAGCTTTCCAGCTAAACATTGCCACCGAAGGTATGATAAATATGGCTTCACAACTTTTTGTGTGTATAAGTATACTTCAATAAAACGATTACAAGGCATCAACATTTGTGTTGAATAAGCCCACTCTATGAATGTTTTGCGAATTGCATTGCCTTTCCTTGTGTTATCTCCTCCTTTTTGCTGCATTGTAAAGAAAAAGACACAAGCTTTATGCATCAAAGCCAAATAAAGGGGGGGGGGGAAGAATTTTCTTTCTTATCCTTAAGTAGAAATTCGAGGGTATCAAAATAAGAAACAATTAAAAAAAATCAGACATATTAAAATTGCAGCAGAATTTTGGGAGTCAGATAAAAAAAAGAGTTACCAAACCTGTAAGACCTGATGAGGAAAGGAACTTTTTTTCCTAGCAGCCTAAGGTAGGTGCCAGGTAGACAGACTTTGCTGTGGGAGAGAGACTACCGCTCCCCCCGCCCCAAAATCTCCCAGCCACAACAGCATTTCATTATAGAATCATAGAATCATAGAATCAAAGAGTTGGAAGAGACTTCATGGGCCATCCAGTCCAACCCCATTCTGCCAGGAAGCAGGAATATTGCATTCAAATCACCCCTGACAGATGGCCATCCAGCCTCTGTTTAAAAGCTTCCAAAGAAGGAGCCTCCACCACACTCCGGGGCAGAGAGTTCCACTGCTGAACGGCTCTCACAGTCAGGAAGTTCTTCCTAATGTTCAGATGGAATCTCCTCTCATGTAGTTTGAAGCCATTGTTCCATTGCGTCCTAGTCTCCAGGGAAGCAGACAACAAGCTTGCTCCCTTCTCCTTGTGGCTTCCTCTCACATATTTATACATGGCTATCATATCCCCTCTCAGTCTTCTCTTCTTCAGGCTAAACATGCCAGCTCCTTTAGCCGCTCCTCATAGGGCTTGTTCTCCAGACCTTTTATCATTTTAGTCGCTCTCCTCTGGACACATTCCAGCTTGTCATTATATGTGACCTTTCCCCCAGTCTTTGGTTCAAAGCATCTTGCAAATTTAAAATTTATATAATGAAAACATACAAAAAATACAGTTAAAATAACAGTAGAATTACAAGCAGCGAAAAAGCAAGAAAATAACAAATAAATAGTATTGCACATTTTGAAAGGCATTTTTTCTCCTGAACAAATAGTCATCAAAACACTTGCAGAAACAAAAAAGGTCTCCATTTGTCTATGAAAGGAAAGCCAGTTTAACTTCTCTAGGAAGGGTGTTTCTGATCTGATGTTCCCAGATTACCTGTAAGGGTGACAGAGAAGAACTTAAAACACAGACAGGCTCATACTGGAGAATGCTATCTTTCAAATAATCTAGACCCGAGCCATATATAGCTTTTAATTGTGGCCAGAAATAAATCAGCAATCAATGGATTGCTGTTGCAGCAAGAGGGTTGTGTATTCTCTGCATCCAGCCTCAGTTAACAATCTGGCAGCAGCCTTTTTGAACCAGCTAAAGTTTCTAAATACTTTTCAAAGGCATCTCCACATAGAGCATGTAAACAGTAATCAAAATGGGGTATAACTAAGAAATGTGTCCTCACAGCCAGATGTAACATTTCAGGGAATGGGTCTCCCTTGCACACAATCAAAAGTACTGCTGCTCCATGATGATACTTCAGCTTGCAGGCTCAGGTTTGAATTCAAGAGTACACTGAAGTCCTGAACCTGTATCCTCAGGGGAAATGTAAACCCATCCAGAATTGTCTGAATTCCTATTTTCTGGTCTACCCTTCAGCCATGGATATTTTTTGTACAAAACATATTGTTTAAATTATGTCCCACATTCCTTCACAGACTAGGGGATAAAAGACTCTTTGCAGTGTAATTAAAAAGGTTTTCAATAAAAAATCATAATTGAAATACAAATTATACTATTAAAACAACAATTAAAACATTTTGAAATATCAGTTTAGTTTAATAATAAATAAGTACTGTAATTTTAAAGAGTTCAGCACATTCCTCTCAAAATGCCATGTCTATTATACAGTCAGTTGCTTGCATAGAAAAGTCTTGCCTACCAGCAGAATGACAGTCTTTGGAAGATATTGTATAATCTTCAGCCACCAAAATTGTATTTGAGTTCAAACTGTGTTTTTAGCCGATTGACTCAGTTGAAGTTGCAAAGTCTGAATGTTTGCAATTGAATAGTTGCAACTACAGTAAGGATGTAACTTTTTTCAACTTTTTGTTTTTGTGACAAAAAGAAAAACCACAGGAGTTTCCTTGTTACAAGGAACTGAATGTTGCCGAGAGGTTGCCAGATGAGCATAATGAAGAACACATTATAATCGATTGTAATGTGCCTTGGTGTGTGCCTTCAAAGAATGAACCGATTTCTTCAGAGACTGTGAACAGAGCTGCTATTGAAGATCCAAGCACTGAACCATTGGATTTGGAAGATAAATTACAGGAACAAACTAATGTGTTACTTCCTGGATCTTCAAAATATGAACCAGTTTCTTCACTTAGTAGAAGGCTTCCCACTGTATCAGGTTTGGAAGATTGTTCACAGGGGACAACTAGGGCCAGCAGGTTTGTGTTGCTAAATTAAGCATACCTCTTTTTTTATTTTAGGAATCCCACTGACTCTTCCAGTCTTATCAGTATGTCTTGATAGTCATGGTTATGTCGCCGCTTTTCCCCAACTCTTTTGCACCCACATTTCCTCCCCTCTTTCCTGATTTAAATACAAATACCCTGTCAGTTCTATTCCATTTTTGCTTACACTCCAGGAACTGATCATTGCAGATATAATATATATAAAGAATTGGGAAATGTTATTTTTTGACCATAATTCCCAGCTTTCTTCAACCAGTCTCCTAAAATTATTTTTTTCAATCTCTGCAAATAAAAATACACGAGGGAATTTTTTCAAACTCTCTGCAGTGGTAGTTATGATTGCTGTTTTGTTTTGTTTCACAAGTACAGTTCAGATCATTAAATTGACTTACTGTTACATTCTGTTTGTCTGTAGTGTTTCATCTACTTCCAAAGAAAATAAAATTTCTAGACCAGCAAGATGCAGATTTCCTAAACCAAAACCAAATCTTAACAGAGCACTGGGGCCAAACCATAATACTTCTCAGAAATATCTTGGTCTGATTTCAGATATGGAGCAATTCAATCAAATCCGGAATGGTAAGTTTATAGTCCATTACATTAAATGTCATACAGGGATTTATAAATACCTAGCCAGCACTTTGAACTGTGCCTGTAAACAGATAGCAAGTTAGTAAAATGCTGCAAGAAGGGGTGCACATTCTTCCTGTAATGAGTGCTTGTTTATAATATGGCTAATGGAGCTGCGGTGATGCAATGGATTAAACCCTTGTGCCGGGTGAACTGCTGACCTGAAGGTTGGTGGTTTGAATCCATGAGATGGGGTGAGTTCCCGTCTTTCAGCTCCAGCTTCCCATACGGGGGCATGAGAAAAGCCTCCCACAGGATGGTAACACATCTGGGCATCCCCTGGGCCAGTGGTTCTCAATCTGGTAAACTGGCTAGGATTTCTGGGAGTTGTAGGCCAAAAACATCTGGGGACCCCAGGTTGAGAACCACTGACCTGGGCAATGTCTCTGTGGACAGCCAGTTCTCTTACATCAGAAGTGATTTGCAGTTTCCCAAGTCGTATTTGACATGATTTTAAAAATATACATAAAGCATTCTGAACTAGATAAAACGTCCAACCACCTTTCAAAGGCAGCCTGTAGAGTATGGTATAGCATTCCAATTGGGATTTTTTTGTGGTCATTTGAACATCTCCAGGAACATGTTGCAAAATCACTTTTGGCCTCACACAAATTTGGACATGAGGTTTAGGAGGAAATGCTATAGAACCAAATTGCAGACCTGTGTCTCCAAGGCCAACAATGATCTCATCTGGGAAACCAGGTTGAAACTATATTTCCTGATTTGAGTTACAGTAGACAGGAAGCACCATTTTCTAGCTTTAAAACATTATGTCCCTGCCCCCTTGGGCACAGCCCTGAAATGCATGGGCTATGCGCTTTTTATGTTGTTGCGTGTCTTACATTTCTTTCTGACTTACGATGAATCTTAAGCAAAGCTATCATAGGGTCTTTTTGGCAAGATTTCCTTTTGCAGAGTCTGTGACTTGGTAAAGATCACCCAATGGGTTTTTATGACTGAGTGTGGATTCATACCTTGGCCTCCAATGTCCTAATCCCACACTCAAACAATAAGACGACACAGGCATACTACATTCATTGATGTTTAATGTTCTGTTATGAGCTATAATAGATATTTGACTGTCATTCTTAAAACAGATTCATACTACATTTTCTGGTGATATATTTATTATGAGGTCTTTGTAAATAAATCTTCTGGCAATAAATCTAAATATGTGGTCCTATCAAAGTTGTAATTTTATCCAAAGTATATATACTAACTGTTGCTCTAATGTCTAAAATAATAGAAGTGTCAAAAAATACTACAGAAGAGCAGACAGTAGAACTGGAAGAAGGGGCTCAGATCAGCTTTGCAGAGAGGCATGACTTACAGCCTGAAAGCCTTGCTGTGCAGAGAACTAACAACAAAAGGTATGGACATTATTTCTGCTTTTTATATTAATATATTTAATCTCTGTGGTGATCTGAGCTAATATGTTCCAAAATATGTAGTAAACCGTTTAGTAAAATGGCATGTGCAGGATGGAGTATGCCAGAAATACTGGAAATCTAACTGTTACTGGTGATTTAAAAAATAACATCTATATAGTTTATTACATATTCTTCATTTTCTCCAAGTAACTTTTGAAGTATTAGAGCAATGAAACCTTTTTCTTGTAATGTAACTTGATGGCACTTTTGTAGCATTGTATTTCTTGCTAGCTGAACTTATTTATTACTCAGTTATATAGCTGCTGCATAATATAAACCTTCTAGAGCAGTTAAAGGTATTTTTAATCACTTTGACAAAGAAGGGCCATAAACCTGGCATAATGTGCTTGTTTCTGGCCATGCATTATAAAAACATTTTAATGTTTAACTAGTAAACATTTTACAAGTAAAACTATTCATTTTTCCAAAGCGAAAACCTGGTAAAAGAGACTTGGAAAGTCACATCAGAGTTAACTGCTTCCAAACTTTCTCCAGAAGCTGAAATTTCCCACGATAAACCCCCATATGATTCCAATACAAGCATTAGTCTCCAGGTTTCTAGATCTGTTGAACATCACTTGTCTCCAGCTAAAGTAGCAGAGGTAAGAATGAGTTGTTTTATAAAATAAAAATAGAACTGTTTCATGAAAAATTATAAAGGAGGAAAGCTGCAACAAAAATACTGATACTGAAAAGTGTAGTATATACTGGGATTCCTAATCCAGTAGTTGCACGGATTGTGCATCCTTATTTTGCAGATTTTTTTTCTATGTAAAATTTCTCTCCTTACCCTATTCCCTTCCTCTAAAATATTCTACACGTCTATTTATGTGTTAAACTGCAATCTTAGGTTACTTTTAGTTTCAATTACCATACTTTGAATTAAGAGACTTGATCAGACTTTCCTGAACGTTGGTTTTCAGAAATGTTTAGGCTAACTGATTGCATTATTTTGTTAATAATGAATCATACCACTATCAAAGCAGTCACAGATTTTTTAATTTTGGGTCAACACTGCAATGATTGAAATAATCTGAGAACTTTATTTTCTTTGATTTACTGTGCATCCTTTAGCAAACATGATCCAGTAGGCCAAAATTATTTGTTTCCACTAATTATAAGAGAAAATTATGAGTCATTTATTTCCTTTTCTTTGTTTTATAGCATTGTCATGGGGCCAGGGTGAAGCTATCTTTAATAAGAGATTTTTATCCTACCTTTCCTAAATCACCTCCCCTCTACCCCATCTGACTAGGCAGAAAAGGATATTTTATATACTCCCTAACAATATGATGTTTTTTAAATTAAGAGGTTTTTGTAGTTTTACAGTCCCATATTTTCTGAACATTAGATTTGGTATACTTGATCTTGTAATATTTTTATTACTAGGTTGGAAGAAGCTCATATTCCGGTGTTTCAACAATTACCAATATGACTGCAGGTATATTTTATGCTGTTTTTATGGTCAAATAATTTTGCTTTTGGGAATTAACTTTACATAAATAATGTTTTCACTTGAAAATAACTTAAACATAAAGAAGTAAACCTGACATGTGGATAATTCTTGAAAACTGTTGATGTCATTAAAATGTCCCATGCAAGAGCGTATAATAAGATTGTTGGTCAATATTTAACCTTTTAACATCAAAGACTGTGGCCTTTGAACAACATGATCCTATGTTAGAGATGCAGCAGGATGTCCAGGTAGGGTGGCTAGGATTTTATCCTGCTCTCCAAATAGCAGTTAGGTTCATTAGCCAGTACTTGTCAGCTTTAGGACATAGAACAATTTATTGAAACTCCAGGAAGGAATTCCATCAAAACATTAGATAAAATTTTCTGACAACAGGAGCTGTCCAACAGTGGAATACACTGCTCGAGAGAGTGCTGGAGTCTCTTTCTCTGGAGGTTTTTAAATGGAGGCTGGAAAGCCATCTGTCAGAAGTGTTTTGTGTATCTCTACATGGCATAATAGGGATGGACCAGAAGGCCCTTGTAGTGTCTTCCAACATTATGATTATTCATAAGACTTCTTTTTGTTTATTGCATTGCTGTGTGGATTTAAGTCATTTCCTACCTGCCTATCACATGCTTTTTAAAAATCATGTCAGAAGCGACCTGAGAAACTGCAAATCACTTCTGGTGTGAGAGAATTGGCAGTCTGCAGGAACGTTGCCCAGGATGTTTTACCATCCTGTGGGAGATTTCTCTTATGTCCCCACATGGGAAGCTGGAGCTGACAGATGAGAGCTCACCCCCTCTCGCGGATTTGAACCGCCGACCTTCAGGTCAGCAGTTCAGCCGGCACAAGGGTTTAACCCATTGCACCCCCGCGGCTTATAGTCCAATGCTTACACTACTAGACCACATTGGCTCTATTTCTGCATGCTTGAGTAAATGCAAGAAGGTATAGAGATAGTAGCTATTGTAGAAAAAGAGAAGTTAGAGAAATTAAAATCAGCACATGGTTTAATACGTGTTGTAAACATCATTGAGTGTCTTTTAAATAAAAAAGAATTAAAAATTTCCTTTCAAAAAAGAAAAAATCGTACATTTTAAAACATGTTAACACAGACATTGTTTTATTCTAATTGCATATAATTAAGAAAGATGTTTCAGTTCTGTTTATTTCCTTGTTTATTTCCTATTATAATTGGCATTGTTTTAAAGTGATTTAATGCATTCAAGAATGTCTGTGGAATAAAACTTACATCATTTACATAAAAAATACTAAATAGTGCAGACATCTGAAAAGGGCACTTTCTGCTATGCTCCAATATTATGATGTGTTCTCCCTAGAGAAGTTTGATTAGAACTTTTTGATACATTTTTAAGCAGGCATTTAAATTAAGCAACTCTTTAGTGGGGAAAACCCTATCCAACTTGAGAGTTCTTAAAAGGCAACTGCAGTTTGTTAAAAACGTATGGAACAATTCAGTGAAAATTTCTAAATTATTTTTCCGTCTTCTGTTTCTATTCCTCTTGTTTGTGTTATTTTTAATTATATTTTATTTTGTTAGCTTTTTTTCTCTTAAGCTGGGCTTCTTTCCTAGTAAGGTGGAATACCAGTGTTAACATACAGAAAACATCCTTGAAAAAAGCAAGAAAAATCCATCATTTAGCAGAACAAGGAATAATTTTACTCCCTTCTTTATGTACCGTCATTAAACTGTGATGGGCTTTGCAACAAGATACAACATACAGAAGGATGTCTGCAGATAATTTTTATTTGCCTTTCCTCCTCCATTTGTATGTCTTGGTAGAAAGTGATAGCATCGGAGAACATACACCCGCAGAAGAGGAACCAACATTCATTTTAACGTTAGTGGAAATCCCAAATGATTCAGAACATTGCAGTGGGATACCTCCTTCTCTTCCACAAGCTTCTGAAGAATTGCTTCCTGCCCCAGTATTTTTTACTCCAAGTGGTCCAGACACCCAAGCTCCAGAAAGAGAGGATACGTAAGTACAGTAGGCGTATTCTTCAACGTGAACCTGTCTATCTTCTGTGAATTTCTTAAGATTAGGTCACAACGTTTATCATGAGTCCGGGCTGTGTTAATCAGCTTGCCCTACTGCCCTAAAATTTCAGTTGTTACTGGAAAAAAATGGAGAGATGGTGAGCCTGATCACTCTTTTCTAGGATCCAACGGTGAACCAAATATGACCTATGACCCCAGAGGCATGTTTCCTTCCTGTTAGCTGTAGACAAAAAAAGACATTATATTTGTGAACAATGTTTATTGCCCTGTTCCAATTGTACCATTGCTATTTGCAATCCTAATTGAACTTCTCAGGAGAGGTGATGGTTACTGTATTCTTAAATCTGCTTAAAAATGCTGATATCAATTAAAGTGCTTTAAATCTCAGTAATTTCACAGTTTTAACATGGTATTGTTGTACAGTCTTGGAACCATAACAGCTAATGCTGAAGAAAATGCTGTCATTATTGAAAACAGTACAGAGAAACCAAGGTTGCAAACAGCTTCAACAGAACGATTAGCAGACTTGAATTCAAGCTCTTGGAAGAATTGGAAAAGGTGTGCTATTGCCCTTGAAGGAAGTGACAGTCGTTCTGGGAAGAAAAGGTCTCCTTCATCTTCAGTGCAAGACATTGAAATGTCTAATAAGGTTAGTGGATAATTTAGGGAATCATGAACTATTCATGCTGAGCATCTTTTCAGTCCCGTCTGTCACTGTCAAAAGTTCTGTGTTTTGATTACTATGGCAGATATAGGCTCAGTTCTGAGTATTGTGCACTTGGAGTAAACTTCAGATGAATCTTTATAAATGGCTGCTGCACGTGAAAAAAAACACACTGGCATTTCCAGCAGGGTGTTCAAGAGCACCTTAATGCATACTGCATCTTACTACAGTCCATGTCAGTTCAAGAAATGTATAACTAAAATACCCTAAAGGCACCAGATCCTATCCGATGGCTAGGCAGGATCATTCCTAGTTAGTACTTGGATGGGAGAATGCCAAGAATAACAGGTGCTGTAGGATATGTGTCAGAAGAATGAACTGGAAAAAACATCTCTTGAGTATTTCTTGCCTAAAACCCTATGAAACTTGAAGGCATGCGCTCACATGCGCTCACATGCGCTCACACACAAATTCTAAAAACCTAAAAACAAATGGTAGTTTAAATCACGTAGGCACTATGAGAACAAGTTTTAAAGACTATTAGAGGTATTTTTTCTCTTTTTATATGTATTTTTTGCATAATTCAAGACATGTTTTAGGAACTGTAAACAAATAATTATAAATGTTACATTATCTGTTTAAAAAGCAAGAAGAAAGGCAAAATGTGCACAATGTAAATCAGAAATATGTAGCTGATCCAGGGACTAACTATAAGAAATCTGATTGGTTGGCATGCAATAGAAGATCAAAATAAGATCCAACAGAACCCAGTCTATTGCAGATACTAAATTAATTAGTACAACAATCAACAATATAGCCAATGTAGATATGTTTTTCCAATCAAATTTGTAAGCAGAAAGTCTACAAAATCTGAAAAGAAATGACTTTTTGAAAACTTAAAAAAATGAAGAAGGAACATGTTTATATACTTCTGTAGGATGAACAAGTGTCACAACTTTGACTAAGTGGCAGGAGGAAGGATTCAGTTTTTGGGGAAAACGTTTCTCCCATTTGGGAGTCCTCAAGTAACTCCTGCTCAGGTGGATTCCACAGCTTTTACTCTGTGTTGTCCCTCTGTAGCCCATAGGATTTCAGTGCTCATCGGATAGTGCCTGGATTGGTGCCTCATGCCAGGCACTATTCAGCTATAGCTAACAAAGTTGGCTTTATTCCAGGCACAATTTTATCTATGAGTTTGCTTTCCTAGGTATGATCCAGAAAGTTTTGGGAAAGTACCACCAAAATATATTCACATATTCAGCCCCCAAAAATAGGGTTTGAAATACTTCTTAATCTCTAAAATGATTGATCTCACAGGTTGTTCTGCTACATTTATCTTATAGCTTTATGGTCTTTCATGTGTGGTGATGTTTTTGAGCTCAGACTGTATTAATTGAGGGGGTTTTTGAGAGAGAACGAAGCCCTTTAATTTCTGATGAGACTCTTTTCCATAAAATTGTTGGATCAGTAGAAATTCATTTTTATTTCTGTTTCTTTTAATGCAGGCCTCTTCTCATAAATTAAGGTCTATATCAAAGAAACCTGCTGGTAGGTTAAATTTATATTTGTTTTCACATATCTCTTTTCAAACATGTGGCATATATCAGTATTTATGCAGAAGGCTGTTAATATAAACTTCTGAACTTCTTATTCAAAAAACTTTAGCTAATCCTTTTCTAACATTTCTCCTCTTCTGGTTTCAAAAGAATTTTTGTTATTAGACATGGGTGGTTTGGTGGTGATTGAGATATACTTTTTAAGTACTCCACACACTTTTTCATCTCATAGAACTGATATTTATTTTTATTTGTGGAGAAATGCATTTATGAAGAAAGGAGACAAATTACTTGCTTATACAGAGTAAAATGGAATTTCGTTGTAGCAGACCTAAGCAGTAAATTATCATGTTTTGCTTGTTCACTCATGTTTCCCTTTCCTTTAAGAAAAAACCTCAGAAAAATGGAATCTTTCAAAGAAGACAATCTCATCTACCTCTAGATTAGTACCTGCGTTACATGTGGGTAAAAAAGAGCAATCTCAGTCTCCCTTGACTGTATGGGCTTCACTGTTTGATGAAGCAGCTGGTACAGATAAGCAAGTGTCCAGAACATGTCAAGCAGGAAAAGCAGAAAAAAACGAAAAACAAAGGAACTCTGTTGATTCTTGTAAATCTTTACAATCAGAACAAGTTGGAAGCACAGCAATTCCTCCAAAAACACCTTTATCCAGGTACATATGTAACAGATGTTTTAGTATGTTATACCCATTTCCTCCAATGTTACATCTTATAATATACATAATATTTGGGAGTTGTAGTTGTCATTTAGGATTTATAGTGAACCTACAATCAAAGAGCCTTCAGAACTCCACCAATGATGGAATTGAAGCAAATGTGGCACACAGAACTCCCATGACCAAAAGAAAATATCGGAAGGGTTAGGTGGGCATTGGCCTTGAGTTTTGGAGTTGTAGTTCACCTACATCAGAGAGCACTGTGGACTTAAACAATGATGGATCTGGATCAAACTTGGCACAGATGCTTCATATGCCCAAATGTGAAAACGGTGGAGTTTGAGGAAAAATAGACCTTGACATTTGGGAGCTATAGTTGTGGGGATTTATAGTCCACCTACAGTCAAAAAGCATTCTGAACCCCACCAATGATAGAATTAGGCCAAACTTCCCACACAGAATCCCCATGACCAACATAAAATACTGTTTTCTGATGGTCTTTGGCAACCCCTCTGACACCCCATTGCAACCCTCCCCCCTCAGGGGTCCCAACCCTCAGGTTGAGAAACTCTGCTGTAGTGGTTTTGAGTCCCCCCTCCCTCTCCAGTGATATCTGGTCAATTTCTGTTTCAATAAGGTCTACTCTACCCTGATAATCTGTCAGTGGAATAACCTCATTGTTCACTAAAGGAATCCTAAGTGGACTAAATCCCTATTTTTGTGTATCTTTCACTCTATTTTAGCAATTTGTACATTTGTTTCTTCAGAAGTTGAATTCTTAGACCTTATTTCATTTTTGTTTCAGGAAAATACACTCCCTATCTCACACTTTCTCTTGCCTTTCCAATTGTATATTTTATGCATTTCCCTTTATACATGTTTTGATTTTAATTGTTTTAAATAGGTCATATCAAAGATCTCTGGGATTTTTACCTTTAATCTGTAAAAATAATAATGCTGATGAAGAGGAAATCAGTAAAGTGAAAAAAGAGCCTTTCCAGAAAACTCAAGAAGTGATCTCTGAAAGAGCTGCGGAATGTCCTGTTTCACCAAAAGATCAAAAGGAAGAAATTCAGGAAAATAGTACTCTTCCGCCAACTGTCCCGTTGTCTTCCAAATTTGAGGGCAGATGCAGTTCTACTGTTCAGGTAGGGTAGATTATCGATCTCTACATGACATATCAAATGTTCAAATGTTAAAACTAGCATTGAAGTATTGTCTTCTTCCTGGTTTTTTTTTATGCATCTTCCAGAACACTGTTGAAGGCAAGTTAGCCTCATGGGAAGAGCACACAACTGTTCATTCCCAGAAGGGGAAGAGAAACACTGGCCAGTTTCCCTCTTTTCTCTCTCCACCCCAATGTAGTCAGAGGAAAGGAAACGCTATCGAGGGCAGCAGGGATTATGGGAAATGGACAAAACCCGTGTCTTCTCCTCTTTGAATGAATGGATTAAAGGTCTTTCATAAATTAAAACAAGTAGTGTATAGAAGACAGCCACTATATATGGGTATTTATAGAAAATACTGCTAGGAAACAGAAGAGCAAAATCACATCTGTTGATATATAATTATGTTTTGACACCTAACAGGTTGGTTTTAAAATTATACTTCTTATATCTGTAAATTTAAAGTGCTGGCTTTAGCCTATAAAGCCCAAAACGGTTCTGGCCCAGCTTGCGTATGTCCTCCTATGAACCATCACGGAGATTAAGATTGTCTGGGGAGGCCCTGCTCTTGGTCCCACCTCCATCACAGACACATCTGGTGGAAACGAGAGACAGTGCCTTCTCAGTGGTGGCCCTCGACTGTGGAATTCCCTCCACAGTGATATTAGAGCAGCTCCTTCCCTCCTGGCTTTCAGTAGGAAAGTGAAAACTTGGCTCTGGGGTCAAGCCTTTGGAGATTAATCTATAGTGCAATAATAGCCTTGAAATACATGCAGTTGATCTTTGAAATACCCCGGATTATGATTGAAGATGGCGTGATTTTGATAGTGAATGCAATGTTTTCTATGTTTTAATGTGCATTTAATTTTAATTTTGATTTTTAAAATTTGTGGTAAGTGTATTTTAACTATTTGTTGTCCAAAAGCATTGAATAGTTGCTATGTGTAAAGCCACCTTGATTACCCTTTGGAGTAGAGAAAGGCGGGATACAAATAGAATAAATAAATAAATGCAGTTTGTTTTTCTTTTTAGGTGCTTTCTGAGTTATCTGACAGTAAAAGTTCTTCTCCGGAGCAGGAAAAAGAGGAAGAACCAACCAGAATTTCAGAATATTTCTTCAATGATATATTCATGGAAGTGGATGATTCAGAGTAATATAGAAACCTCTCAAATATCAGATGGCCAAGAATGCACTGTAGCAGTAATGTAGTAGTTTTGCTCTGTCACACTTTCTCAAATAGCCCTTACATTTGAGGCAATATAAACAGCCTGGCAGGATGGAGTAATATTTCTCTTATTCTGAACAGTCTGTCAATTTTAGAAGCACTGAAAAGAAAACACATGTAAATTTAAAAACACACATGATCAGAACATCAACTGATCTGTGTTTGTATTTGATACAAGTAGTTTCTAATGCATGGCTGCTGCTTTAGAAATGCAGTGGAAATGATCTGCTTGCCAATACACCCCCTAAATAGGGTATTTATGTTTGTGGGACTGGGTGTAAATTATTTTTACTTCTTTTTGTGAAGTAAACATTTATTGGGTGTGTGTATGGGAGGGGGGAATAATTCTGCTCTGTAAATAAGTATATTCTGAACATTTCAGTGTATGTAATAAGTACATACAAAATATTTTGAGTTGTCTTATTTTTATGTATTTTTATAAAAATGTATGTGTCTTGGTTCTAAAAAGCAATGTTTAATTCTTCCAAAATGTACAGAGATGTGAAAAATATTTATTTAAGCTGAACGTATAAATAAGATAACTGCCCAAAACTAATTCTGTTGTCTTGGACATAAAGAAGAATTAAAAATCACTCATGTTCTATGCACTAAATCCTAAATGAGAGGCAGTATTAGAAAGTCTTTTTAAAAAACTACCCATATAACACTTTTAAGAAGGATGCATTGAAGTTAAAATCAGGAATCAGAGTAAAGGATAATACAATTATACTGAATAGTTTCCATCCCTTTTTATCTGGTTAGATTTATTTGTCATTGTTAGAAACATGAACTCGCTTGGTTCAGTCTAAAATACTCTGTAAAAGAACTGTGTATTGTGTATTCTTCTTAGTGACTGCATTTTAAATTCTGGTAACCTATTTTACAATTAGCAATTGAAGGTATTTTTCCATAAGTATCAACATATCCATTTTAGTGGCAGTTCTTACCCGCAGTAGTTCAATATTGCATACTATTTTGAATATATAATAAGTAAATACAGACTCTTCATTTCCCACAAAGACAATAGGTAGAATCCAGATTTAGTAATACTTAAGAGCAGACCCACTTAAATGAATGGTACTTAAGTTAGCAATGACTAAATGTCTCCTTAATTTCAGTGGATCTACTCTTAGCATGACTAAGTCTAGATCCAACCTAATGTATCTTCTTAATTAGCAAATCAGTATCTTAATTATCAACCTGACAAACCTTGACTGGCTTGATCGTTTGATGTGTGTGTTAATTGTAGAGCTCTAAAAAAGACAAAACTATATATGTTAATGTGAATAATTTAATAAATGTAAATTTAGATAAGTAAACTGAGAAGTATTCACAATTTTTAAGTGAATTACTAAAGTGGAATGCATCCCAACATGGAAAGTCTGTTCTTATTATTGCTTGGAAGAGGTATACTCAAAAGAGACTACTGAAATAATGAAAAACTTATTAGTGCAACTTGCTGGAGTGGTTCATATTGTGATGTAAAACAGGAACAAACTTACAAATGTGCCTTATCTTTCCTTGCTAAATGAAAAAGACGCCAGGTGCTCTTAGTGTTCACTGTAAACCATGTTCTCTTGGAATGTCTTTAAAACACACATTTCTTTCTGTCACTAATATTGCATACTTCAATCAAAGAAACCAACAGACCATCCCAGTTTATGGAACAGACCATTACAGTTTGATTAAAATGCAACAAGGAACTGCTTTCCATAAATGTTTGACATGTTTTTCAAAGGCATGTACTGTTATGTGTAAGCTTTCTGTTTCAAAGAAAGCAGTTGTGATATATGTGTAAATTATGTGAATAAACCATTTTGTATCACTTGTAAAGTATTTTTGGTGTTAAGGATAAATGGCATGGGACCCACTAAGCTATGCCAAACTATGGTCAGTTTAAGCTTTCAGACTTGTCAGTGGAGGTCTTAAGATAACTGAAAATGCAGTCAGGAATTACTTATTTATTTCTCTTCTAGGGTTCGTTTAGCACAGCTTTAGAGCATGTTTTCTGGTAGTCACTCTTTCGTAGATCACAGGCATTGCTGGGTAATTTCAAAAAGGAAAAAGCAGTCAAAAATGGCAAATTGGCCACAGCAGCAGTTTAGCAGAGCAGAATCTTTTTGTGCAGAGCAGTAGAATGAGTAGCCTTCAGCAATACAGGAGAAGAGTCAAGTTTTAGAAGTTACAAAAGGCTTTATTGAAAGAGTTACATTTCTATATAGGAAAGTTAAGAGCCTCACTATGTAACTCTCTGGAGACATAATGTTTATCTCCATGCTCACAGAAGAAGAATGAAAATGGGAGAAATAAGGTTGAACACTGTGAAACACTATCAGCTTTCTCCCAGTAGACTTAAATCAAGGAATAGTTTCTTGAGAACCACCACTCCTCTAAATGTTCCTCCCCCAACAGCAAGAATATCCCTGTGGGCAGCAAAATCTGGCAATTCCAACTGGATGGCCCCCTACGAGGGTCTTCCTCCAGGGGCAAACCAAGAATTGGTAACTTGGAAGCAGAGTTGGCAGATCAAAAGACAATCTGGCCAAATGCTACAACCTAGAAGAATCCTCCACCTTGTATGATGGTGGAGCAGAACAAACAACTTGACATCTGTATGCTTGCCCACAATACCCTGCCTCATGCACAGAGGAAGAACTGTTTAAAGCCACAGACGATACGGTTCCTTTTGCCTGTTTTTAGTCTAAAAGCGGACTATCCTTTATTTACTTATTTATTATTTTCCTTTATTGTACCAGTATTATACTTTTGCATTTACTTATCTCACCCAGGGTTTTATCAATCTTATTCTGTGCATTTGGCTTGACCACCATGCTTTTATTTTATTTCTTCATCACGTTAGTTTGTATCTGTTTATTTCATTTTCTGTTATTTTCTGTATTTTACTTTGATGTTATCTGCTGTTTGTATTTCATTTCATTTCATTGTACTGTAATTCTGGGCTTGGTCTCATGTTAGCCGCCTGAGTCTCGTTTTGGGAGATGGTACCGGGGTATAAATAAAGTTGTTGTTATTATTATTATTATTATTATTATTATTATTATTATTAATGCAATGCTTTTGACATGAAATAAAAAGGGGGTGCTTGGGTACAACTGATGAGACTCAGTGGGGCAAAGGCCATGGCAACTCATTGAGACCCTCCGCCCCTGGGAAACTATAACTGTGGATACTGAGTCTCGATTTTATATGAGGGGGGTTACTTTGAATAAAAAGACACATGTCCCTGAGAAGCATCTGTCTAAGAAATAAAAGTAGGAGGAAAGAATAGAGATGGACAAAAAGGGCAATGGAGGAAGGACTTTCCTTGCCAGCTGATCCATCTGCCTATATAAGTCCTTGATGGAGCCCCCGGTGGCATAATGGGCTAAGTGATGGGCAACCTTTTGAGCTTCGTGTGTCAAAATTTGCCGAAAACCTGGGTGGGGTGTCAACTTCGAGAAAAAAACCATAATTTTGCAATATTTATAGTTTCAATAAGAAAAATGTCTATTCCAGGCTGAGTAATGGTGTGAACAATGCTCAAACGTGCATGTTAAATTTGTAGAGCCTTTTACAAATTTAAGGATGGAATTAGATTGGCTCTTATAAGGTGTACTTCTCTGTATGCAGTCGCATGTGGCCATGTGTCATCAAAAATAGCCATGCGTGTCAGTGCTGACACACGTGTCATAGGTTCACCATCATGGGGCTAAACCCATTTGTGTATAAACATACCAAATTACATGTAGTGGCATTTGTCTTCAAAGATATGCAGTGGGAAATAATGGTAACTTCGATGTTCGCTCGGATTTAGTCTTAGCAATGAAGGCCTTTGACTCACAAGGTGTCTGCTCAGACATTAATCCAATCTTCCACAGTCTTGTTCATGCTAATTTTTAGTTACTGAGCCCCCAGTGGCTCAATGGGTTAAACCCTTGTGCCGGCAGGACCGAAGAGTAACAGGTTGGAGGTTCGAATCTAAGGAGAGTGTGGATGAGCTCCCTCTGTCAGCTCCAGCTCCCCATGCGGAGATATAAGGGAAGCCTCCCACAAGGATGGTAAAAAAACCAGGCGTTGCCTGGGCAATGTCCTTGCAGGTGGCCAATTCTCTCACATCAGAAGCAACTTGCAGCTTCTCAAGTCGCTTCTGACATAAAGACCTTGATGAGGACTATAAACATGTGCAGGATGTTGCTGAGTTCCAACAAGTTCATGCCCTTCTTGCCATCAACATTTCATGGTGTTAAAATGCAATGTTATTCTCGGTGCAGGCAGTAGGCAAGGTTTCAGGAAGGATTTATCACTTTTTAATGTCAGTATGGATGTACATCAGGCATGGGCAAACTTGGGCCTTCCATGTGTTTTGGACTTCAACTCCCACAATTCCTGAATTGTGGGAGTTGAAGTCCAAAACACATGGAAGGCCCAAGTTTGCCCATGCTTGATTTACACTCTGGCTGGGTCTTCATCTCAAAGGGGAAAAGGCCTGAAAGGCGAAGGAGCGACTGAGGGAGGCTTCCCCTTTAAGGGCCCTGCTGGGGGGGAAAGGCGGGCGCGGGCGGCGCTTCACGCGAGGGCAGGCTCCGCTCTGCGCCGTAGGCCCCGCTTGGCCTCTCCATTGAGGCCGGTTCCAGGCCCGGGAAGCGCCTCCGCCGCCGCGATGCTCCTGGCGCTACGATGCCGCTCGTGCCTTTTCTTCCTCGGCCGTGGTCCTCGCGTGAAGGCCGGTGCCTTCCGCCGAGGCTTCCACGGGGACAAAGTGGCCACCCTGGGCTCCCCGCCCGACGCCGCCTCCTCACTTTATCAGGTAGGCCAAGGAGGAGGAAGAAGGGTTAAGCACAAGCATGGGCAAACTTGGGCCCTCCCTCCAGGTGTTTTGGACTCCAACTCCCACACTTCCTAACAGGCTCAGGCCCTTTCCTTAAGCGGCTTAAGCGGCTGAGGGGGAAAAGGAAAGGGCCTGAGCCTGTTAGGAAGTGTGGGAGTTGGAGTCCAAAACACCTGGAGGGCCCAAGTTTGCCAATTCCTGGTTTAGGCCCTCCAGGTGTTTTGGACTTCAACTTCCACAATTCCTAGGAGGCTGTTAGGAATTCATAGAATTGGAAGAGACCTCGTGGGCCATCCAGTCCAACCTCCTGTCAAAAAGCAGGAAATTCACATTCAAAACACCCCAACAGATGGCCATCCAGCCTCTGTTTGAAAGCCTCCACCACACTATGGGACAGAGAGTTCCACTGCTGAACAGCTCTCACAGTCAGGAAGTTCTTCCAAATGTTCAGATGGAATTTCCTTTCTTGTAGTTTGAAACCATTGTTTCCTGTATTGTCGAAGGCTTTCATGGCCGGAATCACTGGGTTGTTGTAGGTTTTTCCAGGCTATATGGCCATGTTCTAGAGGCATTTTCTTCTGACGTTTCTCCTGCATCTATGGCAAGCATCTTCAGAAGTAGTGAGGTCTGTTGGAAGTAGGAAAATGGGTTTATATATCTGTGGAATGACCAGGGTAGGACAAAGGAGTTTTGTCTGCTGCAGCGAGGTGTGAAGGGGTCTCCAGGGCAGCAGAAAACAAGCTTGTTCCCTCCTCCCTAGGACTTCCCGCACATATCTTCTTCAGGTTAAATATGTCCAACTCTTTAAGCCGCTCCTCATAGGGCTTGTTCTCCAGATCCTTGATTATTTTAATCGGGCTCCTCTTGACACATTCCAGCTTGTCAACATCTCTTCAATTGTGGTGCCCAGAATTGGATATAGTATTCCAGATGTGGTCTAACCAAGGCAGATAGAGGGGTAGCTGAAATCCAAAACACCTGGAGTGCCCAAGTTTGCCCATGCCTGATTTACACTATTTCTAGAGAGATCCCCTCTCTGGCAATCTCCAAGTGATCCAGTGCAATTCTGTAGTCAACTTCTAGCAAATGTCAACCATAGAGTTACGGTTGCCATACATAAAATTACTATCCACTAAAGGTAATGTTATACAAAATTTTTAATCATTTTGTTTATATTCAGATACCTTGGCGAAGGGGTCCAAATCTAAATAAATATTAAGTGTCTTTTGTTTGAACTCTGTTTTCTGTGTTTTAGAATGTATTTGGTAGAGATATGTTTTGGTGTGTAACTTTTACAGAAGTACGCTTCATTGTGTGCATTTGTAATGTTTTTGCTGTGCTTGGTTATTTTAATTATTTTGTAACTTGCCTCTTGCCATGAGGAGATGCGGGTTAGAAATAAAATTATTATTACCTATATTATATTATTGTGGGGGGTTTTAGTGTCAGGAGCAACTTGAGAAACTGCAAGTGGTTTCTGGGGTGAGAGAATTGGCCGTTTGCAAGGACGTTGCCCAGGGGCCACCCAGATGTTTTTGATGTTTTACCATTCTTGTGGGAGGCTTCTTTCATGTCCCCGCTGAAGCTGACAGAAGGAGCTCATCCACGCTTTCTCCGGATTCAAACCTTTGACCTGTAGGTCTTTACTCCTGCCAACACAAGGGTTTAACCCATTGCGCCATCGGGGGCTACTATACTATTGTGTGTTTTTAAGTAATTGTTTTAAGTGATACATTTTAATTATGTGATTTTTAAATATATGTTGTGTTATTTTTATGTGTACTCAAGGCATCAAATTGTGCCTTTGTTGTGAGCTGCCCTGAATGCCCTCTGGAGTGAGAAGGGCAGGATATAAATGTGGCAAATAAATAAATAAATTATTAAACATGAAATTCATTTATGTTTCTTTTACACATAGCTTGGAGGTACAATCATTTTTAATAATGTTGTTCTTGAACCAGAGATTTTTTTTTCATACATAAAATGTGATGCATTAT